ACTTGTACCGTCCGCGCTCATCTGCGCGATATACCCGAAGCGTTGCCCCATATACAGCTGCTCCGCGGGCTTGTAGCCGTTGGTGCAAGTCTGTTTATAGAGCACGCACGGGGCACACCAATTGCCGTGGCGCCCGTCGACGCTCTTGAAGCAGACGCGCTGCCGCGTCACGCACATCGCGCAGGGCCTTGGCGCGACCTCCTATGAAAAGGGAATCAGTTGTCGAGGCATGGCAGAAAAAGATAAAGGGACGCACGAAGTCAGTTGGCACCTCGACGCCGGCCCTTTCCAACTTCCCCGCGAACCCTTGGCGTGCCACCGAAAGGAGCGCCTCGGTGTCGTAAGCGGCGGGAGTGAACGGAGCTCGGGGCGTGGGGGCCGACGCCTTCGCAGGAGTCTAGAAACAGTCAAGTCAGTAAGAAGTCGACGACAAGAAAAGTCGCGACTCACCGAGTCAGATTTCTTCTTGGCCGCCGCAACGGACTTTTCTGCCTTCTGGGCCTTGAGCTCGGCCTTGGCCGCAGCGACACTCCGCTCGCGACCAAGAGTCGCGGCCACCCTGCCCAACTCACTGCGTGGGGTCTTGGTAGCAGCGGGGGCCGCCTGGGCAACCTAGAAAAGAAAGAAAACGATTTAGTCGACGTCTGGGAACCAAGATTTGTGTCTCACCTTAGCCACTGGGGTCGGGGTAGTCGTCGCTCGCGGGGCGCTCGCCTTGCGACTGGCCTCCACCTTGGGCACCGGTTGGTGGGGCACGGACTTGGTCGACTTGGATGAACCATCCGCGACCTTCTTGATTGGCTAAAAAAAAAAGCTGGATTAAGGGGCGTGGTCTGGGAAAAAGGAGCCGGCTTACCTTGGGCTTGACGCGGGTCTCGTTGACCTGCCTCTTGGCCACGACGAAGTCGCCGGTCTCCTCTCCACTCTCGGAGGTGTCGTCCATGACGATGACGGACGGGGCTACGAAAGTGTGAGTAAACGACAGAGGGGGACAAGAGGAAAAACGCACTCAGATTCGATCGCGCTTTCCCCTTGGACTTGGGCCCCTGTCAAAAACAAACCAACCATGAGATGAAGGGATCGCGATCGACGAACTGGGTCACTTACCTGAAGGGCCAGCTCGTCGGCCGAGGACGCGTCTCCCTCCTGGACCCCCTCGTCGTCGACCTCCATCGCAGTGTCGGCGACGGCGGCGGCTTCCTCATCGCTGAGGGACTCGGGCTGCACAGGCTGTGCTTGGATCCGGGCTGGGAGGGACCAAGTGGTTAGTCTAAAGATCAATGAAATAAGACATAGGATCACACACCTGCGTGCGTCTTCTTGTGGACGCGCTTGGGAGGTGACCCCTGTGGAACAGGGACCGAGGTAGCGGCTACGACAAGTCAGTACCCGCGACTTTGGTGAATGAAAAGAAAGAGCCACTTACGAGTAGGCGCATGGGACGACGCCTTGGGCTCCTTGGCAGGAGCCGCCTTGGGTCGCTTCCCGTGCGACTTCTCGCTCGACTTCTGGGCGACGGCGACCTTGCTGCCCGCGACGGCGGCAGGGGCCTGCGGCTTGGAGCCGTCACCCTTCCCCTTCTGCTTGGCAGGCCGGGACGACGAAGGGGCGGCGACTTGTTCGGTGGGAGCCGCCTGGGAGTCGATCAGAACATAGTTAAACGAATGAAACAGAGTACGCGTACGGGTTCGACGACGCGTTTGCGTTTCTTCGGTGGCGACGACTCCTCGACTGGAGCGTTGGTGGTCGAAAGCGCAGGCGCCGGCTAGCCCTTACGTTAGTGAAAAGAATGGAAGGCCAAAGCGAACAGGCGCGGCAATCATTGATCGCCGTGACTGCTCGCTCCAGCGGGCTTAGAACGGAGCTCACCTGCTGGATCTGGCGGACGTCGACGGCCATCTGCCGCAACATCTGGTTGTAGGCCTCGGGGCTAGGCAGGTGGTGAGTTGAGTCGACAAGCCATGGGAGAGACATTGACTGACGGCATGAACTGCCGCCAGTCGATGGCAGGCAGGTTTGCTCCCGGGACAGCTGATTCGGTGACGGCTGATGGACGGTTAGCGTGGTTGAAAAGTCGCGGTAATCGTCTTGGGCGTCACTCACGGTTGGTGTCTTGGGGGCGGGGGCTCTGGTCGGGCGCGGACATGGTGGTCAGAAAGCAAGAGTGTCTCGTACTAGGGAGACTCTCGACCCTGAAAATTGAGGGCATTTATATGGTGAACATGCCGGAAGAAGTTTGATCGCGGCAGATCACGGAAGGAACCGAACAACCAAATGAATAAGACGTGGGAACATAACTCTATGTCTCCGCGGCTTTAATAATAAATGAATGAGACGTCGACTGTTGGACTTAGACCTGACGCAGTGAGACTGTCGCGGGATTGACCAGGAGGTCAAAATTAGTGTTCCTGGGAGATGATAGGCTGGCTACCAGACGCGCTCTGCACCAGCTCTGTAAGGGCGTATTTTTGCGCTTTTTACAGAGTTTACTCTTGAATCACTCGGTGTATCGTGTCGCGGTTGACAGTGTTGCGCTCAGTAGGACTTAAGGGTCTACTGCCCAGTCGACGACTGTGGATAGTGTCGACGATAGCAAGGCAGTCAGACCACTACTGTGGAATTGGTCTTATGAGTCCATACCAGGCTCAGGGCCATTAGTGACGAGCGCTTGGACCGCGACCATTCCCCAAAAAGGGATCTGTCGTTGCGTCGACTTCTCGAAAAGGGTCATTCTCTGCAGATGGGAACTTGGGCTGAAGGGCTGAGCAATGCGCGACGTTCTCAATAATAGAACTACTACTGGACAGGACTTGGCGTTACGAGACTTAAACCATCTTGTCGCGGCAACTCCCGGTTTTGGGTTGGACGTTTCCTCAGATCGTGCTACGACGACGACTTGTCACATGTCAGGATCCATTCGATCACGGGACATTGTGGACGCGTCGCGGTGACACTCCCAAGTGTCACGGTGAGTCGCGTCCATACCCAAACACACTAGAAATCGACACGGCTAGATCCGTGAACCGAGCCATGTGGGAAACGACTGGCGTGCCTAGGGCCATACGGCTTCTTGGGGCGCCCACGTTGGTCTCACATGCCAAGACATACCCGTTGGCCAATCCAACACGTCGTATTCCAGAAGTATGACGCGGTGGGTTGACCCACATCAAAAGTATCATATGGACTATGGGGCGGGGTCCTGATCACTCAGGACCTGTCTGATCGTTCAACTTTTCAATTACCCTAAAAGGCAACCGATCTTAGATAGCGTAGCTACTATGCAGTTGTACAGGACTTTACTAAGCATCGTCGTAGACAGTATAAGTAGCACGTCGTTTCTTTGTATTAGAAAGCTTTCCCCCGGACTGTGAATCATACCCATATCAGATTGTTTTGTACAATTTGCGTGCCGCGTGATTCCACCCTAAGAAGTTCTGCCACCCCTGCCCGGTCGCGACGAGTTGCTCCCTGAGCACTTGTAGCTACTGTGATTTGAGTTTGAGTTGAGACATCAGAAAGTCGGATTCGCCGCATCTGGTTTAGTCGCGGCATTTAGTGTCGTTGCCTTCGGGCTTTGTTGAGATCGTTCCACACCTCTAGCTTGGCAGTGCGTCGACTAGTTGTGCTCGGGTTGTTTTGGTCAGTTGGCAGTGCGTCGACTTGAGAACTTTGGTTCCACACTTCTTGCTTGGCAGTGCGTCGACAAGTTGTGCTCGGGTTTTGGACATTGGATATTGGCTGTTAGTTGGCAGTGCGTCGACGCGGCATTTTGGTTTACTAGTTGGCAGTGCGTCGACTCAGTACTTTTGGTTGTGTCAGTTGGCAGTGCGTCGACTTGACATTTTGGTTTACTAGTTGGCAGTGTGTCGACTCAGTATATTGGTTGTATCGGTTGGCAGTGCGTCGACTTGATATTTGGGCTTTGCGTCACCATCTAGACGCTGTCACTACAAGGGATCTTAATACTCCGTATTAAGTTCTGACTTGTTATATTGTTGTTTGTGGATTGGATTAGTGTTGGTTGTGCTCATATAGAAGATATTGGTTGAGATACCATTGTTTGCTATATATAAATTCTTGTCGTCGACTTCGTCTCCGCGACTATTGGATCTGCGTCTATTGAGAGTTGTGATACTGGTGCTCTGTCCACCCCGAAGCCCTCGCATCTTTCACACACTGAGAAGCTGATTACGAGGAGTGTGAACGTGTTTTATATTTGGGTTTACTTTCATAGTAGATTCACTTGTGAGCACGCCCTCAGCATTTCACCGGGCCGCGGTTCTGGCAGATCGACGTTCTTCACGAAGTTCCTCCCGGCAGGTGGAGCAACCGGAAGGGCAACGGCTCATCTTTACCTCCTGGGTATCCCAGTTGATCTCCGGGTTGTGCTTCCGGAGCCAGGAGTACCCTAGAATGAGCTGCTGCTTGCCTAAACGGGTGACAGCAAGCTGCACGCGTTCGCTGTGGCCCTGGTAACGGAGAACCACATCAGCAACTTCGCGAATGGAGCCGGCCTCGTTCGGCGTGCCGTCCACGTTGTAAACGGGGATAGGCTGGGTGAGGCGACGAACGGGGAGGTGATTTTCGAGGACGTAGGCCGAGTCGATGAAGTCGGATGTGGCACCACAATCGACCAGGCCTTTGAGAGATAACTTCACTGCGTTGTCGGTGGACTCAATCTCGAGGGGGAGGTGGAGAGAATTGGCCCCGGGAGAGGCGGCAGCGACATAGCAGGAAGGGAGCTTGCGTTCCCACTTCTCCTTACGGACTCGTGGGATTAGAGGGGGAGCAGGGTGTACGTCTATCGCTTCAACTGTTGCAGAGTGGAGGGAATTGGATTCATCATACAGACAGGAGAAACGATTACGTGAAGCGAACGAGGGCGTACTACTCACTCGTCACTGGGGAGAAAACCCTGCTCCTCCTCGGCTGCGACGTTGGACGCATGATCCGCAACGGCTGCAGTGGTCGCGACCCGAGCAACCAACTCGGAAAGCAGATCACTCCCCAGCTGATTGATGACCTCATCGAGGACATCGGTGTGACGAATATCAGCTGGGGTGGGGCAGTCACGGGCAAGATGGCCCGGACTGCCGCAGCGGAAGCAGGTGCGGCGAACGTCACCGCGGAGCCGGGTCCGATCCAACTCCATGGGGATGGGGTGGGCAACAGGAGCCGGCGCCGGGCGAGCAGCAATTGCCGGTGCTACAGCAGGGAGCACCGGGGCACGAGGACGAGGGACGATAGGAGGCGCTCGGGGGGGAGGGACGTGGCCTCGAGACGCCTTGGCAGCTTGTTCCGCATTGTACTGCCGGAACGCACGGACACGCCACTCGGCGTAGTCAGTAAGCCTGGGAGGGTTGCCAGAGGTGGTGATAGCCTGGTTGATCTTCGGATCCAGGCCCGTCCTATATTTGGTCACCTTGACCAGATCGTCGGTATAGCCGGCGAGATCAAGGAGGTCGTCGTATTCGTCCGTGTACTTGAACACGTCACGGGAGCCCATATAATACAGATGGGTCTCCAGTCGCGCCAGGGCGTGGTCTTGCTCGTTCTCCTCGACGAATCGGAGCTTGAACTCGGTGACGAAGAGAGCCCAAGTAGGGAACGGGAATGGAGTGCGCTCGGACATGCGCTCGGACCAGGAGGCCGCGGAGTCCTTGGACATGTAGGACAGGGCGAAGCGGACTACCTTTTCTTCCGAGACTGCCCCATTCACGAAGAACGCCTCAGGAAGCAGACGCCAGTACTGCTTCACTGAATGCAAGAAGCTCTTGCCCAGGGTGCGATCCCCATCGAAGGAGAAGGGGGGATTCGGGCGGATAAGGGGGCGCGCAGGGCTGGCGCCAGTAGGAACACCTGGACCCACTGCCGGAGCTGGAGCAGGGGCAGGGGCAGGGGCAGGGGGTTGTTGTTGTTGAGAGATGAGGCGGGTGAGTACGGCCTCGATGTTCTGTATGCTGGTCTCCAGAGCAGACAGCCGCTGCTGTTCGTTGTCATCCATGCTCATCGGGTCTGCTCGTGGAGGGGAGGAGGGGGCAAGATAGGAGGTGAGGGAGTGGTGGTCTTGGTCGCTCGTTGACTCTTCTCCACTGGCGTCAGCGTTGAACCTCGCAATCTTGTCCGGTTATCCCTAGGAACACGGTTTCTGCTGTAAGGGCAACCTCGAGACCCGATCTCAGAGTTCTGGCAAGGGAGAATCCAAAGGTGATTAATAGTGGTAGCTAGGTACAAGACCGGCATACCTGGCAAGGGAGAATCCAAAGAGAAACCGTGTTGGGGATTCTCCTTGCCAGGCGCCACTATTTATATGATACAAGAACAATGGAGCACGCAGCGACAAACAAAGAACAATGGGGACAATAAGTACAACGGCCATGACAGAACAATGGGAGCGGGGACAATAGGAACAATGGGGCACCTGGCCATGTGCCCATCAAGGAGAAGCGCTCGGCGCAGCAGTCCGGGCCGCGGTACGTGACAGCTGACAGGTCACGCGAGCGCAATCACATGCCTGATCGAAGGCAGAGCGGTCCGAAACGGGGGTTCCCCTGACACCCAATTGCATTTATTTCACACGCATTGACCGAAACCAAACGAAATTACAAGATCTACAACAAGGAAATGCTTGCAATCATGTTATCGCTCGACGAATGGAGGCAGCTACTCCTGGGAGCCACGGAAACATTTGAGATCTTCACCGATCATCAGAATCTTGAGTATTTCCGGAAGCCACAAAAGCTCAACCGACAGCAAGCACAATGGATCACAGGATTGGCGGAATTCGATTTCACCTTACGACACCGGCCCGGCGCACTCAACCGCAAGGCAGATCTCTTATCACGACGGGCAGATCATGACCAAGGCAAGAACAACAACAAGGACATCACCCTGTTGAAGCCCAAGTTGTTCCAAGCACAAGAAGTCATATTCAAGGGACAGGATCAACAGCTGACCAATGAGATCAAGGTCATTCGCTTGATTGATGGAAGTGTCAAGGCAGCATTGGAGAAGTCTCTCCCCGGATGGAAAAAGGAAGATGGACTTATCACATATCACGGGAAGCTCTACGTACCAAGGGATGAGGAGCTATGAGACAAGATCATTGGACTACACCACGACACGCCTCTCGTTGGACACGCAGGGATCAACTGAACGCAGGAGATGGTGGAAAGGAATTACTGGTGGCCAAGGATGGGGAACCAAATTCGAAAATACATCCAGACGTGTGAGGTGTGCCAATGGACAAAGACCAAGAGGGCGAGGACAGGAACTCTGCATCCACATGCGGTACCAAGTGCCCCATGGGAAATTATCTCAATGGATCAAATTGGACCTCTACCAGTCAGCAATGGGTATGATGTGATTCATGTGTGGTGTGACACCCTCACGAAAATGATTCACGTGGAACCAATCAGTACTGACATCACTAGCGAAGGAGTAGCATGGCTAACTCGGGACTGGGTCTTCTGCTATCACGGGATCCCTCGCAAGATTGTCACCGACAGGGATGCACGGTACATCAAGGGCTTCATGAAGGAAACGAATCAGATGTTGGGAGTAGAGATGAACCCTGGGACTGCATACCACCCAATCACGGACGGGCAGACGGAATGCATGAATCAGGAGATCGAGCATTATCTCCGCATCTATGTCAATTACCATCAGACAGATTGGTCAGAGTGGCTGGGAATGGTGGAGTTCGCATATAACAACAAAATGAACATGTCCACCAAAGTATCGCCATTTTATGCAAACCACGGATATCACCCATGGAAAGGAGTAGAGCAGAGGATGGGACCGAGGAATGAGTCGGTGGAGGAATTTGCGAAAAGAATGAAAGAAATACAAGACAAAGCAAAAACAGCATTAGAAAAAGCAAATGAAAAAATGAAAAAATACTACAATAATCAAAGAAAAGAAGTTCCGGAGTTGAAGGTTGGAATGAAGGTGTACATGGAAGGAGGGAATATCGAGACAGATAGGCCGTCAAAGAAGATGAGCAACAAGAGGTTAGGGCCGTACGAGATTTTGGAGAAGGTTGGAGCGGCCGCATGGAAACTGGACTTGCCGGATACGGACCGGAGACACCCAGTGTTCAACGAGTCACTGTTGACACCCTATCACGAACCACCCCCCCATTGCCGAGAGAAGAGACCCGTGGCAAAGATGATTGGAGGAGCCGAAGAGTGGGAAGTCGAAGAAATTGTGAAAGAACGGAAGATTGGCCAAGGGAAACAATACTTGGTCAAATGGAAGGGATGGCCGCACAGCGAAAACACCTGGGAACCATCACGTCACCTAACCCACGCAAAGAAGGTCTTGGCAGCCTGGGAGAAAAAACAATCTAATCCGAACACCCGCATTCGTGCTGTGCCAATACTCTGAGCTGACCACTGGGATTACCTCATCCATTGCTACATACCCAAGGACGAGCAACTTCCATATCCCCGACGACAAATTTTCGACCCCTACGACAACGTCTTCACACCGATCAGCCCTGTCGATGAGGACATCGACCCTAGAGAGGGGGTAATGTCATGATTCAATCATTATTCACAATCATTCCATTGATCACCTTATCTTATCATTGACATGGGACTATCTTATCACGGATCACGGCACCACACGGTCCGGGTTTAGGGTTCAAGAGGTCGCGCGGTGTGTGCTCCAGAAGTCTATACTACAACCCATGACCAAAGCTCCACACGGTACATAGTCAGATGACTCGTTTGATGTAGATAAGACTCAGACTGAACTTAGTATAAATACAGTAGCCATTGTCACTGTGGGGGGACTTATTTTTTTTCCGTGGAAAATGCGTGACAATCTAGAAGTCCGATTTTCACCGTTATGTTTTCAGACAAAAAATATATATTGAAAATAGACGTCGATTTACAGCTCGACTATTACCATGAATAGACATCTATTCCTCCCAAAAACAGAACTGTAAATAGATCATCTTTTTTTTGATTGATTCCCACTGGGAATAGATGTTGATTTTCACTGTAAATAGAGACAAAGAAAAGATGATCTTTTTTCACTGAAAACAGATTAAAACCACTGGAAGAATCTGTTGATTCTGGCCCCAATTTGCATCCCTGGCCTTGCAAAAGGCTACTGGATGCTACTCACAACATGTTGGAATTATGCTGTAGGACTTGTGATGTAAATTGGGGCCAGAATCAACAGATTCTTCCAGTGGTTTTAATCTGTTTTCAGTGAAAAAAGATCCTCTTTTCTTTGTCTCTATTTACAGTGAAAATCAACATCTATTCCCAGTGGGAATCAATCAAAAAAAAGATGATCTATTTACAGTTCTGTTTTTGGGAGGAATAGATGTCTATTCATGGTAATAGTCGAGCTGTAAATCAACGTCTATTTTCAATATATATTTTTTGTCTGAAAACATAACGGTGAAAATCGGACTTCTAGATTGTCACGCATTTTCCACGGAAAAAAAATAAGTCCCTCCGCAGTGTGTGTTGTATTCTCCAGTCTTGGAATTGACTTGTCTTTTCGATTGTATTCTGTGTTGATTGTCACAGTATGAGAGAAGTCTTCAAATTATGTGACAATCAACCCAAAAACAAAGTCAATAAGAAAAATAAATTCCAAGACTGGGGAATACATGACAATAGCTACAGTATTTATACCAGTCCCAGTATGAGTCATATCTACATCAAACGAGTCATGAGACTATGTACCGTGTGGACCATTGGTCATGGGTTGTAGTAGAACCTTCTGGAGCACATGTCATGCAGCCGCTGTACAGATAACCCCTCTGAACCTCTAACCTGGACTGTGTGATGCTGTGATCCGTGATAAGATTACCCGATGTCAAGATTAGATAAGATTGTTGATAGAATGGGAATGGTGAAAAGTGATCAAATTATGACAAGGACAGCAAAATCACACCAGAGGAGATTGAGAAAGCACTTGTTGATGGATATACCGGTCCGGGGTTTGTGACTTGGACCACCTCCTATTCTGGGTTACTTTAATTGCCCTAAGGTGTCACAACCACACCTCAGTTGTCTACCATCATAGCCAACTGAGGTGCGTTCTAACTTACTGCTTATTTGGGCCACTAGATACTTACCATACCTGTAGATCTGATTGTTCTCTGTCTACAAGTTAATACATGAGTCATCTCCCATCATAGCCGACTGAGATCTGATTGTTCTCTGTCTACAACACTGATGACAGTGAGATTAGTGCTGGCCAAGATATGATATGAATACAAAAATTCTGTATCATATTCATCAGGGAGGTCTCATATTGTATTTCTAGTTAATCATATTCATATTGACCCACTGAATACAAATATGATTTGGATATATTCAAATATATTCTACTTCTCATGAATTCGAGTGAAATCAGTGTAATTCACTCCCTATTCAAGTTCAGATCTCAGCCATTAGCACTAAGAGCATTATGGGGTAGATTTAGGTAGGCCAGGCGGAATCTCGTCGTTACAGGGAGCTATACGAATAAGGAAATCCCAGCCAGCGGAGCCATCAATTCGGCGGACAGTACACCGATTACAACCGAAAGCGGTACGTCCTTTTACAGCGAGCTATCACCTGCTATCACTGGGTTATCCGGGGTGGTGAGAACGTAGCAAGAGTGGCGGTGTGATAACTCCCCGTAACAGTATGATTCACTCACCCAGACTCACCCAGTCCACTTTTCGTCAATACTTCCCTGCCAAATGCACACTCGCAATCCCTACGCAACGCCGCCTGATTTCCTCGTTTTGTCAAAAGGCTGTCCCAGCCTCGAATCATCGTCTGTCTTTCCTGACCACGTCCATCTTTCCGTCACTTCATCGAATCTCCAGTCTGATCAGAGTTGGTGATACATGGACAATTGACTTCAAGAATGAGCAGTCGCAGCGGTCCGTGTTCGTTCGGCCCATCCGAGATATTTTCTGACACCTGTTCCTGCAGACGTCTGACCGAGGCCATCCTTCACCGCGACTTCAGGTTGTCGGTGCACCTACCATTAGACAGACTTTGCCCGCCAGTATGTAGGTGCCGTCACAGAACACCAAGAGCATATTCATGTCGTGGATAGGTACCTAATAGGTTCGGTGGCTGAAGCCATCCCGCCTTCTTCCGCTGACCGCGCGCAGAATAAACTACGTGTTGTGGATCGAAGACATCATGAACGCCTGTGGGTTTGCGGAGCAGGCGGTTTGCGGGATGGATATGTGCGTAGACCATCGATGTGATTGACCGTCGCGATGCTTATGTCCCGCAGTGGTACCGGCGCGTCTGCTATATACCCACTTCTCGCGTGTCGGATGAATACGACGTGGTCCTTCGTTGCAACAGGCAAGTCCATCCTCAGCTTTCCGACAAGCCACTGATCTACTGGAGCTTTCTTGCAGACGTCGACCCGGTTTCAATCGCTTCAGCCCTGTCCAACGTCACTCAAAACGAGCTTGGTTCGCGCATCCAAATCATCCCGACCACACCGAATGCTCGTGTCTACGCATGGCTGCATGACAATCCCGAGGCGTGCGTGAAGTTCACTATGTGCAACCCGCCTTTCTATAGCAGCCACGAAGACGTGCTGGCGTCTGCTGTGGCCAAGGAGTTCCAACCTCACGCCGTGAGTCGCAGATCCGTTATCAGCTTTGAAAACTGATATCGGGCAGGTTTGCACAGGCGCCGACGTCGAAATGATCACACCTGGGGGCGAGGTCGCCTTTGTTCGTCGAATGCTCAGTGAGAGTGTCCAGTTGCAGGAACGATGCTGGTCAGTGTACAGATCTCCTGATCGAGTTCGGCTCTTCTTGACGGTAATAGCTGGTATACCTCGATGCTCGGGAAGATGTCATCTTTGGCGGACATCGTGGCTGCCTTGCGCAGTTTGAATGTGAGCCGATTGGCTCGAAGCGTTGCACGGTTGGCTCACAATGCAGCAGATTGATAACTATGCTATCACCGAGTTTGTGCAGGGCACGACGCGTCGCTGGGCTGTCGCATGGTCCTTTACGGATTGGAGACTGCCGGATGCAAGCACCCACAATCATGAATGCATCCATCTCATCTCTGATATCTTCACCAGACGATCTCGCGGATCTCGAATGCCCAGCTGCAGAATCTGATGCCTGCAAGAAACGTCCTTCGTCAGCCACTCCAGCATTCTCCGTCCGCGGACGACCTTTCTGCGATCTTGAGCGCGATAGAGGATATTGGAGTCGAGCGCGAGCCCGACGACAATGCGTTTTCGGTGCGCGCTACACGGGTCACTTGGTCGCGGACCGCTCGGCGAAAGAAGAAGCAAAACATCATCGTCGAACCGGCGCCAACCATGACGCCGATCCTCGTCTGTCGTCTGCGCTTAGTGGGACTCGTTCTAGAATCGCAGTGGGTCACTGGGAGGAGCAGATTAGTGTTTGAGGGATTCACGAGCCATGTCGGACGGAAATTGGCCAAGGGAGACCAGTCTGAGGGCGCATCTTAGGCATGATTCGGATGGATGTTTCACCTGTGTCATCGATGATATTTCGTCACCAGGGGCAGAGTCGCCGTCAGTCGCACCAAACAAGATCTTGACCGTCGCATCAGCTCCGGGGACCGTGAGGCCAATGCTATCGACGTCGAGATAGCTCTTGTTGTTTCGGTGGTCCTATCGTACCGAGCGTAAGACAAGAAGTTGGTATTCCCCGACAAGTCTAGAACAATCTAGTGACCATCTGAACTTGAGTTGAAGGTTCAGCTGCGAGGTGGTAAATGATCCGGTTGGATATATCGGCTGCGAAGACCTGCCGCTCGGCAGTGTTTGTCAAGACTGCAGTTGTGGGTTTAAGTTTTGTATCACCGGGTCCGCCATTTGGTAAGGGAAAGACCCCGTAGGGCTCTTACGGTGCGTCGAACGTTCTCTTCAGAATGCGTCGTTCTCATCTTCGTGTACTTATGATTTCCGTAATAGAGGATCATGCGCGGGAATGTTTCCGGCGGTCGACCGATGTTCACGTGCACACTTTCGAAATAACAACAGCTCTTCTAAGTTCTCCCTGAACCTCCATCGGACTGCCGGTGTATATTTACCTGGAGCAAAGAACCGCTATGCCTTGCCTGGCAGTCGCTGCCAGGTCGGAACTTTCTGGACTGTGTGTAACGGCGGTTGTCGGCCTTTGCTTTCCCTGCCGCATTCGCATACTCCTCTTGGATAGCTAGAGGGAAGCATCGAGGAAGCATCGCCCATCATTTCTTACCAAGCGTCTCTCTGCTGAAGCCTGTCCCCGAATCTCTGGAAGAGACGAGGGATGAACATCACATTTCATGATCAACATATTACGCTCGGTCCGCGACCGCGGTGTCTGTATGGATCACTATAGCGTTGCGACCCCCATTTAGTACTGCTGGCCGATTTTTGTCCATTAGAACCTTTGCCGTGATCGATTTTGGCTTAGTAAACCCCGACCCGACCGACGCCCTCATTATCGTCCGCGGGACACACAGGACACAGTGGCAGAGCAGATCGCGATGCAGGACTCCTGGTTACCGACTGTATTTTGAAACATTGCACATTGACTTGCTTCCAAGAATACAGCAGTGATGTCCTATCTGAATCGAACAGATTTTGCATGCATAGTTTAAGCTCAGATGCGGAGATCACTCACTGGCATTTGATAAGATGGCTCAAGGAAGGGAGTGACAGATACGAGCATCGGCTGAAGATCATTCTGTCATAGACCGGCCTCTTGGTCAGAGAATACGGAACGAAACCAAGCCCGCGGCACACGGGCTTTGTGAGCAAGTTGATACCCCGCGAAACACCTCACACAGTCAGCCATCGTCCCATCTACCCATCTAGACACTCTCCTGTCATATCTTGCATCAGATCGTTTCTGCTTGGTGATAAACGTTCAAAGTCCAACGTTTTGTGTAGAATGAGCAGCGCGGGGAAGAGATGAGATAAGATGCGCAGCACCGCCACTGCGGCCTGTGACCTAATCAGAGGCAAGCACTGGCAGCAGTTGCCTTTCCTTCGCTTCTCGGCAAGGTCCAGTGAATACCGCTGGATGAAGTCATCCACCCAGCCTTCTAAAATACTATCGGGTCATACACAAGGGTATGTGAGCTAAAATACGCATTAAATCCGGAGTCCAATAGTCGTCTGCCCGTTCGTCATCGGTCCTTGGCGTTCTTCGCTTCCTCCTCACGGATCCGATTCATCTCGTTCCTCATCGCGGTCGAACGCTTCACCACATCGAGTAGACCTTGAACATGGTCGGGCTTCCATCCGTCCGGTAGCCTCTCCTCGCCCAACCACCGCCGCATCCACGGGAGGGGCACACCCTTGCGGCCCTCGACCGTCTGCTCCCACACGCCGAGGATGATCGCCATCTCCCCGCGCGCAATCTCCGCGTGCAGCGGGTCCAGCGGCGGCGAGAGCTTCTCCCGCCGCAGCCGCGTCTGCACGATGTCGTCGCCCGTCACAACGACCTCGGTCTCTGCCATCGTCTCGACCCCGCGCCCGACCTTGATCGCGGCCGACTGCACGACGTGGGTGGCAAAGGCGTTGACGAGCTCCGGATGGACCTTAATCGGGGCATCCTTTTGGTCCGGGGGACAGTCCTCGTGCACGACACTCGCGTCGTGCTCGACTCTCCCGTGCGCCCCGAGTTCGAACAGGTTGATGCGCACGGGGAGGTACTTCCTGAGGAGCACCCACCCGCCGGTAGTCAGGAAGATGGCTAGCGGGGAGGAGAGTCCATAGCACGCCTTGAGCCCATGGATCATCTGCCACGGACTGATGTTCTTCCCGTCGCGCGGACTGTCGGTGAATGAGTGACCGGGGCGCTTACAACAGAGTAGGATCTGAGAGACTTACATGTATCCGTGGTTTGCCATGGCGTTGATTGCAGGGCAGACGGAACGTATATCCCCCTCCTGAGGCGGGATAAATTCGTATTCCTGGCCCGTTACAGGGCATTTGCCATTGCCAGCATCGACGGGTGGATGGCTGGCCGGGAGAGTTTCGGTTGACGAGGACATATCTGAGGGTCGGATACCTAGATAACCGAACAGCGCTCTTTTTGAAGGGCCGCCTCTTATGCGTGTGAAACCGGACCTGAAGATTGAGCGATGGCAGTCATGGGCGGCCAGGTACTACCGAGCCAATCCTGGTTGACAGATGTACAGGGATGCGGTGCGCTTGGATGGACGGAAGTTTGATTCTGGGCCGCAGATGTTTACTTTTCGCTCATCGGCTGCTTTGTTGTGGACTGCTGAGGAGCCCAGCGCCTTGGATTTCGCATGTGTTTTCTGCAAGCGTGCCATGAGTCCACGCTGTGTCATGGATCCACGCTGCGCATTTCGCTTAGTGTCTCCTTCAATGCGAGGTTTCAAACATTTAGCGCTCGCTCGAATTGAATCTCCGTGCAAGGCGATGTATATTTATGGCTGTGCGCAAGAACACCCAGTCCGCTTATACATGCGTGCATCAGGCGCTCGGGGTCTTCTATCCGGTAGAGTAACCAACGGTAGCATGACGCCTATGATGATGATCCGGAAGAAACCGGCCGCCACGAGCAAGGGGATGATGTTATGACTAGAACTACAAATTACGATGCAACAGATAGAGATACAGTAGATTAGACATGTGTAGGTCACACGAGAGACAGCCTCAGCCCCGGTCGGACGCCGAGGTCGATCTGCTTGATCTTGACAGCAAAGCGGTCCCCGACCCTCGTCGTTGGCATGCGCCAGGTGCCGATATCCTGCAGTTGCCCAGAGATCCCAAGCCGCGGAATGCGAACATCGACGTCGATTTCGCCCGAGTAATTGTTGTGGATCGGTGGGTTCATCACCACGGCATCGAGCTGTTGAAGAGGGTTCGGCCCATCCCGTCTCAACGAAGCTGGCGTCAACATCTGTCGCTTGAGGGCCATCAGAGCCCAGAATCGCTGGTGCAGTGATTCACTGCGTCGCTTGAGAATGTCGTCACGACTAATGAAAAGTCGCTGCCCCTCGATCCAGTCAGCCGAGAAAGGGAGCGGTTTTCCGAGCAGGTGGCTTTGCACTTGATAATGCACGAGCAGATCGGTGAAACGACGCAGGGGAGAAGTAGCTCTGGTGTAGCCATCCGTCGCTGGAATACCCAACGCCCAGTGAGCGCTCGGCTCCAGACTGTAATTGCCGATAGGGAGCTGGCAAAGAGCCATGATAGTAGACGTGTCCACGTAGCCAGCCTCATCTCGTGCCGCATACAATTTCTCCCAGTTTTCTGGACTAGCAACCATCTTGGCTGAAGCCCTGCGTAGAACCGGGATTCCCCGGTCCCTGCACCAGACAGACACACCCCAGCACGCGAGTTTCATCGCTTCTCCGACGATCGCCCGGGCCCCAAAAGCATTCGCGCTGAACTTGTGCACGGAATAATCCAGCTTGGGGAATCCCCGGAACTCGCTGGGCTCAAAGATGGGGCTTGTCATGTCCAACGAAGGAGGCTCCGGCATGTCGACTCTGGATACTTCGGACTCCGTCTCGATCAACCCCATGTTGTACCGCCGCCGCTGCATCCGATCTCGTATCTTGCCGAGGACCCGCAGATCTTGCACACACTTGTCCGGGACCCGGGACATCGCAGGGGCAGGCGGCGGCGCATCAGATAGAGGATACCAACGCTGGGCTACGACGCCGTGGACCGCGAGATCCGCATCGTCGTAGCTCATCTTGATCACATTCCGCACGATGCCGGGTCGCACCAAGACCTCCCGAAGACTGCCTTGCTTGTCGATTCTCGTGCTGATCGTCAGCACCCGATTCTCCTGCCCCCCGACAAGTGAGAATCCGGGCAACGAAGAGTGGACGAGACTGGTGGGAAGCAGGGGGAACGTGCGATGATTGAAGTACATCGTCTGGAGCTGCAGCGCTGCTCTGCGAGCTAGAATGTGCGTGTGCGGCAGTGTCGACGTGGGGTTTGCGATGTGAGAATGGACCCAGTAGCTGCCGGGTTTGCCGATAACCTCTTCGTACGAGACCCCATCGTCCAGCTCGTGAGCGTTCGCATCGTCCATGACATACACGGCGAGATCTCCGAAGTCATGACGGAAACTCTCCATTGGATCGGTCTTGTAAAGATCTTCCGGGCCAAGCGGACCGCTCGGTGCCGGCGGCAAGCTCATCGAACGCTTGACGATAGCCTCCTTCTCCTGGTAGCTAGGCGAAAGCGCGGGCGGTCGAGGATCAAAGCCTAGTTCCCGTTGCAGAGACATCAAGTCCTGCCAGGGAGCATATACCCCTAGATTCACCAGCGTCTCATGAACCAGATCGTCCGTCACCTCGGCCTCTGGATAGAGCAGCCTTAGGATATAACTTTGCGGAAGAGTGTACGGATCCTTTTGGGTACTACGGCGAGTCCGCAGTGAGAGCTGGAGAAACCGCAAAATGTCGACTTCTTCAGATGTCCAGGTGTGCGTCCCGGGAGCCTGAGACGGAGGCTCGGTCCACGACTCTACACTGATCTTGCGTTGCCGGTCGATCACCGCCAGTGCGCGAGTGGCGAAAGCCTTCAATAAGTCGGATCCTTGTCTTGTCCACCCCGACACGCGCGTTATCAGGGCACATTCTGAGCGCGGACGGAGGATGAAGGTCTTTGTTTGGATATAGCCGAGTTCAGGGACGAAGTGTAACGGGTTCTGCATCATATGACGATGTGCCGCGAATATGGTGACCATTGAGATGGTGGGTGAGAGACCGCCGAAAAGACGCGCCACTTCGGGGGTGGTAGTCTTTCCCCATGCCTCGGGATCGCGTGCGCTCAGAACCTGATACGCTCGCCCTATACCCGTAACATTCATTTTTGAGGCCTCTTTCTCCACAGCGTTAGCCAGCTCCAGAATCTTCTTTAAGACCGTAACACGCGCATTTTGCTGCACCTTGTTCTGTGCCGTGGCTTCGGTAGAGCAGCGGGCTGCGAGGTCGGGGGAAATGAAACCAGGAACAGCAAACATGACATCGTCCTTCAATGCAAAGAGGACCTCTCCTGAGGACGTGAGACCAACGATTCGGCGCTGACCAGCCACCTGAATCTCTTCGAGGACCACACACATCACCGTCCCTTCATTTCTGTGCAGCGTGATCAGCGAACACCCTAGAAATATTGCAAACTGAACGCGCCTGCGCAACTCTACAAAAGTCCCAGGCATGAAACTTTCGGACGGTCCTTCGTCACCATCCAATCCTCCGAAGCCGGTTCCCGGTTCGGGAGCTTCAAACGCCCTCTTCTCGAGCGAGCCCACAGATGCGGACCTCAGCACAGGTATCGCTTGGCTCAGTCTGCGATTGTCTCTCCCGGGATTTGTGAACACCTTCCAAGACTTGTTGGGAGGCTTCGGAGAAGACGCCAAGTCCACGAGTCCCGCCGAAAACTCGGTCAGTTCAGCAAATTCCTCCGGTGAGAGCGACCGTTTGCCGGTCTCAGTCCGGCGGGTCTTTTGGCTGCGGTCATCGAGCAGACGAGAGGACGTGGAGAATGAGTGGTAGAGACCACTTCGGCTTGCCCATATCCTGCGCGTCGCAGAGCGCACCAGGGCAACGCGACAAGGGTGCATGCAAAAGCAGAAGAAGGCTTTTCCTAAAGGAGCTAATTTTGATCGTTTTTCTTCTCCGTCCCGTCGCCAAACCCGAAATGTTCAAACGCGTCGAAAAACGCCGTCGTAGACAGGAAGAGGAGGAGGAACTAGGGATCGACGATGCATTGAAGGATGTGCTTGGGCTGCACGATACAGATTCGGAGGAGTCGGACTCGGAGGAGTCGGATGATTCTGCCTCCGGCTCAGATGAAGTCGAGGAAGACGAAGGAGGCGGAGAGGAAGAGGAGTACGGTGACGAAGACGAGGACGATGAAGACGAGGATGAAGAAGACTCCGACGATGACGGGCATGAAGGGCAGGAAGACTCTGAGGACGAGGAATACCATCCCTCCATGGCCATAAAAGATGCTCTCACGTATCCTATATACACGCTTCCCTCAGCACCGGACGTCGAAGAATGCATCGTGTGCCCCGGCAGGCAGTTCAAAACGGAAGATATCGTCAAAACACACGTCGATTCTAAGGTACTCATTAACATTCGTCGAACTACGCGGGATCTCATTGAATGATGCAATTAGGCACACCAGCGGCGACTCAAACAGTTCAGGGCGTTTGCCGAGTCAACTGGTACCTCAAAAGACTCGGACGCATGGGAACTTGTCAAGCGGAGACAGAAAGAGATACCATCCGCTGTGGTAATTGCGTCCACCACACCGTTGAGAACACAGTTGTCCAAACGGGGTCAGAAGCGTGAAAAGGTGAATAGCAGTCCAGTGACACTGGATCTCGTGTTCTGAAGTCCGAGCAGCAAAGGGCGGATATCGAACTGAAGCGTAAAAAACAGCTCCAGAAGAAAATGAAACAGAAATCCAAGGCCGAAAAGGAAAAGGCCACAACTGTCCCTGCAGTCGAACCGCTTCGCAAGAAGAAGAAAGTCGAGCAGGGCGAAAGAGAGAAGCAGGTCCCTGTTGCTGCAGCTCCTTCTAGCGCATCTAAATCTCGAAAGATGGAACGCACAGCGAAACCAGAGCAGAACGGGCACAAGCCCGAGCCCAAGCACAAGGAGATGCCTGCCACCCGAAAACGAGAACAGAGAGACGATCAGCCCAAATCGAGAAGCAAGGACCAGAAGCCAGGCAAGAGGTCCAAAGTCGATAGGAGCAATGCGTTGCAGATATTTGATTAGCTTACAAGCACGAACAGTCCCATTGTCCATTATAAATAGCCCATATAAGGTACAGGGTAGAACGAGCCAGAACGGTTGGGATCATGCGAGCGACTGCAGCACTCGGTCAGTCAGTTCGAGTACCTGTATCGTTCGCGTCAATTGTGATATCGGGTGAGTGCGTCTGCTGTATTCATACAGACCTTGTGGATGTCCGGACGTTGTCTTGGTTCCGGGTTTAGCATAGTATTAACAAGATCCTTGAATCCCTGGGAGTAGACCGAGTTTGCCGGGTGCTTGTATTGTGCGTTGAGGACTGCCATCGCAATGCTACCACCCTGCTCAGTGATCTGCGGGTTTTCGAACGGGGAATGCGAATATGCCATCGCAAAAAGAGTGCAGCCGAGAGACTGCGAAAACATCGGACTTTCATCACTGTTCTTCAGTAGAAGGTGCCTACCCAAATATCGACCTTCTCATCAAGAGTTGTGTCGTTTTTCACGTCATACAGTTCCGGAGCTCGATATGCCATGGTGCTTTGCTCAGCCGCGATATCCTTTCATTCGGTCAACGAACAGCAAAAGCATCGAACGTTATGCCAACCTGCTGAACGAGGGCTTGGGACCGATTTGTGATCGGTATCCTTGCCTTGATGCAACTTCCAAAGTCCATGACAATCGGGGCGCCTTCGTCCGAAATCATGATGTTCCTTTCGCTCCTTCAGCGCTGCTCCATTCCCCGGATAACTTGACAAACATACCCTGGCTTCAGATCCCTATGAGCATATGGGACAATCTCTGTAGGACCTCCACTCTTCACTTGCAACTGCACTGGACCAAGCTCTTGGTCGCCTTCAAACACAGTATCACCCTGCTCGACACGTCTCCTTGTGACCAACGGCACCGAGGCACCGTCGTATGAATATCCACCATCCTCGTCACCGTCAGGTTGCGGGAATCGTTCGTCATCCTCGTCGTCGGAGTGATTTTCAGGTTGTGATTGGGGAGGAGGTGGTGCCCGCGAGTTGGAGCTGGGATTGGGAACAGCAGCTCCGACGGGCGCTCGGTAGGTGTGCATGGCCCGTACAGCTTCGCACGTTCCCTTGAACAGTCGCATCATCTCTTGTTCAGGGAAATGTGTACCATTGACTACGTGTGTGTTGATAGAGTCTTGGATATTCCCGCGCTGGATATCTAGTTCAGAGAGCGTGTGAAGCACAGATAGGCAACAAACCTTATAGAGTGGAAGGAACAGGTACACGATCTTGCCCTCCCCGTCAGGGTCCTGAACCACAGCCGAGTCCTACGCTCGTTGAGATGAGATCAAAAGGAGATTCCGAGACGATGATACCAGAATTCGGATGATGTTTGGATGCCTGTCACTGGATTTCAGCAATACGAGCTAGAGCAAAATAGCCAAACGCACTTGAAACGGCGATAGGCCTCGACCTCTCGCATGGCTTCCTTCACGCCATCCTGACCCGTTGGACAGCGAATCTTCTTGAGCGCGAATTGTCGCTAGGCACGTCCAGAATGTCAAATGAGACTGAACCCGGCCGTACCTGTGACGTACCCCGCTATGTTCGTCCTGGGCCAGATACACAAACGAGAATCCACCTTCTCCCAGGACCCTTATGATCTTGACTGCTCTCCAGGTCAGCTAACTATCTCTTCTCTCAGACGGTACGCACAAGTCCGCCCGTTGATCTTCACTTTTGCGGATTGCTGACATACGCAGGAGGAGAGAGCATAGAGAGCGTCTTTGGCCTGGTCTTTGACGCTGTCAAAGACTCGTTGGAGTGAAGAAGTCATGAAAATGAGGGGATAGAGCACAGCGGCGTAAGTTAAAGTAGAACGTGTGCAATGAGGAGAACGGAGCAAGTTGTCATTAGGTAAGCAGCATTACGGCTTGTCGTCAACTTCCATTCGACTTTTATAAGCTTACAGGCTCTGGCTTTCCTGACTCTCTTCTCGTGTCCTAGGGGATGATTTTTTCAGCCTGTATGTCGTCTGTTCTAGCCCCTCAAACGAATCCCTCCTAGTGACTTGTGACATGTAGTCCCATTCTCTTACTATATATAGCTGCACGGTCCGCATCGTTAGCTGAATATATCATCCCGTGTTCGAGACTACCATCCTTTCGCTACTCAACCGGACATCGGGCGCACATGTACGCATCAGACGTTTGGGGGACGTCCGTCAGCTGGGTGGAATGACCTCAAGCGGCATTCGACGCCGAGAATGTGATGTTCTCACGGAGCGGGCTATTATCTGTCTTCTCTGACTTTGCGCCGCATCCAATCTCGAGTACTACTCCAACGATATTTCGCCTATCCCGAGCAGCTTGCATGCCAGTTGTCTGACATGGTCTACTCAGAGCGTTGACAGCCTTGGCCCCGCGTGCAATTGATCATCGCGAACTTCTCGATTCGCTCATCTTCGACCCACATGAGCGATCCCCTAGCAAACCCGCGGTTCTTTCTTTGATTCGCATCATTACCCAGCACAATGCGCGGTCCGCCAGCACCGTGCACCATGTCCCATGGTCGCATGACGTTCCGGCAAATCACCTATAGGCACCGTGCAGGATTTCCCTCTTGTCTCCTGCCATAGGTGAAAACTATGTGGAACTCCATTCTCGTCGCTCTGCTCGTCTTTGTATCCAATGCCCTTGGCTCGAGCTCGCATCATAAGTCGACTCTGCAATTGCGCAATTCGACTGGCTTAACCGATGTCGTCTCTTGGGATCCTTTCTCGCTCTCGATCATGGGGCAGCGGGTCTTCATACTCTCAGCGGAGATCCATCCCTGGCGACTGCCCGGTAACCCGGAGCTTTGGGCGGACCTATTCCAGAAAGTAAAAGCAAACGGTTTCAACACCGTCTCGTTCTACACGCACTGGGCACTGCACTTCCCGACGCCGACCACCAACAACTCACATGGTAAGACTAGGGTATCTCGTGCAGCTGGGACATTCGTGCTGATCATCGCACCCCTTACTCTAGGTGACTTCCAACCCAACACGTACCGGGACATGGAACTGTTCATCCAGGAGGCTAAAAATGCCGGCTTGTGGTTGATCGCTCGACCTGGACCTTACATCAGTTTCGTCCGCTTCGTCCTGCCAATTCCGCTTTGACTCACGCCCTTCTCATTGAAGATGGAGAAACTACGGGAGGAGGCTTCCCGGGTTGGGTCGGAAACATCGCAGGTGACACTTTCACAAGAGCGGCAGGCTACGCCATCAAGACTGACATAACTTACAGGATCCCTTCGCACCAACAATCCCAACTACACCCAAACGTGGATACCTTACATGACCGCAATCACACAGATCCTTGCTCGCAATCAGGTCACCCAAGGTGGTCCCGGTGAGTGATACGGTCCCTCCAGCCAGACGGCGCGGATTGACCATTCATTTCCGCCAGTCATTCTCATCCAGTCGGAGGTATTCCTTCCCACACGTCTCCGTTATCAACATACTGACCGGGCATTTCAGAACGAGTACAGTGCTGGCTCTACTCACTCACCGTACATGCAAGATATCATCAACCTGTATCGCGCAAATGGCATTGTGATCCGTCTGTGTCTTCTGTTTCAATCCGATTGCGTTACAGCTTATACTCCCAAACCAGCGATCACGTTCAATGATCAGCACAGTGGAGCTGCCGGGTTGGTGGATATGGTCTCCAGTTTCTCCCTGTCTGATCTGAGGACAGCAACTTCTCACCGGACAAAGGAGGGGAGGGTGCAGTCAACATCTATTGGTTTGCTCGTTTCCGCAGATCGATCTGGTTGTTTATTGATGCTGTGTTATAGCGGGGATTCATACCCCCAGGGTGGAAACTCTTGGAGTCAAGTCCAGGCCATCTATTATTCAAATCACAAGGCTGTTGCGCAATCCAACCCTCTATGTTTGGCTGAGGTGAATCAATTTACCACGAGTTTGGTCTGGTGTCAAAGTATTGACCAAGTTTAGTTTGGTGGTGGCTTTCTCATCAATTGGGGAGGTCCTGCATTTGGAGGCACTGGCTATGAAAAATTCAGTGTGTCATGTTTTTACACTGATAACCCTTGTTCTGAACTGTATCTACAGGCCTCAACCCAGGTCTCACCAATGCAGACTATGGTATACTTTTCAGTCCTACTTGTGCATGATTTTGTCCCTGACTAGAGCTGTTCCAACTAGAAAATGTCTTTTATAAAGATGCAATGTGAGTGAATGCAATAAGACTGCTCAGGCAAATAACAGTTACTATCCAGCTCACAAACTGCCACTATTCTAAGTAATAAATTGTCTGAACCTTTACCACTGTAACTGACAATCTAACAGATGTCTACAGTGACTAGGTTTCCGAACTGGATGTTACAGTGCTGATATCTATACAGTGATATATGGTGGCACCAACTGGGGTCAAACTGCTGCACCAGTTGTTTTCACATCTTATGATTATGGTGGAGGCAAGTCTTCCTATTGGTTGTTCTTGGAGCAATTCTCAACCCTCTTCTTATCTAGGAATCAATGAGAACCGTGTGGCATTGACCAAAATGAATGAGATGAGACTGCAAGGTATGTGAATGTATCTAATTGACTTTTATTTGTATCCCATTTTATGTAGGTGCCTTTCTCCGGGTATCCCGGGATCTTCTTGGAGCAACTCTACTTGGGAATGGGACAAACTACACCACATCCTCTCTGGTTCATACAGCAGAGTTGAGGAATCTGCAGACTGGGTCTGCCTTCTATTTTACTCGTCAAAACAGTTCTCCGTGAGTGGCAATCTGTTCTGGTGGTCTCTGTATTCATGCTGAATATTGTAGATCCACTGCATTGGTTACAACTCAAATCAATGTTCAGACATCTCTGGGCTCTTTGCTCATCCCCAAGACTGGCAGTATCACATTCAATGGCCGTGATAGCAAGGTAGAGATCTCCCAATTCCTACCTTGCAAATGCTAATCACTTCTTCAGATTCTTGTTATTGATTACAGCTTTGGAGCCAGTGCAAGCAAGATCTTGTATTCAACTGCAGAGTGTGTGATCTGATCAATCTGCTCATCTGGAAGAACTTATTTATGTTGCACAGAATTATGACCTGGACCACGTTAGTGATTTTCTCTCCTATACATAATAACTATTGCTGACTTTGGGTGTTAAATAACTGCAGGATTGATGGGACAGATTATGTCATCATTTATGCTGCTGCAGGTCAGACAGGAGAAACTGCCTTCATCTTCAATCCTTCTGGCCCAGTGAATGTCACAGTATCCAACCCCCAAGTTACATCCAGCATTGTCAATGGTACTCTCATTCTCAACTACATACTGAATGGAACAGTATTTGTGCCAATCACACATGGCACATCTCAGCTTGTAGTCATTCTGGTGGAGAAGGATCTGGCATATCAATGGCATGCTCCACTTATTGCTGGGACTGGGAATTTTGGAAATTATTTCTCAATTGGAACTAATTCAACGTCAGTCATTATTCTGCACACTGTTTGTTTATTGATTTTCTTCTAGTGTGCTGGTTTCTGGGCCATATGTTCTACGCACAGCTACTATCAGCAGTGGAATATTGTCTTTGGTATTTCAGTCCCCCCTTATACCCTCCTTTTGGCTCAAATTACATTGATAGACTGGAGATCTTAATGGAACAACTTCTATTGAGATTGTTGCTCCTCAAGCTGTCACTGGATTCAAATGGAACAATGCAACAATCCCAACTAGCAAAACCACACATGGGTCCTTTGTTGCTACTATTGGCACAAAGGTTGCCCTGTCTCTTCCAACACTTGGACCTTGGAAAGTCTCTGGCAGGTAAGTGACCAGGCAGAGCTTGTTAAATCATAACTAATCTTTTTGGTTAGCCTGCCTGAGATTGATCCCAACTTCAATGATTCTTCATTCACTATTGCAAACTTGACCACAACCAATGTAAATTCAAATTTTATTTGGTTTCATTTTCTGATCAACACGTGAACAGTATACAAACTTGCCACCACTTTCTGGATCTCAAGTCCTGTACTCTCAACAATATGGGTAATTCTCACAAATACTACCTCTTGAACACCAAGTAACATTTCACACAGATTCTATGGTGGAAACCTTATCTTCCGAGGGCGTTTCCAGGCTACAGGTCAAGAAACTGCAGTCAACCTGACAGTCATGTATGGCTTTGCTGGAGGGTACTCAGCCTGGTTGAATGGGATTTTCCTTGGCTCCAGTCAAGGAAATGCCACTGTCAGCTCCTCTTCTGATGTTTGGGTATTCCCCAGTGGTGCAGTCAAAGCTGGAAAGACTAATGTACTAGTTGTTCTTCAAGGTGGGTGCCTGTTCTTACTTTGCTTATCCTTACTGATTTGAAATTGTAGACCACATGGGGTATGTTCATTGTGCTACACATCCATCCAAGTTATTCACCAATACACATGAAATTTAGCCTTCCAGAGTCAAACAGTCAGTATTCTTCTCCTCTTAAAGTTTTACCAACTTATTCTATTTAGGCAATGGTGCCAAGGAGCCTCGTGGCATCCGGGGCTATGCTTTGATTGGGGCCAGTACCAAATTCACATCTTGGACTCTTCAAGGCAACCAGGGAGGTGCTGCTGGTGCACCAGATACCTTCCGTGGTTATCTTAATGAGGGGGGACTGTATGCAGAGAGAATTGGTGCTCATCTTCCTGGTTTCCCAGATTCGTCATGGGCTGCAGGATCACTGCTGACTGGTCTCACTACTGCTGGAGTCAACTTTTACCGCACCAGCTTTGATTTCCCAGTGCCTAATGGTGTCGATGCCCCAATCCGCCTTTCAGTAATCCGGAGCAGTGTTGTGCCACCAGCTAATTTCAGGCTCCAAATCTACCTCAATGGCTGGCAAGTGGGAAAGTATGTCAACAGTATAGGGTATGTGGATCAAATACAGCTATTCTCTGGTTGGTGTCTGACTGGATTGCATTGACTCCAGGCCTCAGACTGATTTTGTACTGCCTGCTGGGTGAGTCTTATCTCTCTATTACCATGTTGTCTTGAACCCTTTCTCAGGATACTTCACCGCACTTCACCCAATACCTTGGCTATCTCACTTTGGGCAATGGATTCTGCCGGTGCTGCAGTGACAGGTCTCAAGATCATTTCTGATGGCATATTCACCACCTCACTGCCATTCAATGACTACCTGGCTCCTGTGTTCTCCCCAGTACAGAGAGCTCTCCGGCCAAGTGACCTGGGCCAGGCACCTATGTAATATCTTTTCTATTGTATCTTCAAAGTAGTATACAATGTTTGATATTTTGTTCAAATGCCAGTAACTCTTGTGCAAAGACATCATGAGGTGTGGGAAGAACAGCTTTGGAAGAACCAAAACCAAAAAAAAATCTGCTAAGATATGAACAAGGTGTAGCATATGTATACATGGCATGGAACATCATGCAAGGCAGACAATCCCCAAATGCAAGTAAGGCACGAAACAGCCAGCTCATCCAGAATAGATTCTCACGATCTCTCTACTCTTGTTCGGCCGTTCAAGGTTATTGGTCGTCACGACCAGTACCGGGGTCCAGAAAACAATGAGAAATATATTGGAAACATGCGTCTATTATATCGATATGAATGTGTAGTGCGGAAAAGCAGTAACAGGAGCGTCATCATGCCCCAACAGCCTGAGCGAACGCAATCGCCACGGTTTCGGAATGGCTCAAAGACACAAGCACGTTCTTGACACCCTTCTCGTCTGCCTTGGCCTTGGCCTCGCCGGACAGCTTGACAAGAGGCTTGCCCGTGCCATCCTCGCTGACGATCTCGATCTCGCGCATGGCCGCGCCCGCACCGGAGGACTTGACGCCCAGCGACTTGAACACTGCCTCCTTCGCGGCCCAGCGTGCGGCGAAGGACGATGCCGGAGACGGCTGCGAGCGACAGTAAGCAATCTCGGTCGCAGAGAAGTTGCGTGCGACGAATGTCGAGTTCGACGAGGGTACGGCGGAGATGAGCTCCTGGTCGACACCGACACCGAGCACGCCGGCGGCGGAAGACGACGAAGCGAGGGACTCGGCGAGGGCAGAAACGTTAGCAGTGTCCATCGGAATGGTTGTTGACGGCGCCTTGGCGTACTCGTACGACCCGGTCTTGACATTCATCGCCGCTCGGGACAAGGGGTTGAGCAGCACCGGTGCCTCGAGTTCTAGCGGGTACGGTGGATGTTCTTTGATGCGCACCAGCGAGTTCTTGATCATCATCTCGCTCATCGCCTTGTACGACTGCAGTGCCCGCACTTCATGGCGTGTCTTGTACGACGAGTAGGCCGACTCGGAGATGGTGGCAAACACGTATCGGGGGTTGAGGATGAGGGCGATACCACCGACTTGGCCGAAACCAAATGAGGACTGGAGATAACGGTGAACGGTCGATAAAGAAAACAAACATGAAGCTCAACATACCATGACACCAGCTTTGATGCCGTCGGTGTGGATGGTCTTCGACGGGAACATCAAGTATGTTCGGTCACGGAATATAGCGTCGACGTTGCTGTTCACAGGTCAAAAAAGAGCAGAAAATTTGGTGCCGTCACGTACTCGCTGTTCCTGTTCCCGGGAATGATACCGCTTGCCACGGTCTGCACCAACCCAGCCATCTGCCAAGCAGCCGATCCACCCTTGGAATGTCCGACGAGACTCTTCTGCGCCATGATCGGCACGGCATTCGCTGGTGTCCTCGCTAACGAAGTGAAGATATCGTTCCAGATACGGGTTTCATTCTTCTCGTTGGCCTTGGTGCTCGTTCCATGGATGGACAGCACGCCGATGTCATCGCCCGTGAGACCCCAGACAGCCAACGCGCGCCGCAGCGGGGAAACGCGCGGGTCGGAGCCTTCGAGCATCCCGTAAAGCCCCAGCGCGTCTTTATCCTGACGAGCAGCCTCCTTCTCGATGTCCGAAACTCGGGAGGCAAAGTACTCTTCGTCGACAGCTTCACCCTGCTCCTTGCGGAATGCCAGCTCGTCCTGCAACTGGCCGTGCTCATGTTCGAGCCACTCCGAGATCTGTTTGCGCCGGAATGCGAGGTGCCGGGCGCGGTAAGCAAGGTCAAGGATCGGCAGCGGGTTCTTGCTGGGGACTTCGCGAGCAACCGTTAGCGGGCCCAACCCTGGTGCGGGAATCGAGCGACCAGCTTTGTCGCTAAAGGAACGTCAGAGCGCACGGATACAGCAAAGAACGACACTGACGTAGAGGTCGACGTGAACGCCAACACACCCCGGATCGGGCACCCGAGCTCCATCGTCGTCTTGGCGCTCATGACGACATGCACGCCTGTTCCCTGAGACTCCATGAACCCAGACCGAGTCGACGTCGCTGGCCGCGACATCTCAGTAGGCTCGCGACCCATGGCGAACTCGGTCTCCGCGTTGCTCGTCGCCTTCATGTTGGCGAACTCGTACGAGCCTTCTTCGGACAGATCGTCGAAGCCACCAGCCAGCATCACCTTGGCTTTCCCGGACAGAATCGTGTCACAGGCGATTTCGAGAGATTGGAGGGCGGTGGCGCTATGTCCCAGATCAATGTCTTGACTGTACCAACAATGTGAACAGAACTTACCAAGCGCCGACGGGAATCTTGACCGGTCCAGACGAAGATAGTAGTAGGAGGTTGATCCATCCAGCAGTGGTGTTGATGAACCTGGAAAAATTTCAGTGTGAGAACGGAACACAGCAGATCACGCACGTCTCTTGCAAGATGTCATTCTGGATCTCCCTCTCGTCTCTTCGGTCCTTGAACATCTTCGCCATAGAAACGGTGCCTCCCATGCCACTGCCGATGCAGGTTCCGACTTCACTCGGGTGCATGTACTTGTACAGCTCGTAGGGGTCGGTGATGCCCGACATGTTGAGCGCCTCCGTCGTCGAGACCAACGCCCAGAGCGTCGAGCGATCACACTGCGCGATAATGTCGTCCGGGATACCGAATCGGCCCGCGTCCCAGCCGGTCGGGATTTGCCCAGCGACAGTCCGCGAGAACGAGAACGACTTGGGCACGAACACCAGTGCACCCTTCTTGAGCTTGAAGAACCACTGCTCGCCGGAACCGGAGGCCCAGATGTCACACTTATCGCCGTGCTGGAGCTTGAACTTTTGCGCCTCGGTTTCAGTGACCTCGATCGGCTCCAAGTCGTGCAGAAGCTCGATCTCCTGGTTGAAGACCTTTTTCTTAGGATCGTATCCACGGAAAAGCTCGGGTTCTACGTAACATATAAGGGGCTGGATCAAGTGAAGAGGAAATAACGCACCAATCAACCGCACACCGGCATGCTCCAAGATGTCCTTTTCGTATTTGCCTTTGATGTCCTTGTCGTCGACGGGCTCGCCGGACTTGAAGTCGACCCATCCAACGTACAACGACCCGTCCTTCAAGCGGCCGTCGAAGTGCTTGATGTAACCCATCAGCCAGGCCATCTCAATGCAGCCCTGGATCGTCAACTCTCCTCTCGCCTCCATCTCCCAACGTGTGCGCGAACTACCCCACGGCCCGACTTCTCCAAAGCCAGTGATGACCATGACTTTGTCGAGGTCGACCATGCCCTGCAGCTTGCTCAGATCCTCGTACGACTCGTAAGCCGGCAGCGTGGGGAACTCGTAGCGGAAGTTGGCGCGAGGTGTGACGTTCACGGTCTGCAGCAACCGCTCGGCCTCGACACCATTGGTGATTTGGAAATCGGCTGAGTTGTCGAGAGTAATGGCGCGCCGGAGCTCGCTCTTCTTGTTGAGCTCGGACCTGATGCGCGTGGTGATGTCGGCGAGATCCGGCAGTTTGTCCATACCACCGTTGAGGTCGGCCCAGATCGGCTCGACTTGCGTAATGCTGAACAACAGAGGGTGCATCAATCCAAGGATGTTGAATGCCATCTCCTTAGCCGAGAACGTGCGGACACCATAAGACTCGAGCTCGTGCGCGACAATATTTGTCGGTGCCATCAATCCAGTTCCACGAGTCCACCTGCGAGACATATGAGTTGAAGAAAGGATTAAAAGAATTGAAGCACGCACCCAATGACTGCACCAGCCAAACACAGGTATTCTCCCCAGCTCTCCGACGCCCATCGCTGGAACAAGGTCTCGAGGGAGATCTTGGACTCGGAGTACAGACCATCGTTGCCGAACAAGCCATGGTTGGGCGAAAGCGGCAAGATCACTTGGGTCGGGCGCGTGACGAAGTGGCGACTGGCCTTCTTCTTCTTGACCTCGCCGAGGATGCGCAACAAGTTCACGAGCATGATGCGGTGCGCCAACTCTGACTTGTCATCCAGGCCGTCGATCTCGCGGCCGTTCTCGGGGACACCAGCGAACGGAATGATGTAGTCGAGATCGAGCCCCAGGTTGGCGTAGATGTAGTCGACGAGCGCCTCGACGTCCTGCTTCGAGCCCTGGTTGAACGGCACGACTGTGAGCGCAGAGCCGTTGCTACCGTACGTCTGGTAGATCGACTGGTAGTACTCCACCGTCGACCGGTTATAACGCGAAGTCGTGATCACAACGTGCGCACCGCCACTGAGCAAACCTTTCACGATCTCGACACCGATCGAGCCCTTGCCGACGCCCGTCAACAGCGCGTTCTTGTCTTGGAACGTCGTACCGGACGTGGCGATCTCGTGCAGGATGTCGAGATACACGCCAGTGAGGTTCGAGCTGAACTCCCAAGTGTTGCCCACTTTGCGCTTGAGATGCAGTAGCGGGATCTTGTCCGCGGATACAGCAGTCGCGCTGGGGATTTGCGGACGCAGGAATTGGGAGGACGACCGACGCTGGCGGATCGTGCCTGATCGGGACCGCGGCACCTCGGGTATCTGGTTGTTGAGCGACTTGACGACGCCTTCGTACAGAGCCTTGATGCGGTTCTTCTGGTCCTCTGTGATCTCCGGGAGCGATTTAACGACGGTCCAGAGCTTGAGGACGTCATCCTGGACTTTGTTGATATTGACCGAGCCAGAGACTTGATCGCCGCTGGCCATTTCCTCGACGTAGGCCTCGAGCTTGCGGACATTCTCGCGCACGACCTCGGAGTAGACGATATCACCCTTGGCAGTGACCTCAGTGTGTGGCGCGGTGGGGAAGGTCACTGATTGTTGCTATAATGAGCGAATGCAAAAAGAAGGAAATGATTGAAACCATCACACACCATCCTTGTACAACGGAGCCGCACCAACGACTTCCCGGACGTTGTCGATCAGCTGTTGACCGAACTGCTTCGCCAGCTTGTACGTCTCACCCTTGCTCGCGTCGACATTGGCGATGTAGTACTCCATGTAAGCCAAAAATTCGGGATCCGCTCTGTTCATCAACGCGATACACTTCGCCGTGATGTCGCGATCGACGGTCGTCAGGCGCCCGAAAATAATGTCGTAGAACATCATGAGTGCATCTTGGCGCACCCAGTTCCACGACGAATCGAAGTGTCGGGCCTTGAGCGGGTCGAACTGTGGCTGAATCCCGTCGATGTACACATCCCCATGCTCCTTGGCAATGTTGTCGAGCTTGGTTTGCAGCTCGGCCGAGTTCGCCTTCTCACGATCCAAGGCCGACTCGCCGGCGCGCGAGTCCCGCTTGAGGTACCGCATGTACACCTCGATTTGCTGCGCGGCAAACTGTTCCTGCTCGGCTTGGAACTTGAGGAATTCCTCGCTGTTGATGACAGCTCCTCCGCCATTTCCGCCAGATCCCGCAGCACCGCCGGTACTGCCTGAAGACAGAGAGATGCCGGAGCGCTGAGCATAGATCGCGACAACACCATCCAGCCACGCCTTGGCCTCAGCCTCGTTGCCGAGTCGCTTCGGGGGCTCCATCGTCGTGCCGAGAAGTAGCACTCCATCAGCGCGAACGGGACCCAGCCCCCAGCTCTTGGCGAGGTAGGTCTTGATCGCCGAGACGTTGAAACCACCAGGCATCTTCCCGCCGACCACACGCGAGACCAGTCCAGTGGTGTACTTGCCCAGGGCACCGCTGCCAGCCAACCCAGACGCCAGTTCCTCCAGCGGCAACTCCTCGCCCTTCTCCGGAGCCGAGGAGAACTCGAGTTGGAGATCACCCAGGATCTCATTCTGCAGCGTTGACTTGCCGCCGACGAGGTCCTTGATCGACTTGCTGAGCGGGATCTCGGCGACGCCTTTCTTGAGCTTCTGTGCGACAATGGCTGCGAGGATATCGATTGACTTGATGGGAGCGTCTTCGATGGAAGCAGCCGGCCCGGAAGCAGCCGGTGCGGCGACAGCGACAGGAGCAGCAACCGCCGGGGCCGCCGCCTCGGAGACTGCGGCTGGTGTAGCCTCGGCAGCGACCTCGGCCTCGTCTTCGAACTGGTAGTAGATCTCCTTCACGTTCTTCGCGTGGCAGAGAATCGTTCGGGTACGACTGACCGAGTCGTCGGCGGCCTCGTACTTGGCCTTGAGAGTCCTGGTCGCCATTCCAGTCAACGTCGGGCTCGGGCCAAGCTCGATCAGGCGCTCGAACTTGTACTCCGTAAAGAGGCGGTCTTGAGTCTGGATCCACCTGACAGGCGACGCGAACTGGTATGCCAACAGCTCGACAAGGATGACGTAGGCCAGCATCTGCCTCTGTTCCTCGGAAGCCCATTTCTCTGCATCCCAGTGCTGCAGGACCTTGTCGAGACGTGGAGAAGAGGTCTGGTCGTAGATGATCTGCGCGTACTCCTTGGACACAGCAAATGGAATGGCGATCAAGTTGGGGATGTATTTGCCGATCAGCATGTCGGGGTTCAGATCCGCGACATTGATCTTCTTCGAGAGATCTGTAAGTAATAAATTAGTTCCAACCAGTGTGGTGAAGTTAACAGAAACATACAAGCCCTGAACGGCATGACACCGGCCCATAAGTACCGGGAGTGGAAAGGCACATCGATACCTGGCAAGGGGATGGTCGCAAATCCACGCTCGAGGGTGATGTATCCTTCAGCCTTTTGCTGGGCGAGGGACTTGTTGTGGCACTCGGTCACGATTTCACCGAGCATCTCTTTGACTTTTTCGATCGTGAACTGTTCGGAGAGCTGAAAAAGGTTCAGTTACGAGTAGATGAACAACGATCACTATTCCAAGCACCTTGGCGATGTCGATTTTCTGCACCTTCAGGTAGTTGAGAACGTTGGTCATCGTCTGCAACGCGACGAGTTCTCCAGCACAGACATATTGTTGTCCCTGGAGATAATCAGTAGCTGAGGCATCTGAGTCCCAAATTCACCTACCTCGACGTTGTAGTTGACAATCTCCAACAAGGACCCAGTCAACGTCGCGATCGAATCCACGACCTCTCTCAGGGCAGCGTCGGTGAACGTCTTGCTGATTCGGCTGGGGTTGACCGCACACATGGCATAGTTGGAGCGGTTCTGCGCATCTCGCTCAACCGCACGCTGCATGGTGATACCACGGTAGAACACGACGTCAACAAGCGCCGAGATCGCCAGAACGTCAGCAATCGACGCCAGAGCCGAATACTCGCCCAAACTGTGGCCGGCGAACGCACAATCCTTCTGTACGAATCCTTTCATGCGCATGTCTTCGAAGGCGGCCTTCTCGGTGACGACCAACGCAATCTGCGCGAACTGGGTGGCAAACAGCAGACCCGTCGGATGGCTGAAGGTGTATTTCGGGGTCCGGACGTTGATGTCCGCAAAGAGGGGAAGCGTCTTGACATGGCCATCCTTGTCGGTCGTGTCGTACGTCATGTCCATGTACCGCTGGCGAATGGCCTGGCCCTTGTAACCGCCAAAGTGCACCGTCTTCTCCTTGGGGTTGTCCTTGACGATCTCGATGATCGAGAATCCGTACACAGCGAGCAGATGTGCGTCGGCGCCGTCCCAAACAGCTCGCGCAGCGGGGGACGAGTTGTACAAATCCATGCCCATGCCGGCTTCCTGGGATCCTTGACCAGTGAATACGTACACTGTCGTCGGCTGCGAAACTTCAGCTGAGCCTTCGAGCACCTTGTCGCCGTTCTCGTTGGCGGTGACAATGTTGACGACGATGTTTCCGTCGCGCATGCCGATGTGCTTGATCTTGACGGTCAACTCTTCACCAGGGATGACCATGCCGACGAAAGACACGTTATAGCTGAGGGCAAATCAATAAAGAACCTGTGAGTAGATAAGGCTGTAACTTACGCCAAAACGCGCTCCGGGGATCCTTTCGCCACAACGTTCTCCACGAACTTTCTTGTCGCAGCACTAGACCAGAGGCCGTGTGTAATGGTAGCCGGCAGAGATGCGTAGTCGGCAAAGTACGGGTTGATGTGGATGGGGTTGAAGTCGCCCGAAATCTTGGAGTACGGCTCGTTCGTGAGCGGAGCGTTGAAGACAGCGGCGCCAGACGCCATGGTGTACCCGTCGTTGGCGAGCGGGGTCATCAGACCCTGGGGTGTGCCGTGACGCTGGATGTACGCGACGACGGGGTTTCCGAGCGATGCCTCCTGGTGGAAGTCGACGGAGCCGACCAGCACGAGTGCCTTCAGTTGATTGCGGACGAAGATGTCCCCCGACACGGAGACGCTCTTGTACGACGTCTTGTCCTTGAATGTCACCTGGCTCTTCACCCGGAAGATGAGACTGGTCCCAGCCAATAAAGGCTTGCTCTCATCGATCCACTCGAACCACTCCTTCGAACGCAAAACGCCGACGGCGGCATCGTTCGCGAGCGTGACGATGTAGTCGGGCTCCTCGGTCGTCTCGAATGTGTTCTCGTAGTCGCTGAATCGGCCACGGTAGAGGAAGGCGGAAACAACCTCAATGACAGGCTTTCCATCGCGGATCACGTGGCCTTTGACCTTGACCACCTTGCCGGGATCGGTGTTTGTGACGGAGACGATGTTCGCCTCGGCCTTGCACACATCGCCGACCTTCAGAGGAGCGGCTCCGTCGACCATCTTGAAGCCGTTGGAAAGGTGAACGAGTTTGAGCAGATCGCCGTCGATCGCAGCTGGGAAAATCGACTTGATGATAGCCTAAACATGGGTTAATGAACGAAACAGAGCAAGAACAAAAAAAACGCACCTGCCAACCGGTGACAATGGCAAAGTCCATCGGAGCACTGATCGCGTCATTGCGCGCACTCTGGAAAGATTCGCCCTGGTTGCCAACAACGGCACAGAAGGTCTCCACGGCGGCGGCCTCGATGGTCACCTCGGGACCAACGAAGGTCTCCTTGATGTCGATTTGCGGTAGGACCTCATTGTCGCCGTACCACAGCTTCCAGTAAAACTCCTTGATGCGCGTGTTGCGATCGGCGGCGATCTCGTGGATGGGAGCGTATCCGAGCTCGGGCTTGTATGCGAACTGAAGCGAAAGCGGCACAGCCACGTCCCGGCGGTCCTCGAACAAAGTCACCTCAATCAATTTCGTCGACTGAGTGAACTTGATCTCAAGCGCCTTGAAGTCCGGCTTATGCGGGCCGTACGACCGTGCAGCCCCAAACACCGTGATGGATGCAGGTACCGTACCGTCGTAGGCGACGACAATCTTCTGTCCTGCGCGCGGTGCAAGAATGCGAGCCATGGGGTTGTCGATGTACGACGTCCCCTGGATGACAGTCCTCGAAGTCGTCAACGCACGCAACCAGTTCGCCTCGGGACCGGCGAGTGTTTCCAGCCACAACGCGGCCTCGGGCAGATTCTCCCCGAATTGGAAGACGGTCTCGCCTTTGGCTTCGGAGCGCTTGATGCACGGAACAGTGCGGGCAGGGACCACCTTGGCTCCAAGATAGTCCACAGTCGGTATCTTGCTTTCGTCACCAGCGTATTTGGACTCGAGGAGACGCTTGATCAGTTGCAAGTTGATGTTGCCGAGCATGTCCTTGATCGGCTCGTCCTTGACCTTCGAGTGCTTCACGGCCATCGGGCCCTGGAGAATGCAGACACGTTGTGGATCTTGATCAAAGACCGCTTCGATGTCTTCTGCTGCCCAGAGGGAGTCCTATTTCAGCTGATCAGTGACCAGTTAACGCAGAAAATCGAAACACTTGCCTTCTTGAACCAAACTTCGAAGCCGGCATCCAGAACGGGAATAAAGGGGACTGGCTTTTGACCGGGGCGTTGGGAGATGGCAAGGAAAAAGGCCGAGTCCTCGGCAGCAAGCAATTGGGTTGTCGCGATCGGATACTCCTTGAAGAATGACTGGACAAATGGCAGGGGGTCGTCGAGGGACGTGTAGGATTGGAGAATGGAAGGCTTATTGCCGCTGCCGTTGACACCAGCAAATCGCTCCTCGACGCGGCGCAGCCAGTCGCCCGTCAGATTGCGAAGAGACAGATCGACCCAACGTTTCTCGTGCGCGACGAACATCAAACGGACCATCCGCAGAACCGTTTCCTCGTAAGTCATATCCCCCAGCTCCTTTGCGACGCTTTCGTCCTTCTTCCAGCCAAACCACGGCTTAGCGAAGTCCTTGTTGAGCTTGGCAATGATCTCGTCCCGGCGCTCTACTAACCACGGCAGGCGTTTCTCCTTGGGGAGCTTGAAGACGCTATCGTCGAACTCTTTCCACAACTTCACCGCTCGCGTGGCGACCTTGTGGATGGGCTCGCCCAACTCCGACTTGACTGTGAGGATGCCGCCAGTCGGTTTGGTGTAGGTCCCTTCCCACTGGGCATCGTCGACTCCGGACGCAGCAACGATGAGATCCTTCACGGAAGGACTGGTGTGCGCCTCTTTCGCCACCATTACACGCGAGGCGAACAAAAAGCCGTCGAACGGCATGGGTTGCACCTGATACTGGGCAGACCACTCTCCCGTCAAATAAGGCCAGACGTCTTCCGCAGCACCGAAGCCACTGCCGCCGACGAGCGAGATGTTGCTCTGCTGGCGAATCGCCCGATACGTGTGGACGATGGGCTGATGGAAATCCTCGTACGAATGATGACCCCCGGCGCGACCGCCAGTCCACTGCATGATGATGGGGAAGTCGGGGTTGGCCGCCGCGATGTTGATAACTTGGCGGATACCGTCGACCGAGCCGGGCTTGAAAGCGATGTGTTGGATGCCCGCACTGCGCAGGCCGCCGATGATCTCGGCCGCCTTCTCAGTCGTCGGGATGCCTGCAGCAACGCAGAAGCCCTCAATGGGAAGACCCTCCCTGCGCATCTCCTGCCACAGCGGCAGCTGGAAGTTGAACTGGCGGGGATTGATGTACAGGGCGTTCAGCGTGATACCAACACCCGGCGGGATCTTGGCCTGGATCTGGGCGACCTTCGAGCGGAGCGCAGCAGCGTTGTAGTGCCCGCCGCCTGCAAGTTCGACGTGGTAGCCAGCGTTGAGAACTGCACTGACGAACCCGGCCTGGACAGTCGATGGAGTCATGCCAGCCACCATGATAGGGGGCTTGCCCAACAGGCGCGAGAATGGGGTGTCCAGATGGATCGTCCCGTCGCTAGACTTCATTAGTAACAAGAATAAGAATGTGGTCAGCACTGACGATGTCTTGACTAAACTGGGCGCAAACTTCTTGCTCCACCATTCCTCGTACTTGACGCTCTGTGAGTCGTATAACTCGGCGTCTCCTTTAGCCCTGTCTCCCACGACAATGACTCGAACGCCACGTCCGTTGAAGTTCTTGGCCGTAAGTGGGCCGATGCCACTGAGTCCCCCAGGGCCGAAGTCGACAGCATGTGTTGCCGTCTCAGGGAAATCCGTCGCAGTCGTCCAGTGGATCGGCTTGACGAAAATCTGCTCGCAAAGTGAACGAGTGATCGATCCTGACAGCTCGGCAAGGTTGGAGCCTATCATCATCTGATCAGCCGCGGATCAATGTATGAGTTCATTCGAAACGCACCATCCTCGGTGTTGAACACGGGAATCTTCAACTCTTCGCTCTTCCAAAGCTCTTCTCCGCCCAGGTCCTCAACAACAACTTTCTCCGTTGCGTCCGAAAGGTAGGCGCTGTGATACGGAACACCGACGACAAGGAATCGGACGGTGAAGACCGGCTTGCGCTGAGAGAATGGCGTCTTGCTCTGGTCCAGTCCGCTGGACGCACGGACCTTGCGCAAGTTCGTCACTAGTCCGAACAAGGAGCGTGCCGGGCCCGTCACCACGAACGCACGAGGGCCATTATGCAGCGAGACGCTAATCTTGGCGTTGTCGGAAAGGTGGGTGTTTGTCTTCTTGATGTAGGCCTCGAGCTCAGAAAGCTGCAGGCCTGCCACCATTAGCATAGGGCTTGGAGTGCCCTCCCCTCCATCGATCGCATCTTGGACCATGCCCGGCTCAAGAGACGCGACGGGGAACGCCTGCTGGCCACGGAGGCCAGAGAAGAAGAGCCAGCGAAGGGCTTTGGAAGCATTGACGGTGAACGAGTCAAATGAGGTTGATGCGGCTATGGCCACAGCTGAGATAATGCCCTGAGAGTGGCCGGTTGCGCCAGCAAGAGTGTCGCGGTATTCGCCCGGTGTCAGACCAGACACATGGCAGGTCACCAGGTACTGCACGAGTTGCGTGAGACCGATGAGGGGGAAAGAGACAGGGACCGATGCGAGGTACTGTATCGATGGACGCGGGGACGCCCCAGACAACCACGAAAGAACATCTAGGCCATGGACAAAGTATGGCGTGGAGTTTTGACCGGCAGCCAACGGCGTTAGGACGTCAGAGACAACCGTCTTCAAAAAGGGGGCGACAAATGGCTGGTAGATGTCGTAGAGCGACTGAAGCTCGTCGAAATATACCTCGTTCGTGCCCTGACCTCCGAAAAGTGCGAAAACGGAGGCCGTCTTCGCAGTAACCGAGGATAACAAGGCTGGTCGAGGAGATGAGGGGATGCCGGCGACCTTGAGCTCACGCAGCGTTGCGAGAGCGAGGTAATAGGAGCTCAGGATCGTCTTGCGCACTTCGGGATCGTACGATGCCGCGAGAGAATGGAGATCGCGAGCGTCGAGGTACGCTGCGGTGAAGTGGGCGAAGACCGTGAGGAGAAGGGCGGTCCTGGAAGTGGTGGATTCAACAGATGCATTCACTTTTCGCGCAACGAAGCCGAGGAAACGAGCATGGAGCTCGATCGTGGCTTCAGCCTCGTTTTCTAAGGAGGCAGTGGATTCTATGCTGTCTGTGGTCGCTTGCTCTTGCGCGAATTCATCTCTGAGGACCTCTGCGCAAATCCATTCATCGGTGGAGGTAGATACCGGGATCGATACCTGCCAAAGAAACGTGTTTCAGCGAAAGGAAGACCGTACATGCTTCACATGCGTGTATGCATGCAAGACAGTGCCAAAGACGGAGACGCACCCTGAGCTGTCCCGCAGAGACAACGATGGGGCGCAGCATGATTTTAGACGTCCCGCCGATGGATGCCATCGTGGTAGAGAACAGGGCTCTATAAACCCCAACTCAGTACCCCAACGGATTGAAATTTTGTCGAACGCACGTGATCTACATCTCATTAAGACAGACACGCGCCCGTACGCGAACTTGCTCCCGAGAGTGTTCACGCAACCAGATGCACGTGTAGATACAATTCCCCCGTGGACTGGCGACGGAAGGGTAAGGTATGGGTCGTTCTCAGTCGAAAACGCGCTACTCGCGAGTGACGCGTCGGTTCCTTGCCCCATTTGGAACGCAGGGCACTGACCATCATCGGCGTAAGTCATGGCGCCGAAGCCCAATGAGCTTGGGCTTTGTCAAGATTGTAAGCATACACACGACTCCCCAGACTTCGGCAAACCATCTGTGCCACAACGACGGGCCCCAACCCCAAGCCATAGCACAACACTCACCATCAGCCATTCTGATTGGCACGGGCCTAGACTCCGCAAGTCCAGTGGCCCGGCTTCGTCCACCGTGCACTTCTTGCAACGTGTTCAGCGCATAGGAAGTGAATGTATCATATAATTGAGCATGTTCAATTGTACATAGGAGGTTTAGGGAATTCCAAATAGTGAAATGAGTGGATAGCTTACCAATAGTGCAGGCTGATACAGATCCACTTGTCCATCACTCTGCTTCCTTACTGGGTATTGTGTGATTGAGGGGTCTTGTGAGGAACGGCTTCGGAGTTTGAATTTTTGATAGCACGTGGCCTGTTGTGTTGGGAACAGAGAAAATGATTGAGTGGCTGTGTTGATTGGATCACTATATAGCTTCTGGATTTGTGCTAGCATGTTGATATCAGGTTTTGTCTCTGCCACTGGCTAGCACATTTGTCACAGCATTGCCACCCGCCAATTCCCTGATCCCCGGCCCTCCCATTTGGTGATTGGAGTGCGAGTTGTCCACGCCCAGTGCACTCTTGCGATTTTGAAGCAATGAAATACTGAGGGCGTGCTCACAAGTGAATCTACTGTGAAAGTAAACCCAAATATAAACACGTTCACACTCCTTGTAATCAGCTTCTCAGTGTGTGAAAGATGCAAGGGCTTTGGGGCAAACAGAACACCAGAATCACAACTCTCAATAGACGCAAGATCCAATAGTCGCGGAAGTGTCATAGTTCGGCCACTTTTTCATCTTATCATCAACCATCTTATCTTATCTCGGCATGAATTATCTTATGACGGATCACAGCATCTGATGGTCCGGGCTGGGGGTCTGGGGATTATCTTTATTGATTCAAGGCTGCGCGACATATGCTCCAGAAGGTTCTACTACAACCCATGACCAGTGCTCCATGCAGTACATAGCCTTATGACTCATTAGGTGTAGATATGACTCAGACTGGATTTGGGTATAAATACTGTAGCTACTTGGTTGTATTCTCCAGTCTTTGAATTCACTTCTCTTTTCAACATTATTTCTCGTTGATTGTCACATAATTTGAAGACTCCCCTCATACCCTCGTACCTCTTACCTCCTACCCTGCATCCTGCACCGCTACACCTGCTATATCTTCTCCACCCTTATCATCTCACTCACCCTTTTACCAAATCATCTAGTCATTCCCTGCAATTGCAGTGAAGGGTTTATCTTGAGCAAACAGCACCAGGCCACGGGTAACGTTGAGCCTGACCCAAGCCTTATGGTAGCTACAAGGAGTGCTGCGGAGACCTTCGGGAAAACGCACCTCAGGATCATTGGACACGTGAAGAGCTAGGCCCGGGATCTTTTTGCTAGCAAAAGAACCTTTCCTCAAGTGCTTGTACAGCACACAAATCCACCATTTTGTTCCGATTCCCATCATTGTCCGGGAGTCTGGCTCCTCCTCCCATCCTACCATTGTTGCCCGATCTGGCGCACCAAAACCAACCCGGACCCTCCAATCCCTACCTTGCCCTCCTGCTGCCTGAAGACGAGATCCCTGACCTTGACGAGTTGCCCTCCAAACAACCACCCTCACCCACACCTTCTACACCTGCTCCTACCATGTCAGGACACCACTGCATCACCCTTGCCGCCAACCCCCCCTGTTTCGATGGAGACAAGTCCAAATATATGGGCTTTGTGGACTCGTGCACCACCTACATTGGTGCCTATTGGTCGGAATTCTTGCAGGATGAGACAAAAATTCTCTTCATCCTCTCCTACCTCTGCAACAAGGCTGGCACAAGCTGCGCCGCCTCGAGATGGGCAATGAACTGGAAGCAGCGCAACTTCAAAAGCCTCAATGGACTGAAGGCTGGGGTCACCTCGACAACCTTCTTGGAGGAGCTTCAGAGGGCCTTTGGGGACTCTAACACGGAGCAAGTTGCCGCTGCTTGACTCATGGCCCTGCGCCAGAACAAACAATCCTTTGCGGATTATATCTCCGACTTTGAGATGCTGGCTGTGGACGTGGGGTACAATGTGGTCACCACCACCAATGACAAGGGCGAGTACAAGAAGGGGGATCAGGACAACATCCTCATCAAGTTCCTCAAGCACGGGCTGAGCAGCAAGATCTCAAGTTGCCTCTACAACACTGGTGTCCCTTTGCCCAAGATGTATGGTGCCTTCAAGGACTGGTATGTCAACATCAAGGCAAACGCTCTGCGTGATCAGCTGCGCAAAGCATCGCATGGGCACTCCACGCCACAACCACCTCCCCAATTTTGCCCTCAGGCAGCCCCAACAATGCCTGCACCTGCTCCAACCCAACCCACTGCCAACAAACCGGTTCCGATGGAAATCGATTGCACCCATGCCTGGGGCCGCAGTATCATTTGCTACAACTGTCAGCAGCCTGGGCACATCACGCGGAACTGCCCGGAGCCGAGGAAGAAGCGCACGTTCTTCAATAGGGCCACAATGCTTGAAGAGATCAAGAACGGGGACAAGGACAACAAGTTCCTGAAGGAGATTGCTGAGAAACTGCGCGAGAAGGGTTTTTGAAACGCTCCACTCCTCTAGCCAAAGAGGTGGAGCGTCTGGACTATGGACAATTTTCTGTACTTGTTTCAATTAAAGATATGAACAATTCTCCTCATACATACACAATCAGACTCATTACGTACCAATATCCATGATTTTCTCATTGCTGATATGGAAAAAGAACGCCAAAGAAAAATAGCTTTAAATAGAGAGTATTTACAGAGTAAAAAAGATCAGAAGACTGCAGATAAATTATTTTTGGACTCCTACGTATTTATGGCTCGTGGAGAAGAAACCACGTCAATAAAGACCGAAAAGGGGAGCATTGCTCTGGAGGCTCAATCCTTGGAAAAGGAGGAAGCACCTAAGGAATCTGCCAAAATCAAGGTTCCAGAAGCACCCAAACGCACAAGGGTGCCAGATGCCGTCCAGAGGAAATTGGCGGCCAAGAAACAGAAGGGCTCCCAGCCCAGCAGACTGGCGCAGGAATTGCGCAACCACCATGCCAAAAGGAAGAGGCATTCGATGGACATATATGTCCAGATCACGGGTCTGGACTCGGGAAAAACGCGCGGAGTCAAGGCGCTGCTCGATAGCGGCTGCAGTACCTGCTGCATCAATACTGATTATGCACGGGCAGAGAAACTGGACAATCAAGAACTTTCACAACCCATCGTGGCTTGTAACGCCAACAACACCGAGAACATCAGTGGTCGGATCATGCATTACGTCAACTTGAGGATGAGAATCAGCCCTCATGTGGAGACATGCACGTTCCTTCTGATGTGCCTGGGAAAAGCTCAAATCTTCATCGGCCTTGATTGGCTGACGGAACACAACCCCAAGGTGGATTGGCAGGAGCAGACAATGAGATTCAGCCGATGCCCAGAGCGGTGTCACATGAGAGGTCACAAGGAGCATCAAGCGATGATCGACATGGATGCAATCGACCTGGACACGGGCGCACCGGATCTGGAAGAGGGAGAATTGATCCTGTTGGTCGACTTTGGGAAGGAAGCGGATCTACGACTGAAGGAAACACCGGCACAGAAATTTGCAGAAGAAGCGGAAAAGGAGAAGGAGAGAATGACCAAGGGGAAGATTCCAGATCAATACCGGGAATTTGTCAAAGTATTTGCCAAGGAATTGTTCGACTCACTGCCGGATCAACGAGCATGGGACCATGCAATTGAGCTCAAACCGGGTTCCAAAGTAGTGGACTGCAAGGTGTACCCATTATCGCAAAATGAGCAGGTCAAACTGGACGAGTTCCTACAAGAAAACCTGGGCAGTGGGCAGATCAGGCCATCAAAATGACCCATGGCATCGGCATTCTTCTTTGTCAAGAAGAAAGATGGCTCGCTACAACCTGTCCAGGATTATCGGAAGCTGAACAAGATGACGATCCGAAATCAATACCCGCTGCCGCTGATCTCCAAACTAGTCCATAACCTTTGCGGTGCCAAGTTCTTCACAAAGCTAGACATCTGGTGGGGATGCAACAATGTACGGATCAAAGAGGGCAATGAGTGGAAGGCTGCGTTCCCCACAAATCGCGGGCTGTACAAGCCCTTAGTTATGTTCTTTGGGCTCACAAACTCCCTGGTGAAATGCTGAGGGCGCGCTCACAGGTGAATCTACTAGGAAAGTAAACCCAAATATAAACACGTTCACACTCCTCGTAATCAGCTTCTCAGTGTGTGAAAGATGCGAGGGCTTTGGGTGGACAGAGCACCAGTATCACAACTCTCAATAGACGCAGATCCAGTAGTCGCGGAAGACGAAGTCGACGACAAGAATATATATATAGCAAACAGTGGTGTCTCAACCAATATCTTCTATACAACCAAAACCAACACTCATCCAACCACAACCAACAATATCACAAGTCAGAGCTTAATACAAAGTATTAAGATCCCTTGTAGCGACAGCATCCAGATGGCGATGCAAAGCCCAAATATCAAGTCGACGCACTGCCAACCAATACAACCAATATACTGAGTCAACGCACTGCCAACTAGTAGAACCAAAATGTCAAGTCAATGCACTGCCAACTGACACAACCAAAGTACTGAGTTGATGCACTGCCAACTAGTAAACCAAAATACCGCGTCGACGCACTGCCAACTAACAGCCAATATCCAATGTCCAAAACCCAAGCACAACTTGTCGACACACTGCCAAGCAAGAAGTGTGGAACCAAAGTTCTCAAGTTGACGTACTGCCAACTGACCAAAACAACCTGAGCACAACTAGTCGATGCACTGCCAAGCTAGAGGTGTGGAAACGATCTCAACAAAGCCCAAAGGCGACGACACTAAATGCCGCAACAAGACCAGAGGCAGCGAATCCGACTTTCTGATATCTCAAAACTCAAACTCAAATCACAGTAGCTACAAGCACTCAGGGAGCAACTTGTCGCGACCGGGCAGGGGTAACAGAACTTCTTAGAGTGGAATCACGTGACACGCAAATTGCACAAAACAATCTGATATGAGTATGATTCACAGTCTGGGGGAAGGCCCCCCAATACAAAGAAATGATGTGCTACTTATACTGTCTACAACGATGCTTAGTAAAGTCCTGTACAACTGCATAGTAGCTACGCTATCTAAGATTGGTTGCTTTTTATGGTAATGAAAAAGTTGAACGATCGGACAGGTCCTGACTGATCAGAACCCCGCCCCATTGTCCATATGGTACTTTTGATGTGGGTCAACCCACTGCGTCATACTTTTGAAATACAATGTGCTGGATTGGCCAACTGGTATGTCTTGGCGGGTGAGTCCAACATGGGTGCCCCAAGAAGCCGTATGGCCCTAGGCACGCCAGCCGTTCCTCACATGGTTCGGTTCACGGATCTAGCCCATGTCAGTTTTAGTGTGTTTGGGTATGGGCGCAACTCGTCGTGACACTTGGAAGTGTCACCGCGACGCGTCCACAATGTCCCGTGATCAAGTGGATCCTGACATGTGACAAGTCGTCGCCGTGGCATGATCTGAGGAAACGTGCAACTCAAAACCGGGAGTTGCCGCGACAAGATGGTTTAAGTCTCGTAACGCCAAGTCCTGTCCAGTAATAGTCGTAATATTGAGAACATTGCGCATTGCTAAGCCCTTCAGCCCAAGTTCCCATCCACAGAGAATGACCCTTTTGAGAAGTCGCCGCAACAAAAGATCCCTTTTGGGGAATTGTCGTGGTCCAAGCGTTTGTCACTAATAGCCCTGAGCCTGGTGTGGACTCATAAGGCCAATTCCACAGTAGTGGTCTGACTGCCTTGCTATTGTCGACACTATCCATAGTCGTCAACTGGGCAGTAGACCCTTAAGCCCTACTGAGCACAACACTGTCAACCGCAACACAATACACCAAGTGGTTCGAGAGTATACTCTGTAAAAGCGCAAGAATACACCCTTACAGAGCTGGTGCAGAGTGCGTCTGGTAGCCAGCCTATCACCGTTTGCCCATCCGTGATCGGGTGATATGCAGTTCCCAGGTTCATTTCTATGCCCAACATCCGATGATAGGCTGGCTACCAGACGCACTCTGCACCAGCTCTGTAAGGGTGTATTCTTGCGCTTTTACAGAGTATACTCTCGAACCACTTGGTGTATTGTGTTGCGGTTGACAGTGTTGTGCTCAGTAGGGCTTAAGGGTCTACTGCCCAGTTGACGACTATGGATAGTGTCGACAATAGCAAGGCAGTCAGACCACTACTGTGGAATTGGCCTTATGAGTCCACACCAGGCTCAGGGCTATTAGTGACAAACGCTTGGACCACGACAATTCCCCAAAAGGGATCTTTTGTTGCGGCGACTTCTCAAAAGGGTCATTCTCTGTGGATGGGAACTTGGGCTGAAGGGCTTAGCAATGCGCAATGTTCTCAATATTACGACTATTACTGGACAGGACTTGGCGTTACGAGACTTAAACCATCTTGTCGCGGCAACTCCCGGTTTTGAGTTGCACGTTTCCTCAGATCATGCCACGGCGACGACTTGTCACATGTCAGGATCCACTTGATCACGGGACATTGTGGACGCGTCGCGGTGACACTTCCAAGTGTCACGACGAGTTGCGCCCATACCCAAACACACTAAAACTGACATGGGCTAGATCCGTGAACCGAACCATGTGAGGAACGGCTGGCGTGCCTAGGGCCATACGGCTTCTTGGGGCACCCATGTTGGACTCACCCGCCAAGACATACCAGTTGGCCAATCCAGCACATTGTATTTCAAAAGTATGACGCAGTGGGTTGACCCACATCAAAAGTACCATATGGACAATGGGGCGGGGTTCTGATCAGTCAGGACCTGTCCGATCGTTCAACTTTTTCATTACCATAAAAAGCAACCAATCTTAGATAGCGTAGCTACTATGCAGTTGTACAGGACTTTACTAAGCATCGTTGTAGACAGTATAAGTAGCACATCATTTCTTTGTATTGGGGGGCCTTCCCCCAGACTGTGAATCATACTCATATCAGATTGTTTTGTGCAATTTGCGTGTCACGTGATTCCACTCTAAGAAGTTCTGTTACCCCTGCCCGGTCGCGACAAGTTGCTCCCTGAGTGCTTGTAGCTACTGTGATTTGAGTTTGAGTTTTGAGATATCAGAAAGTCGGATTCGCTGCCTCTGGTCTTGTTGCGGCATTTAGTGTCGTCGCCTTTGGGCTTTGTTGAGATCGTTTCCACACCTCTAGCTTGGCAGTGCATCGACTAGTTGTGCTCAGGTTGTTTTGGTCAGTTGGCAGTACGTCAACTTGAGAACTTTGGTTCCACACTTCTTGCTTGGCAGTGTGTCGACAAGTTGTGCTTGGGTTTTGGACATTGGATATTGGCTGTTAGTTGGCAGTGCGTCGACGCGGTATTTTGGTTTACTAGTTGGCAGTGCATCAACTCAGTACTTTGGTTGTGTCAGTTGGCAGTGCATTGACTTGACATTTTGGTTCTACTAGTTGGCAGTGCGTTGACTCAGTATATTGGTTGTATTGGTTGGCAGTGCGTCGACTTGATATTTGGGCTTTGCATCGCCATCTGGATGCTGTCGCTACAAGGGATCTTAATACTTTGTATTAAGCTCTGACTTGTGATATTGTTGGTTGTGGTTGGATGAGTGTTGGTTTTGGTTGTATAGAAGATATTGGTTGAGACACCACTGTTTGCTATATATATATTCTTGTCGTCGACTTCGTCTTCCGCGACTACTGGATCTGCGTCTATTGAGAGTTGTGATACTGGTGCTCTGTCCACCCAAAGCCCTCGCATCTTTCACACACTGAGAAGCTGATTACGAGGAGTGTGAACGTGTTTATATTTGGGTTTACTTCATAGTAGATTCACCTGTGAGCGTGCCCTCAGCATTTCAATGGAATGCATGAATCAGGAGATCAAACACTACCTCTGCATCTACATCAACTACTATCAGACGGACTGGTCAGAGTGGCTGGGAATGGCGGAGTTTGCATATAACGACAAGATGAACACGTCTACCAAAATATCACCGTTCTACGCAAATCACGGATATCACCCATGGAAGGGAGTGGAGCAGCAGATGGAATTGAGGAACGAGTTGGCAGAGGAGTTTGTAAAAAGAATCAAAGAAATACAAGACAAAGCAAAAGCAGCATTGGAAAAAGCAAATGAAAAAATGAAAAAATACTACGATAAACAAAGAAAAGAAGTTCCGGAGTTGAAGGTTGGGATGAAGGTGTACATGGAAGGGGAAAATATCAAGACAGACAGGCCCTCAAAGAAGATGAGTGACAAGAGATTGGGACCATACGAGATTTTGGAGAAGGTTGGAGCAGCTGCATGGAAGCTGGATTCGCCGGACACGGACCAAAGACACCCAGTGTTCAACAAGTCACTGTTGACACCCTATCACGAACCACCCCCCATCGCCGAGAGAAGAGACCCGTAGTCAAGATGATCGGAGGAGCAGAAGAGTGGGAAGTTGCAGAAATCGTGAAGGAACAAAAAGTCGGCCGAGGGAAGCAGTACTTGGTCAAATGCAAGGGATGGCCACATAGCAAAGAGACCTGGGAACCATCACAACATCTTACCCACGCAAAGAAGGTCCTGAGAGATTGGTAGAGGAAACAATCCAATCCAGACACACGCATTTGCCTCCTGCCGATGCTCAAAGCTGGATACTGGGATTATCTCATTCATCGCTACAAACCCAAGGACGAGTGCCTTCCATACCCCCAACAACAACTCTTCGACCCTTACAAGAGCGTCTTCATGTCCATTGGCCTAGTTGATGAGGACATCGACCCTAGAGAGGGGGTAATGTCATAGTTCGGCCACTTTTTCATCTTATCACCAACGATCTTATCTTATCTTGGCATGACTTATCTTATCACGGATCACGGCATCAGACGGTCCGGGTTAGGGGTTCTAGGGATTATCTTTATTCAATTCAAGGCTGCGCGACATATGCTCTGGAAGGTTCTACTACAACCCATGACCAGTGCTCCATGCGGTACATAGTCTTATGACTCATTAGTTGTAGATATGACTCAGACTGGATTTGGGTATAAATACTGTAGCTACTTGGTTGTATTCTCCAGTCTTCGAATTCACTTCTCTTTTTGACTTTGTTTTTGGGTTGATTGTCACAGTAGCAGTGAGAGATACAGTGGTAAGAGGTAGGAGGTAGGAGGATATAAGGGGAGTCTTGGAATATCGTGAGGATCGACCCAAAAACAAAGTTGAGAAGAAAGGTGAGTTCCAAGACTAGAGAATACAACATAATAGCTACAGTATTTATACCCAAGTCCACTCTGAGTCATATCTACAGCTAATGAGTCATAGGACTATGTACTGCATGGAACACTGGTCATGAGTTATAGTAGAACCCTCTGGAGCATATGTCATGTAGCCTTGAATCAATAGAGATAACCCTATGAGTCCCTAACCTAGACCATTGTGATGATCAACCCAAACAAAGTTGATAAGAAGAATGAATTCCAAGACTGGAGAATACATCACAATAGCTACAGTATTTATATCAGTCCCAGTATGAGTCATATCTACATCAAACAAGTCATGAGACTATGTACCATGTGGAGCATTGGTCATGGGTTGTAGCAGAACCTTCTGGAGCACACGCCGCGCAGCCTCTGTACAGATAAGACCTCTAGACCCTTAACCTGGACCGTGTGGTGCTGTGATCTGTGATAAGATAACCCTATGTCAAGATAAGATAAGATGATCAAAGAAATAATGAAAAAGTCATTGAATCATAACAACCATGTGATGCCATGATCTATGAGAAGATAACCCTGTATCAAGATAAGATAATCAGACAAGAATTTTGATGAAAAATGATCAAATCATGACACATATGTGGTCACATATTCAAGAAGCGTAGTGTCACCTAAAATTGAGCACCTTTTTCATTACTCAAGTGTACAGCTTTTGAAAGTTTAAAACAAGAGAACAGAACAGGCAAAATTCAGTGGATCAAAATGTATTTGTTAACACATAAGGATCTCTTGATACATCCAACAATTCTATCACATAGGTGAGATATGAAGATCAGCAGGCCGGAGAGCCTTTTCAATGGGAGAGAAGTCAGGTGCAGGGTAATCCTGCAGTGGAAGGGATGTGGAAAAATAGCCATCAGAGATAATCTCCAGGCCTTCAACAGCAGCACCACTCTGATCCATAGCCCAGAGTGACAAGGCTAAGGTATTAGATCCATGGCGTTTGAGAATGCTAAGGGAGCACAGGTATGAGAAATGTGACTAACCCAGAATGGAATAGGTTCTTACCTAGCAGGAAGAACAAAAATGGTTTGTGGACTATGAATTTAATATAAAACTTTTAGCCAAAGATATGTGTAAAGTTCAATTAAATCTCACTTACCCAATGCTATTGATATATTTGCCAACCTGCCAGCCATTGAGGTATATTTGCAGGCGGAAATTGGTGGGTGTTGCTGCACTGCTTCGAAGTATAGATAGGCGTATAGGAGCGTCAACACCATCAGGAACAGGAAAATCAAAGGTGGTGCGGTAGAAATTGACACCAGCCTTCAAGAGACCAGTAAGAGGGGATCCAGACGGCCACAGTTTGTCTGGGAAATCAGGGAGATGAGCTCCAATTCGCTCTGGATAAAGTCCACCCTCATTCAGGTAACCACGAAAGGTGTCTGGTGTACCAGCAGCACCACCTAGGTTTCCTTGAAGAGTCCAATTTGAGAACTTGGTTTCTCCACCAATCAAAACATATCCACGGATACCACGGGGCTCCTTGGCACCATTAGCTATGAAAGGGTTAGTGTTGTAAGCTTCAAATGTACAAGCACATACTGTTTGCTTCAGAGAGGCTAAGATACAATGGGAAATGATGAGGTCAGAGAATATTATCTTGAATAAAAGGTTAATTTACCCCATATGATCTTGAATACTTATATCAGTACTTGTTGAAGATGAGAGACAAGAAAGCTGCTCACCTTGCAGAACAACCAGTACATTGGTCTTTCCAGTTTTGACTGCACCACTGGGAAATACCCAAACATCAGAGGAGGAGCTGACAGTGGCATTTCCTTGACTGGAGCCAAGGAAAATCCCATTCAACCAGGCTGAGTAGCCTCCAGCAAAGCCATACATGACTGTCAGGTTGACTGCAGTTTCTTGACCTGTAGCCTGGAAACGCCCTCGGAAGATAAGGTTTCCACCATAGAATCTATGTGAAATGTTACTTGGTGTTCAAGAGGTAGTATTTGTGAAAATTACCCATATTGTTGAGAGTACAGAACTTGAGATCCAGAAAGTGGTGGCAAGTTTGTATACTGTTCACATGTTGATCAGAAAATGAAACCAAATAAAATTTGAATTTACATTGGTTGTGGTCAAGTTTGCAACAGTGAATGAAGAATCATCAAAGTTGAGATCAATCTCAGGTAGACTAGAATAAAAAAAATTAGTGATTCAAATAAACTAGAATAATGTAGAGTTGCTCACCCTCCAGAGACTTTCCAATTTCCTAATTCTGGGAGAGACAGAGTCACTGATTTTCCAATTGTGCCAACATGTGATCCATGGGGTGTTTTGATAGTTGATATGACAGCATTGTTCCATTTGAATTGAGAAACAGACTGAGGTGCAACAATCTCAATAGCAGTTGTCCCATTTAGATCACCAGTCTGCAGTTTTGTATTCAGAAAGTGTTGTTTGTGGATGATTAACTTACTAGTGACAATGTTCTCCCATTGATATTGGCAGTGCGCAAAACATAAGGCCCTGACACCAGAAGCCTAGAAGATAACACTGTTAGCTAATAAATTAATATGAAATACAATGGCTCACGTTGAATTAGTTCCAATAGAGAAGTAGTTGCCAAATTTGCCATTCCCAGCAATGAGTGGAGCATGCCATTGGTATGCCAGATCTTTTTGAACAAGAATCACTATAATCTGGGATGTTCCAATGCTGATAGGGATAAAAGCAGTCCCATTTAGTGTATAATCCAAGATGAGAGAACCATTGAGGATCCTTGAGTTTACAGAATGGTTTGGTTGGATAATTTGAGGTGTTGCATGGGAACCAAACATGAATGCAGTTTCCCCAGTCTGGCCTGCTTCAGCATAAAGGATGACATAGTCCTTATTATCAATCCTGTTTCATACATTAGATGAATGATTCAGCCCAATAAGAACAGGCAGTAATCACGTGGCCCAAGTCATAATCCTGGAAATAGCTCAGAATTTGCAACACCAGAGTCTGGAATAGACATACTCAGTAGTTGAATACAATATTGTTGTCTGACTAGCTCCAAAAACATAGTCAGTGACTATAATCTGATAATGTTTGTGTCAGATCAAGTTTCCCTGTCTCAGTGTTGGTTTACCTTGCTGTCACGTCCATTGAAGGTGATGCTTCCAGCTTGAGGAACCAATAAAGCACCAATAGATGTTTGAACTTGAATCCGGGTTGTCACAAGATCAGTGGACCTATAGACTTTAGCATGTGACAATATTTATCATATAATAACTCACGGGGTGTTGTTCTGCCGAGTAATGTAGAAACCAGCCCCAGTGTCAAGATTTCTCAACTCTGCTGTGTAAATTAAAGATGAGGTGGTGTAATTTGTGCCATTGCCAAGCAGAGTTGCAGCCAAGAGGTCACGTGATACTCTCAGAAAGGCACCTGGATCAGATCCATAAGATAACCAGTATATTCAAATCTAGTCAACAAACACACCTTGAAGCCTCATCTCATTCATTTTCACAAGTGCAATACGGTTTTCATTGATGCCTTTCCAGAACATAAGCTGCAGCAATGGGGATGCAGATGTATAGAAACAACTGACCTCCACCATAGTCATAAGATGTATAGCTGACAGGTGCTGCAGTTTGTCCCCAGTTGGTGCCTCCATACACCACTAGAGGCATTGTAAGTAGAAGACTGACTAGTGAATCACCAATGCTTACTGTAGATATCTGTGGCATAGTGATTATTGCACAGTAAAACAAGCTGGTTGTGTAAAAAAAACATACTCAGAATAGTAGTTGTTTGGGCGCTCGAGATAAATCAGCATGAATATAATCTGTTAGAAAATTAGAACAGCATACATAGCATCCTTATAGAACACATTTTCTAGGATGGAATTAGCAAGTAAGGGGAGTATTTGGTGCAATTGCATACCATAGTCTGCATTGGTCAGGCCAGGACTAATACCTAAAAGATGCACTATTAGACTCCACATCGATTGAATTAAGATATAACACACTGAATTTCTCATAACCAGTTCCTCCAAATGCAGAGGCACCCCAGTTGAGAAGGTATCCACCACCAAACTGTATATTGTATGCAGGCATCAGTGGCAAGCTTCCAAAGCAGGTAGTCAGATACAAAGATGTACCTCAGCTAGACAGAGCGGGTTGGATGGTGCAATAGCTTTGTGGAGTGAGTAATAGACAGATTGAACTTGACTCCATGAATTTGTGCCTTGAGGATATGTGTCACCACTGCCAACCAGAATTAGAAAACTATAGAGCATAGCTGCCCTGCCGAATAGTGCAGACCAGAATATGTTTACAGCTCCCTCTCCACCTGCGTCTGGTGAGAAGTATCTGCAGACAATATTCAGAGAAATCTGCATGAGTTTCGAGATGAAACGTGCTAACCCGTTGGCTCCGCTGTGTTGATCATTGAAGGTGATGGCTTGTACAGATGAGATAGTGGTGATGGAATCAGATTATGCTGCGTACGAATTACAATCCCGTTTGCTCGATAGAGGTCAATGATAGCTTGCATATACGGTGCGTGCGTAGCACCAGCGCTGTATTCATTCTGGAATGTACTGAGTATATCAGACATGTTCGAAGCATGGTGAAGATCGACCTCAGCCTGAACAAGAATGACTGGAAAACACACTGAGTCCCCCTTCGCTGTGACCACAATGAGCTAGCTACTCACTGGGGCCGCCTTCAGTAACTTGATTCCGAGCGATTACTTGCGAGATCGAATTCATGTACGGTACCCAAGTTTGGGTGTAATTCGGATTGTTGGTGCGAAGAGAGCCTAGGTCCGTGAGCAACGTCGACCGCAGACAAAGGTTTGAACCTGACCTGCGATATTTCCGACCCAGCCCGGGAGGCCGCCACCTGTCGCTTCGGCGTCTTTCGTGAGGCATTCATGAGCGCGAATCAAATGCGGAAGTTCAGCAAAGAGACGAAACTGGTGTACGGCCCAGGTCGCGCGATCAGCCACAGACCAGCCTTCTGCGCCTCTTGTATGAACAGCTCCATGTCGCGATAAGTATTTTGCTGAAAGTCGCCTACATCACAGAGCGATGAGTATGTTGATCTACATCCGGCCCTCTCGAAGGCAGAGCAATCTTACCCTGGCCATTGTTCGTATCCGGAGCGGGATAATGCTGACCCCAGTGGACACAGAAGGAGACGGTGTTGAAGCCGTTGGATTTTATTTTGTCGAAGACGTCCGCCCACAGCTCAGGATTCCCGGGCAGGCGCCAGGGATGGAACTCTGCTGAGAGGATGAATACCCGCTGGCCCATGATTGACAGCGAGGAGCCATCCCAAGTGATGACATCGGTAAGGCCAGTGGAGTTGCGCCCCTGTAACGCAGTTGGGTGGCGTACGCCGAAAGCATTGGTCGCAAAGACGAGTAGTGCAAGGACGATGGTAGTGGTCCACATAGTAGTTGGGGGATCTGTCAGTCCCATCTGCGTCACTTACATGGCACCAAGGTCAGACGACTCAAGGAAGGACGCTTCACGATACTGGCGTTCCACAGGTGACAGGGATCATTCACAGAAGTTCTGTCTGGGGCCCATCCATGTCTGTGGAGTGCAGCCGAGTTTCACGCGGTCCGGAGCAATCATCGGTCTCAAGTCGAAGGGAGTGTGTTGAAGAAAAACATTGATTGACAACCACGGGCACGATAACAGAATGAATTTCGCATCGTGTGCATTACTTTTGAAGCGCCATGGAAGTTACTTACCTAGAAGTTTTAGCACTGGAGCGAGAAGTGAGAGGTGTGGTAGTGACATCCTGGTCGAATATCACCTCAGACGCTCTTCCTCCTCCTTTTCCCCTTGTCGTCAAATCTACTTGCCATAAAGACACGAGCCGGGCGGACCCGTTCGGTGCGGAATAGAACGAAGAATGACCTTCTGACCATTGCGGATTTAGTCAGACGACGTGCAATGGGCGAAGTGATGCCACCAGCGACGGACGAGACCGTCAATTCGACTCCGTTCGATCAATACAACTTCGACGTGAGAGTGTGCTTTGAAAAAGACGAGGCAGAGCCCAAGCCTCCCATGAAGACCGGGAGCAAGTTAGATAGAGCGTGGGAATCTGGCACGGGGCCTCATTCAGAGAATCTTATCTATAGTTCTCGTCCGCCAGCTGCAGCTTCTTACTTATTGCTAGCGTAAAACATTGGTGCATGTGAAATTTTATGATCTTGTTTGGCTCAGCCAGCTATGAAGGGGCACCCAGTGCCGTTGACTATTGTTAACTACCACGTCTCGGTTTCAAGCAGGTCAAGTCGTCCAGCGACGTTTCCATCATTTGAATACGGGGAGAGCAGTTTCAAAGTGGAGACCCTGTTGGATAGATTAGAAGGCATCCAAACGTCATGACCGAGCTGACGCACCAGAAGCGTGTTATAGCAAGCGTTGAAGGGTTGTAGCACGGGAGCCCACTCGCTCAAGTTCTCGGGTTCGTTAAGCAGTCCGAGAGACAGACAAAACACGGAGTATGACATTAGCGGCACAGCCCACAAGAGGCGGCCTTGAATAGCGAGGAAAGGGAGCCAAAAGATTGTGGCTGCCAATGTGCATGAGAGGGCTGCACCAGGTAAGCTTGAGAAAGCTTACTGTAGGAAAGAATGGAATAAAGCGTCAGGTAGATGAAAAGAGTGACATCGATGATTTCGTATCTCCACGAATCCCTGGCCAGATTACGCAGACTGCACACGAGACATGCAGTCATTCGCAATGCCATGAGAACGTAGAGGAGCCACAATGGCTGAGGGTTCCCAGGTAAAATGATGGGGGCCACGGCCCAAATGGATAGTAAACCCATTCTGGAAACCCTCGAAGGCCATAATAAAGTGGGCGATAACATGGGAGCAGGAATCCAAGCTGGGGAGCTCCTGTCTTTCAAAATTACCTTGACCGTGATCGGTAGCGACCAGATCGACCACGCGGGTGTCTCCTGTGAACTCAATGTCGGCGGGCGAATTACGGAACGCAATCCCTGGGCAGTCGATCGATTAGTTTCTACGCTATAGACCCAACGACCCGATCCCCAAATCCCCTCGCTCGCCACCTTCGAACGGATCGCGATGACTGCCGGTTCTCATTCGGTATAGTTGAGAATACACCTGTTTGATCCTCTGCAGCTGAGCATCCAGAGCTGCTGTCTTCGCTGCTAGCGCAAGGAATGTCTCGTTTTGGGCTTGCAACGTCGCTTGAATGGCTGGATTTTCGAGTGAGAATCGACTTCAAGTATCGCACGGTGGAATGTTCCTACCTTGTGGGGAAACCTGCAATTGGCCTGCCGACGAAGAAAGCTTCCTTTCGATTTGCTGGACAGAACGAAGTCAGCAACTGATAGACATCCAAAACCAACCTTACTTCGATCGTGGATTTGTACCAGGCCAGTCGCTCGCGCATTTGGGTGGCTACGCGCGTGAAAAATCTGCTCTCGTCAGTCGCCGGTGGCAATCCATCTTCTTTGAGCACTCACTCTAGCGGAAACCCGGCATGATCTTTCAAGTAGACCGCATTGGCATGCGGATTGCGGAATCCATCCACCAGTCGCGTGGCAACTATCGTGTCCTGCACCGCCTGATCGGTCTTCGCTTTGAGATCACGGGTGACATGGGAGTCGTGGCGGAGAGCAGTGGTCGTGTCCACTAGGTCCTGACGGGACATTTCAGCACACGTCCTGCTGTGTGACCGATCCACTGACCTTGTGGACTGCACGAATCAAATCTTGACCCTTGAGCGCTTCTTCGCCCAGTTTTCGTTGATGCAGATCCTTGCTGATCTGGATCCGGTTCTGGATATGAGACCTGAGTATCAGATTGAGCATCAACACAACGACAGCCCTGCGGAAAGACCGACTCAATATCTTCAAACGTTTTCTTGATCGCGTCCGGAAGGTCATTAAACTTGGTGGACTTCGTGAACGCAGGGGGCCTTGGATAGCGTTATCGAAAATGCGGACGACTCCAAAGCAGGGACTCACTGTTGTTGAACAGGCTGCACCGAACCAAACATGGAGCCTGCGTTGTTGTTGCCCAGCAGAGGGTTCGTAGTGGATCCAAACATGCCTTGTCCTGCAGCGCCATTCGTAGTTGGTTTCCCAAACATGGAATTACCGAAGATACCTCCGGAATTAGCTTGTTGCTGGTTCGGCTGCGATCCAAATATCCCCGTCGCAGGCTGCGTAGACTGGCCAAACAGTCCCGTGGCTGGTTGCGTGCTCTGACCAAAGATATTGCTGCCAGTCGCGGGCTGCGCATTCGTTTGATTGAAGAGGCCACCGGTAGTCGATTGACCGAAAAGTCCCCCACTAGCCGGTTGCTGCTGCTGCTGCTGGGCCCCAAAAAGCCCACCGCCAGTGGCCGGTTGTTGTGGCTGCTGGCTCCCAAACAATCCACCACCTGCCGCTGGTTGCTGTTGCTGATTCCCAAATAACCCTCCTGCTCCTCCCGCCGTAGGTTGCTGTGGCTGCGCTCCAAACAGCCCACCTCCCGTCGTCGGCTGCTGCTGCTGCGGTTGTGTGTTCCCAAACAGACCGCCAGCTTGTGGCTGCTGCTGCGTAAAAATCGAAGGGTTCTGCGCCTGCCCAAACAATCCACCGGGTTTCTGCTGATTCTGGCCGAATATGTTTGCAGCCGGAGCCGGTTGTTGTTGCTGCTGCTGCTGATTACCAAATAGACCACCAGACGCGCCGGATTGACCAAAGGCGCTGCCGGTCGCGTTTTGAGGCTGACCAAACGCGCCGGTTGTCGGCTGCCCGAATGCACCTGTTGGTTGTTGTCCAAACGCGCCGCCCCCTGCAGCTGGTGCTGGCGTCGACTGGCCGAAAATAGAAGAGCCACTGGGTTTCATTCCGAACGCGGATGAACTGGCAACAAATGCGATGAGATACGGCAAAGAGCTTGCAATCCTGAGAGACGCGACGATTTGAGTGCGTACCTAGTAGCGAAAGCCATTATCCACAGTCAACGCGTTCACCTGACGTTCTGGTTTGGAAGGGATTGTAGATTGCTTAGTCAGAGGCAGCCACCTCTTCACGTGCTTAACCCCGCCCGTCAAACGCTTTCCCGCCCGTTTTGGCAATTCCAGCAATGCCGAGGACAAGGAGGCTTACGTAGAACCCGGTATGAGAGAGTTCACATGTATTTGCAGACTTTGTGGCCCAAACTTAGCGATGGTCGCAGACGCCATGCTACAAAATTGCCTATTTGAGCGTAATGTCAGCCCTCCTGGGAAGAACAAGTTCGCCGCCCTCGATGGCCGAGGCTTCGGCGGCCGATCGGGTCATACTTGATGTAGGTCCACATGCGTCCCAATGGCTATTACGGTATGCCCCGGCTAGGAATATTCCTTTTTTCTGTGTACCCCGTCACTCTCCTTGCCTATTCTGAATGTCTGAACAACGCGTATCAGCTTTCTTTCCGATGCCGTCCTCTTCTCTCCGACACTTTCTCTCAAAAGAGAAATAATGAGCATTTTCCGGCTCGGTCACGTGTCGGTGAAGTGGACAGCCACCCAGATTGAGCATGCGTACGAAGAAGAAGCGGTGTGGCACGGTGTGCCCTCCTCACCAGGCTTGTCTAATAATACGATGGGGACCATACGAGTCCCCATCTTTGCCAGCTACCCTCTTGTATGCTTCGTTCGGATCCCCCGTGCTCTCTGACCATTGCACCCCGGTCGGCCCATGGACGGCTTCGTCGAGCGCGTCGCCCTCACCCTCAATGCTATGGATCCGACCACGCCGCCGTCGTACAACGAGGGGATGCCGCGGGTCGCTGGCGCCCTCCCGCCTAATTATAGCCGCTACGCCTCATCCGTCGCCCTCCGCGTCCAGACAGAGCACTACTTCCACCTTCCACCGCGGAGCGTCAAACCGCCTTGGGCGACTCTCAAGCTGATCAGCCGGTCCCAGTCTGCGACGCAACTTCCTATCTTTCTCGAGGGGGACAGGATTGGGGGGCGGTTGACATTCAACTTGACGCAGCCCGAGAGCATCGTCGCCATCAACGCATACGTGAGTCAGTCAGTCCGGATTGGTTCTATCCTCGGTTATTTTGCCTGCCCCACGTTGTTTTCTGGGCGACCAACGTTGCGATGCAACCTCCCATCCAATCATCTCGAAGATTCTCATCATCCCGGCGCGCGGAGTAACCTTGTTTTAACCACGGGTCTGCAGGTGAAGGGTCAAATCATCCCCGGTCCGACCGACAAGGACACGTTCCCCTTCCTCGAGGTATCAACAACACTTTGGACGAAAGCCGACGGGGACCCGCGCAATCCGGGCGGCCGATTCTCCGGGAAACTAAGCGGGCACCACGAATGGAACTTTTCGATCAACATGCCGAAGGCTGTTACGATCCCCACGACACCATATTTCACCGGGGCAAGCTTTCCGCTGCCCCACACATTCCGCGAACGACGGTTTCCAACCAGCATACAATATCTTCTTGTGGTCGAACTAATACGAGGTCGATTTCGCACGAATTCACGGTGGGTGTGTGCCGGAAGAGATGGGAACACGCGGTCTCATCAGTGCCTAGCATACAAACCGAATTCGCCTACGTCCCGGGGACGCGACCTTCCCCTCCTTCTGCATTACGCCGGCTCGCGTACCAACAAAATACTCCTCTGATTGGACCGGAAATCGACACAGCAGGCTGGAAACAGTTTCCCGCGCTCCATGTGAAGGGGACCATATTCAACAAGCGCCCGGTCGAGATTATCTGCACAGTGAGCCTGTCTTCCCTTCGTTGTGGCAAGACACTCAACTCACCACGTTCAGCTTGCTTTGGCTAAACCAGTGAGTGCTGCAAACAAACAACCCCCTTCCCCGGGACTGATTAGCAGTTATCTTACACACGAGGGTCGCCACTGCCCTGCCTAATGACGTTGGCGTCCACCGACGCTCAAGCTCTGGACCTGTTCGCATCTCCGCAGTCTCTCTCGGTCTACCTTCGACGACGTCTCAAGCCTATAGTCTCCGCGTCGAAGCGAACCGGGATGTTCGACGCCAATGCCGATTTGTCTGCTGATCCTGCCGAGAATATGGCCGTAGCGACGTGGTGGCCAACCTCGCCGAATCCAGAGACCCACATGCCTTCTCGACGTCTCAGTGGGGAGATCTACCTCCCGGCAACGTTGAAACCGACGTCCCGGATAGCCTACTTTGCGGTCGAGGTCGGATCTGCGTTCCGGTAATAAGATGGAAATATACTGACACCGATGCTCAGTACTCTGTCGAGGTTCTCCCGTTTAAGGCGACGACATTCGTTCCTTCAGCAGACTCCGTCGTCCCCCTGCTCAAGGTCGACATCGAGGTGACTACGATGTTCGCAGCCAACTCAGAACGCCCCCGAGTCTACGCTCCCGTTTCCCACGCGGCCTCGATGCAGCAAGAGCCTACCCGGGACAATTACTTCAACGTTCCCATGGACGAGATGTCCACTGTCTGGCGCACTTGAAGGCGATGTCAAATGCAGGATCCAGACAGAAGGGGCTCAGCTGAAGAGGCCCGACCTGGCGGCAGGCCCGGCCTGACTTTCACTTCGCGTCGCCTCTCTGTGGTATTGAGTCTGTGGTCAGATGATAGAATACACAGGGAGGCATAGGGAAGCATAGAAATGTCGAGTACAGCAGTGATTACATTAAGCAAGACGTGCGCCGAAATATAAGTGCTAATATGTAGATGGGTGGGTACATAAGGATGACTGCAGATCAGAACCACCCGTATTCGGGAGCCGTGAAAGAATGGTTAGTGACCTCCGGCTCGTAGCTCGGAGGCGTGTGTACCCTCGGTTTAGGTCCTTTGGCAAAGATGGTGGCGATTTCCACCTTCTGCCGCACTGGTAGTGTCGTTTTCATTTGATTGTGTACGAATCCTGGCGCTTTGAATGGTAGCATAACCACATGGTACTTCCAAGTTGCTCAGCGCACAGGCTAGACTGTAACACTTCCAACTACCCACCTCGAGGTTGAAATGTGATATGCTGGACGACGGCTTCAACGTCTTTGGTAAGTGGATCTCTCCGTCCAGCCGACACGTCCCTGCATGTGCATCTCCCACGGGCCACCAAACAGCGCGACTGACCTCAAGCACGGAAGAGTCCGACGAAGCCTCTCGTGTCGTGTACTCGGCAACAGCCGGGGCCTTCATGTACTTGAACCGCCGATGCAGATAGACATTCATCACGGCCGGAGTGCAGAGAAGATTCATCGCCTGAGGATCGTCGCAGAAGAAAGTGACAGAGCAAGGGATGACGCTGCCTCGTGTATATGACAACTAGGGGAACGATCGTCGGCCCCCGGGTGCAGCGGGTAAAAGAGACCGCACTCACAGGATTAGCCAGGGAGAGCTTGCAGTGAGGATTCAATATACATTCGAGATGATAAAGTCAAGGCCTACCGAACACTGCATATCGACCTTGCGAGCTCCAAATATCGTACCAGCGACTGTTGCCAACGGAAGGGTATACCATCCGTCAGGATCCAGATCGGGCCCGGGCAAGGGGCCATTCTGGCGGTAGGCTAGCTGTCGAAGACGAGACGGTGGGGACGGCCGTATTGCGGGAACATACACAAACATGGTCTGCAGTCTGGAAAGGCATCAGGATTCAATAATGCAAAGTGCCTCGGTCAAACTACAGACTTGTCATCCCCACGAAACGTGCTGCGTGCAAGATGAACAAAAAGTTCGTAGAATACACTCGCTCGTGAGCTCCGCTCCAAGAACGTCTGGGGTAAGTGGTACGTCTTTGGCGACCCGTGCTTGGCCTGCGGATCTGGAAGTGTGACCTCCTTTGGCAAAGATATCGAGAATGGCCAGTGGTAGTCTCCGTTCAGTTTCCCGCCGGGAAGTGTAGGCGTCTGGACGTTTTCCCTCCGCGGAGTCGAACCGCCCTTGATCCAGAGCGGAGTCGTCAAGTCCAGGAAGCACACCCGGTCCTGCTCATTCGGCCCAGTGACAATCTGACCCCGGATCTTGTCATGGTCAGACGTAAATCAACAGAAAGCAAAATGCTTCGCACCAGGATGCTGACACCGAGAATGTTTTCACTGCTGGACAGACCCAGAGTGACAGATCCTGTTATCTTCTCTCCCTCGAGATAGGTCGGCAAGGCACTCGAGCTGCGCGCGCTGCTCTGAAGCTTCAACGTCGCCCACGGTTTCTTCTTCCTGTCCTTGAGATCCAAGACGTGTTCGGTGGGCGGTCTCACGGAGCCGGCGGTGCGAGGGCGTTCATGGGCTGAGTAAGCCGGAAGCGATGTGACAGAGGCCGCCGAAGAGAAAGGGTCCCCGTACACTGAGGAATGGGACATGGGTCTTGTCAAAAGACGCGGGATGTTCAGGACCGATACACCATCTGCCAGCCTTGACTTGAGGCCTACCCGCCCCGCTCCCTGTTGATCTTGCTTGTCTGCAAGGAGAAACGGTGACAGGCAACTATCGCGATCAAATGATGTCCATTGATAATTCACGCCCGCCGCCCGGCCCGCGGGTTTTGGAAAGGGTCCGAATAAAAATAATCCCTCTGCTCATACTCGTCGACAAAAACGTCCTACAGCCACTCCTCTGTCACTCATTCACAGAAACTCCAATCCCTACATAGAGTGATCAGAGGAACTTTCAGCTTGGTGAGACATCGGGCAAGAACCCCATCCGGCGAACGCGAGTTTAATTTAGATGAGGCTAAAACCGCATAGATCTTGTCCACCCCGAGCAAATTGGATGTGATAGTGAGATCTTGTGTGCGCCATGGGAATACACTATATGAATCCCCCGGATGGTACTTGTGCACTGCACTGTTGTCCAATCCTCCAGCATGAATTCGGGGCCCATATCCATTGGAACAACTCATATCAATCGAGCCGAGTCTGGACCCGTCAGCCGCTTACTGTTGATCCCGGGAGAGGAGGGAAAAGATTCTGCGGCAGAGAGGAAAATCAAGTGATACAGCGTGTTTACTCTCTAAGCCTTCATCGCTGCTTTCATAGTCTGGGTCGGATGTAAGACGAGAATGGTCACGAGAAGCAAAGACACGAGCCTTCTCCATTTCATCTACATCATCAGTTTTGATTCGCATGATACTTTGGCCGGTAGCCTCCTCGATTGCAACCATCTGCTCCCAGGTCACCTTGTTGTGTACGAAGTTGATCGAGATGCCCTTGCGGCCAAAGCGTCCTGTGCGACCGATCCGATGGATGTACGTCTCGATATCCGGTCGGTCCTGGTTCCCGCCCGGTCCGCCCCCGCCCGAGTTGCGCTCATACAAAAGGGGAAGATCGTAGTTGACGACCATGTTTACTTGCAGGATATCAATCCCGCGAGCGATGACGTTTGTGGTGATAAGGACCTGGATGAATTCAGTCAAGGTGCCGGATAGCACACAAATGCGGCCTTACCTTCTCCTTTCCCTCTCGGAAGCTATCGATGATGTGGTCCCGCTCCGCAGGATCCTTGGCGCCGTGCAAGGAAGCGACCTTGTGTCCTTCCGAAGTCATGCGCACAGAGATCTTGTCCGCAGTGGCTTTATGCTGTTTACTAATCAGACGATGTGGGCGAACACAGGCTGAGAGAGGGCACCTGGCAGAAGATGATACTTTGGCCAACTGTGAGGAGGTTGTACAGTTGGACCAGAATGTCGTATTTGTGACCTTCATCTTTGCAATCCATGTAGAACTGCCGAATATTCGATACGCTCAACTCTTCCCGGCGCAGTTCGATCTTGTTCGAATTCGGCGCAAACTTGGAAGCGAAGTTGCGCACATTGTCAGGGAAAGTGGCGGAAAAAAGGATAATTTGAACCGGGTGGTCGCGAGGGAGCAGGCTATAGGGATCAGACTTCAGACCCGGCGAGACCGATCAAGGCGTACTTCTTGACACGCAAAGTTTGGTCGCCCAGTCCATCCTGATCCAGCATATTGTCTGCCTCGTCGAGAACAAACACCTTGACTTGCGAGATGTCAATGATACGCTTCCTGATCAAGTCGTACATCGTCCCTGGTGTACCAACGATTATTTGGGCCGTAATAGCTCCAGAATCGCGTGCGAGATTGTCTTTGATAGCGTATTCTGTTTGCACAGCAGTGAACTTGCCCATCGCATTTACGACAGTCATGATCTGCCGCGCTAATTCACGCGACGGGGCCAAGCAGAGCGCCTGTGTGCATCAGTAAATGTAGTTTGGGCCGTGAAGCGACACACCTGAGGTATCTTCTTCGCAAAATCCACTCGGCTGAGCATCGTCAACACAAATGCCGCCGTTTTACCCGTGCCAGATTGGGACTGTCCGATCATGTTCGTCGGCCTGTACTCAGTAAGGATCGCGCATTGTAAACGGCCCGTCCCTCACTCACGGATTAGCTAGTAGCAGCGGCAAAGCTCGCTCTTGGATCTTCGAAGGCTTTGAGAATCCCATATCGTAGATCCCTTTCAAGAGATCTTGATGTCTAGAACACGATTAGCACCCACCCAGTCGCTACGAGGCAGAGATTATTCACAATCCAAGCTCCTCGAATGTTTTCACACTGAAAAGAGGCGAATTCGGGTCTCCTTGCTGGTCCGCGAGTGTGACCTGGTATCACACGTCAACAACCCGCAAGACATCGCGTCGCGAAGACCTTACAGTGACTTCGAAGGTAGACTTGATCAGATCATTGGGTGCAGATTCTTCGCGTAGAGGTTGAGCTGGATTGCACAGGGAAAGGGATGCGTCCATTACCCCGGGCCTTGTCATCCTCCTTCGGAACGGGCCCACCAGCGGGCTCCGCTGAAAGAGCGCGATCCTTCGTGAGTCCATTGCAACGTGCCAAGACGCGCACAGAACTCAACTCGGATTGTAGAAACCGTCCGCGTCTTTCTGCAGTGCCATCGCTTCCTTGAGAGTCCGTAGTTTGTGTGGTGTGGGCGGAGGCGGTCGTAACGCGATAAAGCGACTGTGATCGTGATAATTGACCCGATCGATGTGTTCGCGGGTCGTGAAGGTGCGTGAAGACCGCGTGCAAAGACTATGAACAGAAGTTTGCAGAGGTTTGAGCAAGAAGAGAGAATGGTGATGATGCGATCGCCGAATTGATCTTCACCTGATCTCCAATTGAAGATGAGATCTTCCTTTGTATGAAAAGTACATATATTCGTGTCTACCTACAACATGGATAGGACACACTCAGCATGGATAACGTACTAGTTTTCAAGAAACTTGTAGACTGAGCTGTAATCTCATTAACGCATTTGGCTACGTAAATGCAAGGGGACGGACTGGGGGACGTCGTGTTGAGTGACCGCGCCGGTATTGTTTTTCATCCTACTCGCAATTTGAGCGAATTCGGTGTGCGACTGACCTCATTATTTCTCTGTCATGTGGGAAAATGACCGACCGTAATACACGAGGTTTATAACATACAAAAAGCCAGAAGAAAGCAAAGACTTAGCGCTAGAGACCCCCGTGTCGGTGACCGTGACGTAGAGGATGAGGATAAGCACTCTCGGTGAAGACTAATGGGACGGACTGGTCTCCCGGAAAACCGCCCAAAACCTGTCCAACTACAGGAAATCCTCCGCTCTGGCCCGTTTCTTGCCTCTGGGTTCGATACTATCGGAAGGCGGTAACGGCCGCGGAACAAAATATTTGGGATGGAAGGCCCGCTTTTCCTCCTGAAAAACGATATGAGATAGACACAGGAAGCATATAGAGGCACTCACTACTGAGAAATTGGGATCACCTCCCACCCCATGCTCGTCCTCGTTGCCAATCAGGACCATGTCCTTCTTCGCAGGAGGGTTGGTCTGCCTTCTCTCGGGGTGGGGCAGTGTCGGTCCAGTCGGTTGCGGATTGGATGCTGGAACGTCGACGGGCTGAGCGCCGCCTTGTGCTGTGGCAGCGGGAACAAACGAAGGCACAGGACGCGGCGGAGTTGGGGTAAAAGACGGTGGCATCATTCCCGGCGGAGTCATTCCCGGACCAGGTGGCATCAGACCTGGTTGGAAGCCCGGTGGTGGCATCATGCCTGGAGGCAGTATGGCACCGGGTGGGGGCATGCCACCTGGCTGTGGAATCATGCCTGGCGGTAGCATTGCACCTGGAGGAGGCATCACTCCAGGAGGTGCCATGACACCGGGGGGATGCATCGCACCAGGCGGCGGCATTCCTCCAAACGGCGGCGGCATCATGCCAGGAGGTGGGAACCCACCAGGAGGGAATGGCGGCATGCCCGGTGGAGGAGGACTGCAAGGGTACATCGAATTGAGAGACTATTGCAACTGGAGCACACGCCCACTCACCCTGGGAACCCAGGAAACGGAGGCATGCCCGGCGGTCCCATGGGCATCGGCATCGGGGGCTGTGCATACGTCTGGGGGCCAGCACCGTATACCGCTGGAGCGGGAACAGACGAGGAGGATGCCTCCGCGGAGCCTCCCATCAACCTCTTGTGTTGCTCCAGCAGGTTCTGCAACTCGTCTTCCGGAATAGGCTTATTCTCGATCTAAAATCCGTCAGACAGAGCTTACGCCAAAGATGAGATAAGAATGTTCACTTTGGGTTTCTTGGCCTGGGGAGCACTAATGCTGCCCGCCGTCAGACCCAACTCGATCTCCTTGCGACGCTTATAGTCTGCAACATCTGGGGCAGGAATGCCCTCCATCCCGAAGATTTCAATTTCATATCCGTCTCGGTTTGGAAGAGCGTTTTCGATGCGAGGGAGGCTGATGAACATCAATGATGAGTAATGAGCAAAGAACGAACGCACTTTTCTGGTTCCAGCTTATGGACCTGTTGGATATGGACCGCCAAGCCCCCAGCAGTGTTCAAGCGTCGGGGACACATACCGCACTTGAAGTGCTTCGCCTTCTGATGCTGCATAAGAACTGTACGAGTGCATGAGCGCCTTGAAAAAAATTACCGACCAAACGAACCTTTCTCATCTTCGAACTCTCTTTCGCAGTACCAGCACCATGGACGAAGAACCTCAACAGAAGTTGGTTGAAGGTCACAAAAGGTTACAAAGCTACTCACATTCTTATTCTTCTTCTTAGCCATCGTATGAGCTGGAGGAGAAGTGAGACGTGACTGTCACGTCTGTGCTGTCACGCTGTCAGGTCCCATGTGCTTCAATCATCTTGTGCAACCCATCTCGGTGAGTCTCTCGAGTGCTTAGAAAGTGCTTATAATACAAGCGTATACTTGGCCACGCTTAAGTTCAATTTGGTTGATTTTACGAACTATTCTGGCGACTCTGGCCCAAGTGAATCGATTGATATGCCTCCATAAAGGGTTTTTACCGAAAAGAGGTGTGGACACATTCCGGACTTCAGTTTCATTCCTGAGATCAGTGACATCATTTCTGCAAGGATGTCATTTTCTGCCCGAATCGTCTTTGCGCAACCTTCTTCGTAGTAAGTAGCGATGTGTGCGCGTTCGCCGTGTTCTTTATAGTCACGCAACCGTAGCTCAATAGTACGCTGGTCCATCGTCGCAGAAGGTGGCAGACCTCGTCACGTTCGGCAGCAGCGGGGCGCAGTCCTGCGTAGGACCTGATGCAGATCGATCATATGGAATTGCAGGGATAAGGACGTGGTGCAACAACTCCAGTGCCTCGAAGTCGTATTGCACACTGGGACCCCCCGCTCGGGAATCGACCTCGAAGAGAACATAGCCAGCAGTTCTGAGAAAGACAGCACAGTTCTTTCATCTCTCAAGAAAGGGCATTGAGCGAACTGATCCAGCTATGGCGATATAAGCTTTGGACGGATCATGAAATAGAGTGGGATCACCTCGCATACGCGTGAGCAGCACATCCACCAGTTCCGACCACGAAACGCTCACTCTCTCAGATATGCAGAGGGACGCCGACTCTCGGGCATCCTGTACACACATCGTATTGCAGACATCCGCATGGACGGCACAACCAAGCAGAACTTGCAGCTGCTCCAGCATCTCTGGTGAAGATGCGTTCCCGAATATCTCCGTGGTCACCACAATGTGGGATGAGGTCGGGTTGGAGCTAGCGGAGTCGCGTGAGAGCGAATTGGCAGAGGATGCGTGCTTCTTCAAACAGGTGTTGGACGGCGGCGCAACCATGCAGCGACACCAGTCGATAAACGACCTGGAATCAGCGCAAGCGATCGTGGATGAGCTCGCAGTGAACATCCCTTATGCATTGAAGGTCCAGATTGAGTTGGTGGACGAGCAGAAGAAGTTAGTGGAGACATCCGTGGGTCAGGAGCTCGAGCGAGAGTTGACCGAACAGCTGGCCAAGCACCGAGTGGAGTTGAGCGGATTGCGCAAGGAGATGAAGCGTGCGTGACGAAAAGCAGGAGATTTTCTCCTGTTCATCCATCGACAGAGGCGTTCCGGCAACAGAACGACGAGACGAGACTGGAGCTTGAGATGGAAAGTCACAAGCTGCAGGAGGAAATGGGTCGATCAAGACTGACCCACACTCTTCAGTTTGTACGGAAATTGTAACGCGATCGCTTTCGTCCTCTTTTGGTAGTTATGAAGGAATCTAACAAGTTCCTTCCAGAAGTGCGAGGCGCTAGAGCAATGAACGACAGTGATGTCGAATGGGGGATCTTTCCGTCAAGAAGAGTCTGAAGAGCCGGGCGACGAATGGTGTCAGGTTGCAGAACAGTGCGGCAACGGCCGGATGCCCTTCAAGTGCAAGTCGAGTGTGTATAGCAGTGATAAGACATGAATGTAAGATAAATGTAAGGATGGATTACGGCGTGAATTACAGAAAACTACTTCGAGGTTGTGCCATTCAGTCGAGTGCTTCGGCGCGTTCCAGTCGACGACTGACTCGCTGGCTTGGATGAGCGGCCCCGCCTCCGGGCGGAGTTGGTTTTCTTGGTCGGTAGATTTGGAGGCACCGGCTCCTCTGGTCCGACCGACGGTTTCCTCTTTTTCGAGCTAGAAGGCCTAGCGTCTGCAGGACCGATGCACCCATCATCCTCGTCTTCAGCTCGTCGCCGCTTCAAAGACGAGTTGTTCGGTCGAGACCGGGATCCGCTCTTCTTGGACCCAGATTTGGACTGGTGCTGAGAAGCATTGTTGACGACGACTTGCTGAAACAGACTGGGTTGTTTCTTCCCGTCCTTCGCACGCAGGGGGGGAGATGGTATACCAGGGCGCCGTCGTTCTCATGCCAGTTGTAGGTCAATCGATCAAGAGCGACCCGAAAGTCTTTGAGCGTGGCCTCATGTGTCATCAACCGACGAATCATTGTCAGATTATCGCTCTTGTGATCAATTTCCGGTTGCGGCTCCAAGTTTTGCTGGAAAACGTCGCGGCGAATGAAATTGACAATGACATGGAAGCCATTTCTCCCGTCCAGACTGAACTTCGCGGTGTCCGCTATCGTGCCCTTCTTCGTCTCAGGAGCCCGAGAATCAAATAGCTCCGTGCAGGCCCTGTCGCCAGCCGGCAGATGATGCTTGGTGTGTCGAACACCCATCCAGTATAGAAGCCAGAAAAGACTTTCGAGATCATGATGCGACCCGTGCTTGAAATTTTTACGCTGTCCGAGGCTGTGTTGCATCACTTCGATGGCAAGAAACGGCCAGGTGCCCTGGAGGAACGAGTCAGACCACAGTGGATAAGGAACAAGCGTCGCCCGAACCGTGATGTGCTTCAAACTCTTGTCCACAGAATCATACTGCTCACTGTGCAGTCGCGATCCAAAGTTCTTCTTGAAAGCCTCGAGCCCCTTTTCCGTGAACTCTGCGTAGTCCCAGTCGACAAGGAATCCTCGAGGCGTCTTGAGACCAATCATTTCCGCAAACATGATGTTCCCCTCGCTGACGTCCCGATGCAGCACCCCGGCCTCGAACGCAATGAACAGATCTGCGCGAGAGATCAGTATTGTATTCGTTGCGAAACGAAGAGACTCACGGCATGCCGCATGGTAAACAGCCGTGACCAGAGCCCACGTGCTCGTGAATCGGTCCAGCCGGGTCCCCACCGGCGTCAGGAGCGTCCGGGTATGATAACGGTGAAGCCCGTCTCCAGCCTCCGACGTGGTCTTGTGTCGAGCAGTGTCCCAGTCAGGTCCTGTTCCATCCTTGAAGCGAAAGTCTTTGACCGTATCGGAGAGATCGAGGCTCCCAATGCACCGCGCCATAGCAGACTCGTCGAGCTTGTGTTGCTTGATGAAAGCCTGGCCCTTCTCCGACTTGCGGAAAAGCTCGATCAGATCGTAATAATCGACCTCGGGACGACGGCAGCCCTGCCTCCAGGAGTCCTTCAGCGCGTAGAGCTGCGGACACGGCAGCGGATCGTCGCCACCCAAGCTCTGCTCGTATGCTTCGAGATCCTTGTCGATCATGACGCGGAACACCTTCGTGGCTCGCCCGAACAGCCCATGCGAGTGCCAAAGCGGCTCGCCGATCGTGTGGCATTTGACCGGGACCAGCACCCGTTCCCCATCCACCTCGCCGAAGACGGCGGCAGTCAAACAGAAGCTGCGCCCGACCGCCGTTTCTTCGTCCTTGAATGCAGCGACGTGGTCGCCCTCGGTCTCCAGCGCCGCCCAGATCCGCCTCTTCGTCGCCTTGTCGGTGAACGTGATCGTATCGTCCTCGCCCAGCGTCGCTTGGGGATGGCCCGCGCTGGGGTGGTAGATCCGGTACAGGAACTCGGGCAGATATCTCGGGTTCTCGAGCCAATTGAAAGGCTTGCTTGTAAAGAACCCCTCGGTGTCGAAGCGGAACAGTGTCGCCGTGTCGAATGAGATCGCGACGACGAAGACGAAGCACCGGTCGGAGGACATCATGAGATGCCGTGCATCCTTGGCGAGCTGGACGAGCGCATGCAGGGCACTATCACTTGTCCCCAGCGTCCCGTCGTCCTCGTGAATCCGATCGTGGAATTTGAGCTGCACAGTGACCAGCGTGTTCGACCATTTCCACTCTTGCTCATTGATTTTGAGACCGGGCTTGCCCAGGCTGATATCGGGTCGAGTGACGTGACATTTGTCGACTGAGGTGAAAGTCTTTCTGGCAGTGACGGCAACCTCGGGTCTCTTCGACTCGGAGAACGAAGACACAACGCCGGCCAGATAATCGCGCTAGGAGAGACGGGAGGACACATCAGCATTGTCGAAACAGCACACGAAAGAGATGCAAGCACGCACGATCGGACCCTCCATGTCCGCCTCATAACGTTTCTTCTTCTGCCCCTGTCTGGCGCTGACAAACTTGGGAGACGCGTAAAGCTCCTTCGCTTTCTCCAGTCCAGCCGCACCGGCTTGGACTGCTTTCGTCGTCGCCCGCTTCACCGCAGACTCTTTCGTCGGCCCGCCGGGGCCCATAAGATTGGCCAGAAACTCCTCAACGGGCTCGATGCCATGGTTGTGAGCGCTGTCCTCGACCATCTCCATCCAATCATGGAGGGCGATGGGGGAGTCCTGCTTGTTGAGCTCGGCCGAGTTGTACATCGTGTGGTTCGAGGGAAGACACTTGCGGGGCGTGTGCGAGTTCTTCTCGTTGAAGTTGGCTGCGCGAGTCGCGGCAGGATCGTCGTCGTCCGAGTCGATTTCTACGTCAGACTCCGCGGCTGTTCCGTGGCGCTCGTCGTGGTCACCGGCTTCGAATGAGGCTGGGGAGGCACGTAAATTATCGGCGGCAACTGGTAGAGACATGTTAGTGACAGGAAAGATAGGGAAGATTGGACTCACCGCGCTTTTTATAAGTCCTCCAAAGCGCGCCCGAAAAGGAGGACAATGGTTTGACTGCGAATGAGAGGGGTTTCAGTCACGACTGTGACAGATCGTGTATGTGTGATATGATATCCCCATCAGGACATATCCCATTTGTCGGGTTTATCCACTTGTGTGCGTGGCTTCTTATAACTAGGAGATAGAGGGAGGCTCTACGTCTCTGTCTTACACTCGATGATGGAATTTCGGTCGATTCTGTGCCCTGGGATCGATTCCAGTTTTCGGTCGTGTCAAGTTGAAAGGCTGGGAATGATTCTTTCGACAGATGCACACCATCATGAAAATCCAGCACGGTTCTACGATTTTCTCAAGAAGATTCCTACTGAACTTCGCCTTACCAACATAATATCAAGGACACAATGGCCTTATGGAACCATACTGAAGATAAGGTGCCGGGCCGTGCTTGCAGGCTCTTGTTGTTGTTCTATAGACACACGACACAAACGATAACGGTCCAACGTGTCCGCCTGGGAGGTTTTGTTCTGATTCGCACGGATAGCCTTGCGCTTCTTGAGAACCAGGATTCATTTCCAGAGGATGGCAGATTCACTTATCACACTGTATGTTTGTTGCAGCTTCCATTCTGTTGTCTCTTGTCCTGTCATACAAATCCATCCACTTGTATCATTCCATGAAATATATACCAGTTTTGCACTAAACTTCCGGAGCGCCGCTATATTGTGCCGATCCCGTGACTGTATGTCCCGACAGCGCTGGAGATCGCACCCGCCCTTGGTGGTAAGTTGTCGAACCAATGGACGACGGGAACGTGCTCGGATCATCGGGATTCTGCTCGAAGAGATCAGTGTGTTGCTCGAATATGAGCCTCGCAATTACTCACATAGAGTTTCGCTGCGGGCAACCCTCCAGTGAAAGGCGTGATATGATCGCCAGCATAACTCATGCTCACGGGCGCACTGGTGACAAGCCTGGACGGGGGATCGCTGTGTTTCCGTCGGCGGACAAGAAGAAATGCGACTACGAATATCAAAGCAGCGCCGACGACCCCACCAACGACCCCACCGGCGATTGCACCCGCGTTGGCTTTCTTGCCACCAGAAACAGGTTCAATGGGATGGCTGGAGGGAAGTCCAGAGGGGATGCCGGTAGACGTTGCTTGCCCGCCAGCGGTCGATTCGGGTGCATCTGTCATGGAATGAGCGAATTGAAGCAACGATGATCGTGCTACTTTGCTTACTGAGTTGCGTTTGAGCCGCAGTGGCATTGAATCCATCGAAGATCTGGTCAGTATAAACACGATCTCAATCTGAGCAAAAGAAGCTGCCGCACGGTGACATTTTGATATGCCTGCAGGAACATGATGAGCGGCAGGCCGTGCATAATTCACGTCAACGTACCCAATGGGGGACGGCTGTGTTTGATGGGATGGCCTCGGGGAACCTGCGGCAGAGGGAGTTGAAGCAGGGACGAGTAGGATCGTATAACGCACCGTGAAATGTAGGTTGTGGTGCAGTTCTGGGAAAAGATGGACCATCTGCATACAAGCTGCGTCAATCAAGTCCGGGAAGTCGCCCTTCGACCTACCGCAATACATCGCGGCCTTGGCATCCAGCACACGCACTCAGAACCGAGTACATGACCGAGCTGCAAATGCATTGGTTCGCCTGGGCAACAGTTGGGCCAAGGTATTCTTGACTTGGTCCTAAGGCCGGAACGGTGAACACTGGAAAGAAGCAGGATGCATGAGGATGACCCAGTCTTCTGGAATGACACGCTGCGAGCACGGACATCCATTATCGCATACTCCCCCGAGGTACGCTGCAACCACACACGGACTCTGCAGACGAGAATTGAAAGCCTGGACGAGTCGATCGGAGGAGAGGTGCAATCAGCGCTTGCCACCCGGGAGTCCGATTCAGACCAACGAACCCACTGAAGGGAGGCAGCATTACAGGTAGCATTCGTCGCGACCCCTTGCCCGGAAGCTGCGGCACCGAAAAGCAGGGGAGTCAGGAAAGCGAGAACGGGGAACATGGAGCTGTCGGTCGTGGTGGGTGAGAAAGAGCACAAGGAGAAGCCGAAGTCCAAAACATGACTATCTCCGGCCCAACTCCGTTCCCAGCGCTAAGTGAATTGATGATGTTCTAGGAAAGACGGATGCCACCCACGCTCATGATGGTCTGGAGAAGATGGAAAGTGGCTGTGGCGATAACGATTATCTCCCACTGATTTGTCACCGCCAGTTTAGAATCGTCGATCCTCCATCAGTGTAAGCAACCGTTCTCCAGCGATATGCGGAATGAAATGGACTTCGACGCATTTATGGCATCCTTGGCTGCTGGGGTGGCCTCCATTCGACATGGATGGGGCGAGAAACGCACTTTCACGAAGAATACAGAAGTCTCCTGTTCACGGTGTCACAGGCAGGAAAATTCAACTCTGCGTTTGCAGTCCTGAAGCCATTTTCGACGAGCCATTATGTCAAAGGAATTTTCTTCGTTCTAGCTCGTAATCTCAAGAAGCTACGGACACAAGTGGATGGACCCGGCTAATGGGATATGTCCTGATATCATATCACACACACACACACACGATCTGTCACAATCGTGACTGACACGCCTCTCATTTCAAACTATTGTCCTCCGTTTCGGGCGCGCTTTGGAGGACTTATAAAAAGCGCGGTGAGTTCAATCTTCCCTATCTTTCCTGTCACTAACATGTCTCTACCAGTTGCCGCCGATAATTTACGTGCCTCCTCTGCCTCAATCGAAGCCGCCGACCACGACGAGCGTCACGGAACAGCTGCGGAGTCTGACGTAGAAATCGACTCGGACGACGACGATCCCACCGCCAATCGTGCAGTGCGATTCAGAGATGGTCAAGGACAGCGCTCACAACCATGGCACCGAGCCCGTTGAGGAGTTTCTGGCCAAGCGTATGGGCCCCGGCGGGCCCACGAAAGAGTCTGCGGTGAAGCGGGCGACGACGAAAGCAGTCCAAGCCGGTGCGGCTGGACTGGAGAAAGCGAAGGAGCTTTACGCGTCTCCCAAGTTTGTCAGCGCCAGACAGGGGCAGAAAAAGGAACGTTCTGAGGCGTACATGGAGGAACGTCTTGAGGCGGACATGGAGGGTCCGATCGTGCGTGCTTGCATCTCTTTCGTGTGTTGTTTCGACAATGCTGATGTATTCTCCCGTCTCTCCTAGCGCGATTATCTGGCCGGTGTTGTGTCTTCGTTCTCCGAGTCAAAGAAACCCGAGGTTGCCGTCACTGCCAGAAAGACTTTCACTTCCGCCGACAAGAGTCACGTCACTCGACCCGACATCAGCCTGGGCAAGCCCGGTCTCAAAATCAATGAGCAAGAGTGGAAATGGTTGAACAAGCTGGCCACTGTGCAGCTCAAATTCCACGATCGGATTCACGAGGACGACGGGACGCTGGGGACGAGTGATAGTGCCCTGCATGCGCTCGTCCAGCTCGCCAAGGATGCACGGCATCTCATGATGTCCTCCGACCGGTGCTTCGTCTTCGTCGTCGCGATCTCATTCGACACGGCGACACTGTTCCGCTTCGACACCGAGGGGTTCTTTACAAGCAAGCCTTTCAATTGGCTCGAGAACCCGAGATATCTGCCCGAGTTCCTGTACCGGATCTACCACCCCAGCGCGGGCCATCCCCAAGCGACACTGGGCGAGGAGGATACGATCACGTTCACCGACAAGGCGACGAAGAGGCGGATCTGGGCGGCGCTGGAGACCGAGGGCGACCACGTCGCTGCATTCAAGGACGAGGAAACGGCGTTCGGGCGCAGCTTGTGTTTGACTGCCGCCGTCTTCGAAGAGGTGGATGGCGAACGGGTGCTGGTCCGGTCAAATGCCACACGATCGGCGAGCCGCTTTGGCACTCGCATGGGCTGTTCGGGCGAGCCACGAAGGTGTTCCGCGTCATGATCGACAAGGATCTCGAAGCATACGAGCAGAGCTTGGGTGGCGACGATCCGCTGCCGTGTCCGCAGCTCTACGCGCTGAAGGACTCCTGGAGGCAGGGCTGCCGTCGTCCCGAGGTCGATTATTACGATCTGATCGAGCTTTTCCGCAAGTCGGAGAAGGGCCAGGCTTTCATCAAGCAACACAAGCTCGACGAGTCTGCTATGGCGCGGTGCATTGGGAGCCTCGATCTCTCCGATACGGTCAAAGACTTTCGGTTCAAGGATGGAACGGGACCTGACTGGGACACTGCTCGACACAAGACCACGTCGGATGCTGGAGACGGGCTCCACCGTTATCATACCCGGACGCTCCTGACGCCGGTGGGGACCCGGCTGGACCGATTCACGAGCACGTGGGCTCTGGTCACGGCTGTTTACCATGCGGCATGCCGTGAGTCTCTTCGCCTCGCAACGAATACAATACTGACCTCTCGCGCAGATTTGTTCATTGCGTTCGAGGCCGGGGTGCTGCATCGAGACGTTAGCGAGGGGAACATCATGTTTGCGGAAATGATTGGTCTCAAGACGCCTCGAGGATTCCTTGTTGACTGGGACTACGCAGAGTTCACGGAAAAGGGGCTCGAGGCTTTCAAGAAGAACTTTGGATCGCGACTGCACAGTGATCAGTATGATTCTGTGGACAAGAGTTTGAAGCACTTCACGGTTCGGTCGACGCTTGTTCCTTATCCACTGTGGTCTGACTCGTTCCTCCAGGGCACCTGGCCGTTTCTTGCCATCGAAGTGATGGCACACAGCCTCGGAGGGCGTAAAAATTTCAAGCACGAGTCGCATCACGATCTCGAAAGTCTTTTCTGGCTTCTGTACTGGATGGGGGTTCGACACACCAAGCATCATCTGCCGGCTGGCGACAGGGCCTGCACGGAGCTATTTGATTCTCGGGCTCCTGAGACGAAGATGGGCACGATAGCAGGCACCGCGAAGTTCAGTCTGGACGAGAGAAATGGCTTCCATGCTATTGTCAATTTCATACGCACGGATGTACTCCAACAATATCCGCCCACCACTTCGGGAGCTGGACACAAGCACGTTTCGGTGATGCTCCCCCGGTTGATGGAACACGAAGTCACGCTTAACGACTTCCGAGTTGCTCTGGATCGATTGACCTACGACTGGTCTGTGAACGACGGCGCCCTGGTATACAATCCTTCCGCCCTGCATACGAATGAACCGAAGCAGAAACAGCCCAGTCTGTTTCAGGAAGTGGTCGTCGACAATGCTTCTCAGCACCAGTCTAAATTTGGGTCCAAGAAGAGCGGATCCTGGTCTCGACGGACGAAGTCGTCTTTGAAGCGGCGACGAGCTGAAGACGAGGATGATGGGTCCATCGGTCCTACAGACGCTGGGCCTTCTAGCTCGAAAAAGAGGAAATCGTCGGTGGAACCAGAGGAGCCGGTACCGTTTTGAAATCTACCGGCCAAGAAAACCAACTCCGCCTGGACGCGGGGCCGCTCATCAAAGCCAGCGAGTCAGTCGTCTACTAGAACGCGCCGGAGCGCTCGACCGAATGGTACAACCTCGAAGTAGTTTTTTTGAAATTCACGCTGTAATCCATATTTACATTTATCTTACATTCCAAGCACTGCTATGCACACTCTCCTTACACTTGATAGTACCTGCTTTCACACTGTGCTTGAACGCTGGTTGATGGTGGTGAGGCCAGTAAGGGCGGTCGGCCGATGCCGCGCTCTACTGAAACCCAACACGCTCAGTCACCATTTGCCGCTCGGCTCTTCCGACCATTCTTCAGTCGAGAAGATCCTTCACCCCGACATCACTGCCATCCGTCGCTCTGGCGCCTCGCACACAGCTTTGGAACACTTTGGCATGCTCTATGACGACGAAAAGGGAGGAAAGGATCGCATTACAGCATTACCCTACAAACCGAAAAGTCTAGCACTGATCATACCCAAAATTCCACGACTCTCGGCGGTCTCTTCCACAGACTTGTTCTCCTGCACTGCATCCTTCATGACCTTGTCCTCTCCTGCCGGTGCGCTCAAGCCAGCATCTTGGACGTTTGGAGCGTCAGCGACTCTCGTTTCGATAGGATGCTCTTCCGCTGATTCCTCCACAGGCTGCTCTGGCTCCTTCTCCGTGGTTGCTGGAGCTCTCTGGTTCATACCGTCGGTTTCTGTCTCGCTCGTCGCAAATTCAGACTCCGTGCTCCTCAATCTCTCGATGTCAGCCTGCAATCGACCCATTTCCTCCTGCAGCCTGTGACTTTCCATCTCAAGCTCCAGTCTCGTCTCATCGTCCTGTTGCCGGAACGCCTCTGTCGATGGATGAATGAGGAGAAAACCTCCTGCTTTTCGTCACGCACGCTTCATCTCCTTGCGCAATCCGCTCAACTCCACTCGGTGCTTGGCCAGCTGTTCGGTCAACTCTCGCTCGAGCTCCTGACCCACGGATGTCTCCACCAACTTCTTCTGCTCGTCCACCAACTCAATCTGGACCTTCAATGCATAAGGGATGTTCACTGCGAGCTCGTCCACGATCGCTCTCGCTGATTCGAGGTCGTTTATCGACTGGTGTCGCTGCATGGTTGCGCCGCCGTCCAACACCTGTTTGAAGAAGCACGCATCCTCTGCCAATTCGGTTTCACGCGACTCCGCTAGCTCCAACCCGACCTCATCCCACATCGTGGTGACCACGGAGATGTTCGGGAACGCATCTTCGCCACAGAGATGCTGGAGCAGCTGGAAGTTCCGTTCGGTTGTGCTGTCCATGCGGATGTCTGAAATACGATGTGTGTACAGGATGCCTGAGAGTCGACGTCCCTCCGCATATCTGAGAGAGTGAGTGTTTCGTGATCGGAATCCGGTGGATGTCCTGCTCACGCTTGTGCGAGGAACGATGAAATCATGAGCAGAACTTCCACATCGTTGCAATCTGGGTCGTAGAATCCCGGAGTGTCGATGAGCGATATAAGCCCGCCGTTAGCAGGGAACGGAGGTGTAACTTGGATGCCTGCTGTGCAGGATTGCAGTCCCGATCCGACCTCAAAATCGGAGCCGCTCAGGAGATTGATAAACTGCAGCTCCGTCGTCATTAGTGGAGGATCTCCTGAAACCCTAGGTTCTCACCGTTGTTTTCCCGGACGTTGGTGGACCTAATACCCTATGAAGCTCGGATGAGATTGGCTTGAATGAGAGGGTGAGGCAGCTAACAGTATCGAGAGGACCTCTACATTTCCCTGTGGAAAACTGATTCAGACATGCGAGGGAAGTTATTCAATATGCGTATGACCAGCCTCCGAGTTATCTGGATTGCTCCTCTCACTTAGAGAGGCAGCATCCGACTCTGAGATCGTTGTTGATTCGCTTGTAACACTTCTCGTCTCGTTGTCTGAGTCTTCTGAGTTGGCAAGGTGAGCGCGCGACATTACAGATTCCGTTCTTCGACCGATCTTACTCCCGTTACCTAGTATACTCTGCTGCCTCGTGCTGAGCACCTGGTGCGATTTAAAAAAAGCTTGGTGTCAGATCTGCGGCATGTCAATCTTCCAGTGTTCGGCTGTCATAATATATCTCCGCACATTTCTCGTTTCCGAACAATCGATTCATTTCACATTGCACGGTACATTGGCACCAGCCGATAACAAGGCTCGTTTAGATGGATATCAGATCACGCGTTATTGACGCGTTATTTGGTCCCATATTATCCTCCCTCTCCACGAGTTATCCAGCAGACCAAAACCATTCATTATCCTCATTCACGATGCCAAGCCCTCAACATTCATCCTGTCAGCGGACCTGACTCGACGCCATCTGGAAGCCTCACGACTTCGTTTGTCAGGTTGCCGTTCGGCCGTGCACTCTCATGCAGATTATGGCTCATCTCCTACCCGCGAGACCAAACTCTATTTCTGTCGCAACAAGTTCCCCGCTGTTGTCTCTCAAATTCCCTATCTCCTCCTAGCTCAGTGTCTTGCCAATGAGTGCCCCTTCGGTCTCGTTCAACTGGAGGGACTTTGCTGCCCGTCTGCAAGAGTTGTCTTTACCAGAGTATGCACTTTCGGTATCATTATTTTATGGTCGATGCTGATTTTTGACACGAAGAGATGCAATGCCGAAGGAACACATTGTTCGCACTTCTCCCTTGCTGCCCACGCGTTATCTGACCGTCCGTACTACGTCTAGACCCGAGAGTCAGCACAAGACCAAGTAACCATCGCGTGCGTTCGATCCGAGTAGCATACAGCTGTTTCGTACTGATCGGTTGGCTCAGAGTTATGGGCCCAACTTCGTCTGGCAAAACATCTGTGTGTCGGCTTGAATCCGGTGCTTGCCTGCACCAAGACCAATCTCTCGCTCTAGTTTATCAACCTCCTCAGCGATTCCAACTTTGCTGTCAACTCGAGTCCCTTGTCGTGCACCAAAAAAATTCAAGTCTCGCGCCCGTTCCCACTAGCAGGCAAGACAGTGACGCTCATCGACGTGCCGGGATTCTTGGATCCGGCTCTGAGCGATGCAGAAATCCTGAGGATGATAGCCACGTTTTTCTCTCATACGCAAGTCCAATCCCATGCACATAGCGGTTTCCATGCGTGATGCTCACTGCTGCTCAGTTACCTGCACGGAGGCAGACTGAACGGCATCGTCTACACGCATCGTATCTCAGATGTGCGCATCGACGGCATCGCTACACGCCATTTCCAGCTGTTTCAAGAATTGTGCGGCGCCAGTGCGTTTCCGAACGTCATGATTGCGACCACAATGTGGCACGAAGCAGGTCGCGCGGGGAACTGCGTTGCTCGCGAAACGCAGCTGCTCGAGGACCGACGACTTGGGTTCCGCTCTGTCCTCGAGCGCGGAGGACATATTCGCCGGCACGACGCCGGCATCGTTTCGGCTGTGGCCATCTTGAAGAGTCTGATGAACCTACCGCCTTTCGAGATGGAACTTCAGCACGAGTTGGTCGATCAGCATGTCGAGATCTCGGAGACGGGAATAGGGCTTGAATTGACCAAGGTTCTGACCGAACAACTGGTAAAGCGCAGGAAGGATCTTGCCGCGTTGCGGCAGGAGATGAAAGGTCTGGTGCCCGTCTATTGGCTGAGCATGTAGGATTGACAATGTTCTAGAAGCTTTCCGGGAGAACGATCACGAATCGAGGCGGGACCTTGAGATGGAAAGCCACTCCCTCCAAGCAGAGATGACACAGCTGCAAGCTGACGTGGACTTGCTCGGATCGAACTTCGTGCTTTCCAGACCTTTATCGACCCCAAAATCTGAGCCCAGTGTTGGTGCATCGGTCGAGCAGCCCAATCTTCGAGGTAAGCAGGGTGAATTCTAGATCGCGCTGTGATATCACTCATTCCCAATCAGACGGCTCGACACCTATTCCCGAGGCAATCACCGCAGCGGTCCCTCATCCGCATCCTGCACAGACCAATATACCACAAAAGAAGGAAAGAAAGAAGTCGGATGAGAAAGTGCGCAAGTATGGACATGATCACAAGAGAGGATTGAAGAAGCATTAATACGAGATGCTACTGCGTGTAGTATTATTTAGGGGATGATGACTTATCGGGAGACCATCGCTTCAGCCTTGGCGAGGTTATCGCTGGTCTTGCGGAGATCAGACTCGACGAATTGCGATAGCTCGCGGGCATCATTCTGAGCTCGGGTGTATTCCACCATGAGCTTGCTGCGTTCGCTCTCGAGTTCTTGACGGGTTTCTTCGTCTTTTTGTTGGATAGCATCTGCAAATAGTCAGACAACAGTAAACAGACACATTGTGAAGTAAAATACCTTTGATCTCTTTCTGGAGCGCAGTCATCTGAACCCGGTGTCGATACAGTTGCTCGGCCAACTCGCGATTGAGCTCTCTCCCGGCAGCCGTTTTGGCGACGGCCTTTCGCTCCAGCACCATTTCTCGCTGTATCTGAAGCAACACTGGCCGGTTGGACAGGAGCGAGCTGACAATTCGGAGAGACGACTCGAGGGAATCGTCGTGCCGGAATTGGCGTGCGCCAGCTTTAATGACCGGCCCGAAGAACTTGGCGTCGGCGAAAAGCTCCTTCTCACGACTCTGGCCGACCTCAGGCCTGACTTTGCTCCACATGTTGGTCATGACCGCCACATTCCGCAGCGCATCGGGCCCACAGAGCTGGATGAACATGCGCAAGTTGCGCAGAGCAGCGCCGGTCATGCGGATATCCGAGATGCGGTGGACATAGATGATCCCCGTGACCGACATCCCGTCCCTGTACAACCTGCAGAAAAAGTCGGCGATCATCTTGAGCACAGACGCATCGCTGCGCGTAGTGTCGTCGAATCCGGGGGTGTCGACGAGAGTGACCATCTGATTGTTGATCTGGATCGTGGGTGCCTCTTGGACTTTGCTTGTACAAGACTTGAGAGTGTTGCCGACCCCTAGCGATGCTTTCGAAATTAAATTGATGAATGTGGATTTGCCTGAGCCTGTGGCACCAAGCACACTGGTTGTCATCAACTGAGCGAACCGATCCGACTTGCAGAAAACTCACGCAATAAAAGCCGACTTATCCACTTTGGCCCGGTAGTGAGGATCTGAGATCATTTGCAGAAACTTGCCAGTGCGACCAGCGGATGGCAGTTGAGACTCCGTTCGCTTTGCGACCTGCGGGTACCGACTGTCCGCGACATAGTAACTATGCGCATACACAGTCTCGTTGACGACGACAGAATGTGCGTTTGCAGCGGTGGATGCATGAGTCCACTTGACACCGTTATCGTTCTGGAGCACTGGGAAATCGGCGGCAAAGGCGGACGACGTGATCGCCTTGGACGCCAAGCCCGAGGGTGTGACGGGCCTCTCAGGTAATCAGCCGAAGCTCCGTAGAGATTCCAGAGAGGACACTCACGACGAGGCATTCTCCTTTTCCTTGGGTTCTTCCACACTCTTTCCCGGGCGGTTTGAGCTCATCATCGGTTGTCTCAATGCAGCACTTCGTTCCAATGAAGAGGGGGATCCAACATTGTCTGGAGCCTGGACGCTGGGTTTGCTTTGACTGACTCGTGATGGCAAGGTCGGTGGATTGCTTTTGATTTCCCCGTTCGCTACAGCAACAGCCTTCTGAATCTGTTGATCCAGATGCAACGCGGCTGGCGGCGGCATTGTGGTAGACCGAGTCGGACGTCTGAGGGGGACAGCTGGCGTAGTCGCATTCGGAGTTGTCTTGGTCGTTCTTCGATGATGTATGAGCATGTGCAAGCCAAGGAGGAGAATCAGTCGCACCGCGGGATATTCTCTTCAATTCGACTGCGGTCGACGGCTCGTGGATTTTCTTCCGCTTGTGTGCGCTCTTCGGCTCGAGGCGTTACCGGGGTAGGGGGGAGTTCTTGATTGAGCCGAGCTTCTAGTCCTCCTTGCGCGTGGACTAGGTCGATCATGGCCACTGCCATCCTCAACTCTTCTTCCTGAGCTCGTTCAATCTCGAATTGGAGTTTGTCCTTCTCTATTTCGAGCTCTTGTCGAGTCTCTTCATCCTTTTTCGCAAGCGCATCTATATACTCAATCATCAGCAGAGGACTCTCCGACATTAGCAGAGGTGTAAACCCGCCTTGGATTTCTCGTTCGACCGCGGCTAAGTTTTTCCGGTGCTTGTTGATCTGCTCAGCAAGGGCGCGGCCCAGTTCTTCTCCAGCATCTGTCTCGGGTATGCCTTTCTTATCATCCACCATCTCCCTCTGAATCCGTAACGGCCGGGGTTCTCTCCTGCGGAGCAGATCTCGCACAATGTTCCTCGCTGACTCGGCAGTGTTCGAGTGTCGCAGGATCACCGCATCGCGCTCCACTGCAGGCTGAAAGAAGCGCCTCCCGTTCCGTAGCTCCCGTTCTCTAGCTTCGCCCACGTCTTTCGAGACCTCGCTCCACATATTGGTGACAATCGCGACGTTGCAAAGCGTCTCTTTACCGCAGAGCTTGCGGAACATGCGGAAAGTGCGCTGCGCAACACCGTTCATGCGGACGTCGGAAATTCGGTGCAGGTAGATGACGCCGGCCAACTTTCTGCCTGCGTTGTATCTGGAAAAAGAGGGTCAACAAGGGAGCAGTGCGTATACGAAGCTCGCGCCTGACCTGTCTGCGAGGTATTTGGCGATCAGGGTAAGGACGTCGGCATCGCTGCGGGCCGAGTCGTCGAAACCAGGAGTATCAATGAGGATGACCCGCCGTCCATCAATCTCGATCAGAGCCTCTTGGACCTCGACAGTACACGATCGAAGGCCTTTGCCTACGCTCATCTTGCGGTCGCTGTTTAGAAGCAAATTGACAAACTGAGAGATGAGGATGAGAACGCTGTAAGAAGCCGCTCTTGCTCACTGTGGTCTTTCCGCTTCCTGTAAGTCCGAGGATTCTGCCAGAGATCGTCAGTAACTCCATAACCTGAGTTGACTCGTAGTGACGAACGCGATTTCGGCAGTAGGTTCAGATGTAGTAGGCTATACATCCGGACAAATCAGAAACACGGTCCGAACAAACGAAATTTAATTTTGGCCACCTCCTGGTCGAACCCATCCACAATGTATCCAGCATCGTGCATAGACTTGGAAGGACTGCTCAGCTGCTGGCCTGTGGCACCGCTCTGGTCACTCATAATCGAAGATGTCTTCTTCTTCTTGATGAAGGGAATCGAAAAAAGTGGAGCCATAGACACGTCGGAGGGAGGGTCGGCGGGGAAGTTGTCTTGAGGCGGGGGGGATGGCAGAGGACGTGAGTGTGGGATTTGGGTCATGGATACCGATGCGAGGAGGTGACATTTCACGGCACAAGCCGAATGTTACATATAGAGAGTTGCCTCATGGAGGCTGCACGAGAACACAGAGTGCCAAACCCCAGATTCTGTAGCATGGTCAAGATTCCTGAAGACAAGTGGTGGCGTTTCCCGGCTACTAAAAGACACCCTGATCTAATGATCGGATCTCGGTCGCACTACTAACTGCCTCACAGTGACGGCATGCACTTTCGTTCATCTGCGATTCTGCAGACGCAACACCTGCTGCTAAGCATTCTAGCTGTCATGAGACGCCAATTAATCTTCGACAAGAAGCAACCACTTGTGTTGGAGCTCCGCGATGACTCGATTGCATTTTTAGTTCGAGCTTGAACCGATTGCTGGTTTCCTCGTTGAGCGCACGAGGTGGTGAGATCTTGACTCACAGAGGATATATGTTTGGAAGGGTGAATCGATACTGCATCAAAGCTGCACTCTGTACTCGATGAGGACCACTTCACTTGAATACGACCCACCACGCTATGAGGAGCACGGGCCGACCAGTTACGCGGAAGGTGTGTGCATAAAGAGCCGTAATATCGATGCTGAAACTGTGTTCCTAGCTGTTAGCGGGTACTTCTCACCCAAAATTCCCGATGACGACGATATCGCCATCGCGTGGGTCCCACTTCTCTCGCATTCGAGTCTACGTTCTCATTCGATGTTTCCCAGTGTCATGGGCCAGACGGGCTCTGGAAAGACAACTGTTCGTGCTGAAGCAACCCTGGTTCTTCCCGACTCAACGCGATGCCCTGTAGTTCATCAATCTCGTGAGCGGCTCAAATCTCAGCGTCGGAAACGGCCTGCGCTCGGACGGCGATGCAGTGCAATCTTCGGATCCCTTTCTCCTCGAGGGTCACATGGTCACGCTCATCGACACGCCTGGGTTTGACAACTCGACACTAAGCGAGGCGGATGTTTTGAATAAAATCGCAGCATATCTATCCACTGAGTGCGTGACTGTCTCTCCCGTGGCCTGATTTAAACTAACTACTGACAGATACGAGGATGGGAAAACACTCGCTGGCGTTATCTACATCCACCGGATTTCGGACGTGAGGATGAGTGGCATTTCGACGCGGAACTTTCGGACATTCCGACAGCTCTGCGGCGACAGCACGCTCAAGAACCTGGTGGTAATGACTAATATGTGGAGCAAAGTCAGAGGCGACATTGGCGCCGCTCGTGAGAAGGAGCTCTCGAGCGATAGTCGATTCTTCAAGCCAGTAATGGATAAAGGTGCTCAGATGGTTCGACACGATAATACGATCTCTTCGGCTAGAAAGATCTTGCTGCAGCTCATCGGAAATCGGCCAGTTCCACTTCAAATCCAAGCCGAGTTGGTCGACGAGAAGAAGGACATTCCGCAGACTGCGGCGGGGGAAGAGTTGAAGCGCCAGCTCCATGAAAAGATTCGCGGGACCCAGAACGATTTGTCGAAACTTGCTCTGGAAATGAACGGTATGCTATGCGGTCTACATTGTGATCATCTTCTTCTCATGCTGGGTTTTAGAATTCCAAGACGACCCGGAAGCCATTGAGAGCGTGCAGCGGGATCAAGCTCAAGCAAAGCGTGAAATTCAACGGACCCGCAGCGAAATGCAGAATATGTCGGCAAACTACAGACTCAGCAAAGCAGATTTGAGGCGCCGCAAATCGGCCAGAGTTCCCGCTCCAATCAACGAATCTTCCGATTCTGAACAGGAGATAGCGGTCGCGTCAGTTGTTCTCTGACGTTCCCAACTAAGAACTTACCATCGTTCAGTGTCATGGGAGCCACCGGTGCTGGCAAGAGCACATTCATCAACCTCGTCAGCGGCTCTCATCTGCAAGTGGGAGATTCGCTGGAATCGTGCACTGGGGCTGTGATGTCGGCACCGTTGTTCCAGCTTGACGGGCACTGGGTCTCTCTTATCGACACACCGGGCTTTGATGACACTAATTTGAGTGACACCGAGGTATTGACGAAGATCGCCAGTTTCTTGTCTGCAACGTCAGTCAATCTTGTTTTCGTACTGCAGTGTCTGACGCGTTCACAGATACGCTGCCGGAGTGAAGCTCGCCGGAGTGATCTATATGCACCGGATTTCTGACGTCAGAATGGGCGGCATCTCGACACGTAACTTCCGCATGTTCCGCCAGCTGTGCGGCGACCAGACGCTGAAGAACGTCGTGATCGTGACCAACATGTGGGATGCTGCGGGTCTCAAGCTCGGGGAAGCACGTGAAAAGGAGCTAGCCACTGACGATCGTTTCTTCAAACCTGTCATCGCCAAGGGTGCTAGGATGCTTCGCCACGACAAAGGCCTGATCTCGGCCCAGAGTATCTTACGTGAGATCATCGGCAACGTGCCGGCTACCTTGCAGATCCAGCGTGAGCTCGTCGACGAGAAGAAGGCGATCACGGACACCGCGGCTGGTGTAACACTCAACAAAGAGATTGCCGACATGGTCAGGAAACACAAAGACGAAATCCGTACACTGCAGCGCGAAATGAGAGGTGCTCTTCGGTCTCCATTGTTAGTCAACATGCACTAACCTCAGTCGCAGATGCCATCCGCCAACGAGATGAGGAAGCTCGGAGAGAGCTGGAGGCTGAAACTGGCAAGCTTCGTTCGGAGATTGGCCGCTTGGAGGAAGACTCGCAGCGGCTAGCAGCTGACTACAACGCAAGGAAGGCCGAGATGGATCGCCGACTGTGTCAGGTGGAGGACAGAGCGAACAGCCGAGTTGCCATGGCCGAGAGTAAGCTCGAGTATGGGATGGACATCTTCCAGCGCAGGAATGGAGATTTGGAACGTAGACTGGCAGAACACGAAGCCAAGCACCAGAAGAAGAGTCGAAAGGTCCTGAATGCGCTGAGCCGCACGGTCGATGGCCTATTCGCTCCTAGTCGTTGATGTGATTACAAGTTCTTTAGCGTTAGCATCGTCAATAGCATGAGAAATCCAGATGGCTCTGCAAGATCTTGCTAAGTGCTAGCGTAGGCTCGCTTACACCCTCTATAAAAGTTTCAACCAAGGTACTATCCAATCCTCTCCACAAACATCAAACAACAACTTACACACGCCCCCACTTTTGGCATTGCCTACATGGCGAGCGCGTACGGCGCGACGTCTCCCACATCCAAGCGCACAAACAGCGGCATCAGCACGAACAATGGCTCTCCGAGCAACGCGCGCACAAAACTCCTCCTGCTTGGTCAAAGACGAAGTGGCAAAACGTCCATCAAGGAAGTGTTGTTCAATGGGTTAGGCCCCAAACAGACATTCTACCTCGAGTCAACGATGCGGATCGTCAAGCACCCGTACGAGTGCGTCTGGTAGAGTCCTGCTGTCTCCAGTGCGAATTGAGACGTTGAATCAGCACTGTGATTCCGCTGGAGATCTGGGATTGCCCTGGGAATGCGACGGTGGAGAGTCTGGGCGCACCTTTGTCGCAGTTCAGCGCACTGGTGTTCGTCATTGATATCCGAGTGCGCATGGACTCGAGTCGTCGTGACCTGCCATCTGACGGCGCCCTCAGGATTTGTACAAGCAACCGATCAGCAAGTTGGTCGAGTTCATCGTCGCCGCGTCGCATGACAATCCTCAATTATTGATCGAAATCTTTGTCCACAAGGCGGAGCGATTGCAGGACGACGACAAAATTGGTATGCCTCTGTCTCGATCTGGCCCAGGCACCCACTCAACGCGCAACTCAGAAAGCTTCCGACAAATCCAGGAACGCGTGCAAGATAATCTCATGGAGCGCGATTGTGAACAAGTTCTCTACAATTTCTACCTGACCTCCATCTACGATCATTCGTTGAACGAGGCCTTCTCCAAGGTTCTGCACAAGCTGATATATCCGACGCAGCTGGAAGTACTCGAACGTCTCCTCAACTCGTACTGTGCGGTGAGTCCCCTGTTTAGGAAGCCAACTTTCTCGTTCTCATCGGTATTCAAGAACTGCTCGCTACCAAAAGCTTTCCTCTTCGATGTCGCGTCACGGTTGTATGTCGCCACGGACGCTTCGCCAGTTGACACAGCAACACACAACCTGTGCTGCGATTACATACAGATGCTTTCCTCCTTCCGTCCACTCTACCGGTTTGTGCATCGCAAGTGAGTGGTCGAGTTCATGCTGAGACTCTTCGCAGCACACCGTCTTCTACGGCCGAACGAACACAGACAGGAACCGCGGATCCGGAATCATCAGCAGATGCGCCACCTCGCTTTTATCCTAGTGCCGCTGTGTCGCTGTCATCCTCGAGCCCTGGCACAACACTGACGTACCATCTCATGACACCGCATCTGGCTTTGCTCTCTTTGGTCCCCACTGGTGTCTACGAGGGCCGTCGCGGTCTGTTCGAGTACAACGTCGTGTTTGTCAGGGAGGGTGTCCAGGAAATCTGCGAGGCTTGACGCGGAAGACCGGATAGATAGACTATCGAACGCATCCTCCGCGATGTTAACTTATAGTATAACGTGTATCCTATTCACGAGTAATGACTGCGGCTACTTCTAGCTCTTCCAATGCAGTTGCCCCCAACGTTAGACATTGGACAATCCGGTCAAGAATTGAAGTGTCCACATTTAGCTTGAGCCGGGAAAATAGCATCAAGCGCATCACTAGCTACATCAGAATGATATAATGGCGGGACACCTCCATCAGGCTTCTCTCTCACAGCCACCACGAACGTTCGTTTCAAAGCCAATCCCCGCAAAGTTCATTTGGGAAGTGGGGCGCGAAAGTTTTGGCGGAGCGTGGATCGGCATTACGCATTCTTGGAGACTGTCTTTTCCTCTGCCCTACTCTCTCTTCGGACCCACTGTAAACAAGCGAGATGAAATTCGGTCGCAAAATCTCGGTGTGTGCTATATAAGCTTATTCGGAGACGCTGTCTCCCTAATGATTGACCGTCTTGGCTAGACTGATCTGTACAATGAGTGGAGACCATTCTATCTGGACTATAATCATTTGAAGCGCCAGCTCAAGGTCTGTCCAAGTATAACCTCCTAATTTCCGTACTTACTCGATGCCACTTTCTACCTAGGCCAGGACGACAGGACGGCGGTGGAACGCCAATGACGAGAAAGTTTTCACGAGCCAGCTCGAGAAGGAGCTGGACAAGATCCACGATTTTCAAAAAGCGAAGGTGCGCTCGGGCTCAGTGCGGGTTTGACCATCGTCCGCTCAACGCCGGTGCCCTCCCAGACCTCGGAGCTGTCTCAGCGGATCCGAGACGCGGAGCGTGACGTCAAACGTCTGGTGACCGAAGAAGCGGAAGACACGCCTGAGTCCCGGCTCCGGCGCCGTGCCCAGCGGCCGCTGTCGGAGTCGAACGCCGACGAGGAGGAACAGCTACAGGACGATTACGCGCTCGACGCTGGGTCGGACGATGACAGTGATGACGACGATGAGGACGCGGAGAGCTTCGATGCGTTGGAGGAGCGGTTCCACGCGCTCGAGGAGGAGGTCGCCAACTTGGTCGCGGATGTTCACGATCTGGCATTGTACACCAAGCTCAATATCACCGGTTTCATGAAGATTCTTAAGGTGCGTCCTCAGCGTTTGCCGTTCACCGCCGTTCCAACGCTCTTGCTGTCCAGAAACATGATGTGAGTCCGCTACGCCGCGGAGATCAAGTCGAAGCTGACAAGGAGTCAGAAAGTAACGAATATGCCGCTCAAGCCGACCTTCGTGCAGGACTATCTCGAGAAACGGCCGTTCTACAAGTACAATTGGGACGCGCTGATCGTCAAGCTGTCCAAGTTGTACGACCTGGTCCGCACTAGAGGTCATCCTGTGCAGGGCGACTCAAGCGCCGGCGGTAACCAGAGTGCTTTTGTGCGCCAAACCACCAAATACTGGGTTCATCCGGACAATCTCGTCCCGCTGAAGCTGGCCATTTTGCGTCATCTGCCTGTGTTGGGTCAGTGACGTTTGACTGGTTGGGCTTCCTCGCAGGCTTACCGCCCTCCAGTCTTCAATGCCGAGAAAGAATTCGAGGTCAAGGACGCTGCTATCACATCAATCTACTTTGACAACGAGGATCTGGAACTGTATCTCGGCCGTCTGGAGAAAACTGAGGGCGCAGAGGCTATCCGGTTGAGGTGGTATGGCGATATGGACACCAAGACGGTGAGTTTCAGACGTCCATTGTGGGCATATATCTGACACCGCTGTCTCAGATCTTTGTCGAACGCAAAACTCACAGGGAGGATTGGACGGGTGAGAAATCCGTCAAAGCGCGTTTTCCGATCAAGGAGCACCTTGTCAACGCTTTCCTCCGCGGTGAATACACAGTCGATGCCGAGTTCCAGGAGCTCGTGAAAAAGGGCAAGAAGACGCAGCAGGAGGTCGACTCGATGATTCAACTGGCCAACGAGGTCCAATATGCTGTGCTTACTCGGAAGCTGCAACCAGGTCCGTGTCGCGTTGTTCGGTTCTGGTCCGCTGATTAACCTACGCAGTGATGCGATCGTTCTACAATCGGACGGCGTTCCAGTTGCCAGGCGATGCCCGCGTGCGGATCTCTCTGGACACGGAGCTGACGATGGTGCGAGAGGACAACTGGGACGGTCGGACGCGTGCTGGAGACAACTGGCGACGAACGGACATCGGCATCGACTATCCCTTCGAGCAGCTGCAAGCAGACGACAAGGAGCTTTTCAAGTATGATTTCTCGTTATCAAAGCGATGCCAGTGCTGAATAGTCTCTAGGTACGGTGTTCTTGAAGTCAAGCTGCAAACGCAATTTGGCCAAGAACCGCCAGAATGGGTTATGGAGCTGGTGCAGTCTCATCTCGTCGAGGCTGTCCCTAAGTTCAGGTGCGTAACGGTTATGATCAGGAGCAGGAGAAGGTTACTGATAGATAACAGCAAATTTATCCACGGCTGTGCCACACTGCTACCCAATCGAGTGGATCTGGTGCCGTTTTGGCTTCCGCAGAGTACGCTGGAGACATGCTGTTCATCGCGAGCTTATGTGCTGAAGTGAAACGCAGTGGACACCGACATCCTCAAGCCGGATATGGGATATCTTGCTGTGATCGAGCGGCCTGCACAGCCGTCCACGTTATCTTCGACGAGGCAGGGATCAGATCACGAGGCGAGCGGGAGCCAGTCACCTATCGACGACGATGAAGGGAAAAAGAAGAATGCCTACAACGAGCCCGAGTCCGAGGGCGAGGAAGACGAGGAACGCGATCTAGCACCAGCGCGGGACGAGCACAAGGTCACTGGCTTGAGCGACAAGGAAGTGCAAGAGGCGGTCGCGTATCGCGAGCACATGCTCAAGGCGAAGGCTGAGCCGAACGGACGCGGACGCGCGACCGCGAAGGACGACGGCGTTTCTGGATCGCCGACGAAAGCGATCTCGATTCCGCCGAAGCCGAGGGCACTCTCGATTGATCCGTTGGCGCCGTCGTTGGCGTTCGATACGACGTTGCGGGATCGGCTGGAGGGCGAGCGGAAAGCGGCGAGCATGCGGGGGAACCCGGATGAGGAGGGTGACGATGATAATGAGGAACACGCGGACCGCGCTGAGGACGAGGACGAGGAAGACGATCCGTTGATACCCACCAGGTTTGACGAGAGGCAGCTCTCGAGAGACGTTCGTGCACCTCCGGGAAAACGGATTTCAGTTCCGGTCCGGATCGAGCCCAAGGTGTATTTTGCCGCTGAGCGGACATTCCTGGTTTGTGTGTATCTTTATCAGTTGTTTCTGGCATTGATTTTTACGACACAGAAATGGCTTAACAACGCTGTCTTCATTGGCACGATCGCCACGACGCTGCTCAACTTCACCTCGCCATACGACTCTCGGGGACTGATTAGCGCCGCGTTGTTCACCTTCGTGGCCCTGCTCGCGATCGCGTATTCTGCGGCGATATTCGTGTTCCGCGCGTACAGGCTGCGTGCGAGACGCGCGTCGGGGATGTACTACGACAAGTACGGCCCCACTCTGCTCTGTGCGGCGCTGTTTCTCGCGATGGCGACGAACATTGGGCTGCGAGTTGCGGAGATGATGTGATGGATTTATTCGTTTAGACTTTCTTGGCACAGCCAGCAGGGACAATCGTTCATTCATTCATTGTGTAATGTGCATTCGGAATGTTCCGTTCGGATGATCATGATCCAGGTTCCACGCGTGGGTAGGGCCAATGCTGAGCAGCGAGCACTGAGCAGCGACATGAAGGCATGCAGAAGTGTGGAATAATCGTCCGTGACAGCCGCAGTGCGAATCCACCGTGTGTTCATATTATAAATGTTCGTGCACATCGGTCGCGAAGCGGTCGGCAAAGTCTTCATGATCGTGCACAAGGGGTTTGACAGAGAGCAAGACAGATGGCCGTTCGTCGGCGATCTTCGATGGACAGCTTGGCTACGTGCCTCGGCGGCAAATACACCCCGACACTTGAGGCACGCGGACTGTGTGAAGAAATCACAGAAGAAGATGGATTCGTTGGATTGGATTGCAGATCTTCCCGGTCGCCAGGCACTCGGCAAAGATCAATCCGCGAAGAAGCCCCCACCACAAAGGATCCGAATCCGGCATGGGGGTCCGGGGACCTGTCAAGTGACCGGGCTCCCCCGCTGATAGCGGAGCAGCCTGCAACCTGGAAGCAGCGAGCACATCGCGGAAGAACCGACCAGCCAGGAACGAGAATCAGGTGAAACACGGCAACGTATTGACCATCACGCTTGTGGCGTGCACATAGGCCCTCGGACACTTGGGGGTAGCAAGGTCCAAAATAGAGTAAATTTGAGCGCAAAATTTGTTTTTTCCCCTCCATAATATAGCGTAAAAGTCGGCCAAAATGTCCGTTCATGGTCTGAAAATAGCGTAAGAGTTGGAAAGAACCGACTGGTATGGGGGCAATTTTGACGGTCATCTTAGCTCATCTAGACTCATCTTGGGCCATCAAGAAAAGCAAAGGAGCCTGAGGCTTCCGAAGAGGACGACACGGAGCCAGATGAACCCATGAGTGGGACGAAGAAGCGTAAGGTATCAGTGTCCTCACGGTCTCGAAAACGCGCCGCCGCGAAGCCTAGTGAGCGTTCTAAGACATCTCGAGGTCGGGGGAAAGTGTCCAAGCCATAGCCATAGCCACCAGTAGCATAGGAAAAAAATTGGATTTACGCTCAGAAAATAGAGTAAAAGTCACCCAAAATCGAAAAAATTATAGCGTAAAAGTGGCTTGGCGGACGGAGCTAGCTTACCGCAAGTGTCCGAGGGCCTGTGCACATCACCTGCAGGCTGGAGAGAACTCGAGAAGAGGCAGATAGAGGCAGATGCAGCCGGGGTAGATCACTGGTAGATCAGGCCAGACTCGAGTTTGAGACTTGATTGCTGGAACGGTTGCAGAACGGCAGGCAGGAGGCTCCTAATACGGCACAACAACTGCGCAGGGGTGATGCGATCTGGAGTAGGACAGGGCGTAGATTGCGCAACTCGGTCTGGGGAAGGGGATTGTGGGCTGTCCAGACTGACACTGGGACTTTATATGCGACCAGGTCTGCGGGCCGCCCGTCAGAGATAGAGAATACATATAGCTATCAGATGCTTCTGCTGCGCGGGCGCGCCCATTATGACTCGTCCTGAGGCGCCTTGAGTAAGAAAGAAGGAGAGAGCGGCGCCGGCGCTGATCCTCAGCCGCCCAGAGATGGATGGCCTTCTCCCGGGAATCCCTCCAGAGGTGCGAAGCAAGCAAAGCCAGAACAGTACGAGCAGCGCGATTGCTGCTGCTAGCAGGCCAGAGCTCCTGCGCGCTCTCGGACGCGACCTCCCGTACTTTCTACGTACAGACGGGATCAGACCCGCCCTGCTTGAGCCTTGAGTTACGCGCGCGCGTGATTCAGGTGATAGCCGGGAGATGCCGAGTCCCAGCATGCTTGCTGATCAGCGCCGGTGGTTGTTGCACCGGACGCGCGCTGAGCGCAGTATATAAGCATATCATGCAATGGACCAGGCAGGCTATGCATCGACTTCACCTTTCCTTACTACGGACTGAGCGCCTCTGGATTGAACGTTAAGTGTTTCCTCCGGCTACTAGATGTACATTTAGGAATTACTGTTAGATATGGATGAATGGTATACTTAAATAGTAAGGTATGTATCCCCCTCCTCCGCGTCATCCCCAGATCATTGCGTCTCACAGCAGCAGCAGATTCAGCCCACGCTCCCGCATCGTCTCCCGCCAGTCGACCGCCATTCCGCTGACGTCCCGTTTCTGCCAGACGGCCTCCATGAGGAGCCGCGTGCGCATCAAGTTGCCGAGGCTCTCGTCCAGCGACTGGAGCCGGCCCTTGAGGAACTCGCGCCAGGTCGAGTCGTCCGTCATGCACCCGGCGAGACAAATGGGGAAGACCAGCGCGCGGTCGATCTCGGACGACGGCAGCTGTCGCAGCAGCCCAATGATCGTCCCCACTGACGTGCTGATCTCAGGCACCCCCGGATTCGAATCACTCAGCACCGTGTGCAGGTACAGCAGGACCGTCTCCGAGAAAATCTCGGACACGAGCTTGCGCTGGGGGAGCGGCGGGAACATCGACGTTTCCACGACGGCTTCGGACTCGGCTTGCACGAGCGTCGGGTGCAGCGGTGTCCCATCGAACTCGATCGTTTTCGCGTTCACGGCGTTCTTCCGCAGGCGCTGCTCGATTTCGTCCCCCCGCCGAATGAGATCCCGGTTGCTCAGCGTCCCTCTCCGCTTCTCGGCAGCCTTCCAGTGCGACAGGGCCGACACCTCCGCGATCCCCAGCAGCACGTATTCCGGGCAGCCGGTGAGAGCCTCCATGTGGATTTGCTCGCTTTCCAGAGTCCACATGGCCGTATCGCCGAAGAGTTGTTGATACAAGGCGAGGTATTTTGGGGGGCGCATCACCGTGAGGCTGGAGAAAACATCGAGCCACTGTATTCAGGTCAGACGGGAGCACGGACAACGATATCCAGTGCGACGAACCAGGGTGAGCTTCACGATCAACTGGCCGGCCGTGCTTAAAGCCTGAAGCCCTAGCCTGGGGTTGTCGTTCGTGAGCAGATCCGTTTGCTGTGCAAGCCAGTCGCAAGCGACGGCAAACACAGGCTGCCAGTCTGTAGCACCGCCAGAAAGCTGCGAAAACCAGACAAGATGCAGTGCAGCGATGGCGTCGCTCTCTCCGTACGCGCCTTGCGTCTGTTTCGCGGTGTGCAATTGAAAGTACGCCTCGTCGTGGAAGTACTTGGCGGTGGAATGCTCTGGATTAGGATCGGGGGCCTCCAGCCCGTGGGAGACACGCATCCGGGTATAATGGAGACTCGCTAATGCACACACGGCGTTGGTCACGGCACCACGCGGCTCCTCGACTATCATCTGTGGAGAGACGGTGAGAACTGTGTGGGCCACGTCCCATTTCAAAACATCGCGTACCGAGCATGTCACGTTCGTCACGGCGTTCCCGGCGAAGATGAATTGCATCTTGCGCACATGCTCGAAGTAGTATATGCAGTGGTTCTCCTGGAGCGAGGAGTGGCCAGAAAACAACGACATTCCGTGCGGCGAGGGCGGCTGGACATTGATGTCGAACTCATCCCCGGTGGTTCTCAGTTGGCCAAACGTAAAGTCGAGCGCAGGGCTTTGAGAAGGGTCGTAGCCGTTGCCAAAGATCCCCGAATTGAAATCGACCGATGCAGTCCCAAGTAATGGATCGCTGAATGACATGCCGGGGGGATGATAGAATGCTGAGTAGTTCGTGGCTGATGCGAGTCGCGTTTAGTCAGTTCAATGGCCGGTATGACTAAATGCGACGCGGACTCACCTGCGCCAGTCATCCCTGCATACATCCCGGCCTGGCGAGCCATGAACTGTTGCTGGAATGCCAAGTCTGTTCCAGCCATCGGGTCGAAGTGCGAAGGGGGCAGGCCATCCACTGCATCGACAGACCGACGATGTATGGACTGTGGCCGCTGCGTGCCACGCGTAGAGATAGATATACGAGGCTGCCCACGGATGAGCCCGGCTCGTGTCAGCTGTGCCTTGATGTCGGCTTTGTAAGCTTCGACAGCTTCTTTATCCTGTAGAACGGTGTTGAACACACAACGCGCAGCTAAACCCGTTCGAACACATACCCGCATCCAATCTGGTCGCTTCTGGCCCCAACCAAGACAATCGATACCGAGTCGGATGCACGTCTGGCACGAGTCGCCCTCTCGAATCTCATCGCACTTCTACAATCGTTGTCAGACCCGAGATGCGGCCTGAATCAGTGAGATGACACACCTTCCTCCTCAATCGGCATGTCCTGGAGTAGATCATAAAGCCGTGAGTCGACGCGTCGGGAACGACGGGGCCACGAGACTCACCAGCATCCACCCTTGCTGAGACTAGCTGCTCGCGACAGATCGACTGGGTAGCGTTGTGGTGATGCACGGGCACTCGAAGATTCGATTGAAGAGTCTGGGGTAAAGGCTAGGGGTACGTTGACCGATGCGGGGGACACGTTGGAGGACGCGACAGATGATGATGTGGGTGACTGGCTCCCGGAGGAGGAGGGCGGGGAGCTTCTGTATGCCATACGTCCGGGCATGGTGTGCGGACAGAGTTACCGGGAGAGAGAGCGAGATCAAGAGTCGATGCCCAATGCATGCACCACTATAAAGATATTTTGCGCGGAAAGATCTCACGAAACGATCTCTCGGATCCCTAATCCGTCGATGACTGCATTGCCGAGACAGGGTTTTCCAGATGGAAGGGGTTAGCCGTTTGGTCCTGGGAAAAAGCGTGCCATATGACTAGCATTGATTCAATGATCTGGTAGCGAAGGAGACTAAGGAGTAAGGCGTGCCAGGTTCCATGGCTCACGGTGGGGGGGAGCACAGCATGGGAGAAAACACAATTAGTGTGTGTTTGTTACGATCGTGATGCTCGTCAACGCACGGGTCTTGATTTGCTCCGTGTCGTGTGGGCTCAAGCGGGCTTGAAGCACGCCTGTATCTATGCACCGACGTCAGCCAGACTTCACTCGCGGTGGCCTGGATCTCTCCCAACAGGATTGTCGCGTTGATCGCTGGTCAGCGGACGGCAACCCCACGGCAACTCACGCGGTTCTGCTCCTCTTCTCCAGGAGCCTGCGGCAATGCAAAAGCTCGGACCTGCAGAGGATGAATATGATTGCAAATGCCCTATTTTTGGACCTCGTTTGCCGCGAATTTTGCAAATGCCGCCAAGCTATGCTTTCGATCTGATTGAGACATCAGTTGTGCTATGCTCAGTGTGAGGCTGTGTTCTGTTCCAGAACGTTGCCAATGAGCTTTCTGGTACACTTTCTGACCCAATGCTGGGATCCTATGCAGTCTAATGGAAAGCAGATTCACAGCATCCGGACTCGTAGACTGTCTACGAGTTCGATCATCCTGTGCTGGTGGATTGCGATCGAGGCATAGCGCACCACGACTGAGCGCTGGCGGTGATCAAGCCGAAAAGAAAAGGAGTCGGGAAGCAGGACCGTCCCCCCGGATTCATATGGTGCTTTCGTCATCACGCTGCAAAGGCTTAGAGAGACGACGACACGTTGGTCATCATTAGAGGAGTACCGCAAATCATGACTGTACATCCATTCGGCTTATCTTATCGATCGGGACGACCGACGGCCAACTTGTTCTCGACCCACGGAACGAGAAATGGTAGCGCCCGCGCTTGACAGCACTCCAGGTGTTGCACGAGGTCCAAATCGACGCAGCGGCCCCTGGCAGTATCACTCGCGCTTGGCAGCATTCTAGGCGGTGAAGTACAGGGAGAGAATCTCCAGTTCATCGATGATCGCATAGGTAATTATCGAAGTAGTAATACAGAGATGTGCATAGGTAGACCATATTCAAAACATGAGAGGGAGCAATGTGGGGGCAAGAACATGAGGAGGATGAGAAGGAAAATCAAACAAGCAGAAGATTGAAAGACTTGAGGCACTGCCGCCACTGCACCGGACCACGACTTGTTCCTCGCTTGTTCCGGATCACCTGCAGCAGGCGTCGAATGGAGGGACTATTTCCAACGTTTGCATTGTTTGGATTTTCGCCGGGCAGTGACAACGCATCTTCCACCTCCCGTTGTATGTTTGGATCATCGCTCAACGCCCCGCAAATGAAAAACGCAAACACTGTGCTTCGGATGACACTGCTTGGCTGAGTCGCGGAGTTGGGCGTCCGGTGGTAGAGTTGACGTGCTGTCGACATCGTCTCCTGGATCGCTGCTTGGATGCTGCGCACTCCAGGAAAGTCGCCCGACACGACAGAGCGCAGGTACACTCTTGTTGCCCCGAGGAAGAGCTGAGCACCGAGAGCATGGGTCTCCGAGTTCTGCAATGTGAGAGAGACGCTCGCGTTGAGGTACTGCTCGATCAGCGTTGCCTTGTCCACGAGTTCTTTTGCATCCAATGAGCCCTGCTCGATCTGTTGCGTCTTCCACTCGTAGAGATTGATCGCTTCGGCCAGGGCCAGGACAGTCAAGTCCTCTGCGCCCATCGTTGTAAGCATCGACAGTCGGTCGCACGAGTCGTGATCTGGCAGCAAGTCCATGCTTTGTACCCGGCTGCGCGTGGGAGAATAGAGTTCTCGGATATACTTCAAGAAGCGCGGCGACTCGCCGGTGGTAACTGAGCCCAGCACATCGAACCATATCCCGTTCTTGACAATGAAGAGACCCGGATCGCCGGCTCCAAGGAGAGCTGTGCGCGCGTCGAAGTCACTGCGAAACACGTTGGCCTTGGCATAGCTATACACTAAGTCCAACCATTCGCCCCAATCGTCTTGGCCGCCGTCAAACAGTACAGAAGAAATGACACTGATGGTGGCGAGCGCGCGGTCTTTGTTAGCGACGAGAGCCGATTGTCGATCGACACTGCTGGATAATAGGGATTTTCGTAGCTTCAGATACTGGCCTCGAATGTCCCCGCTTTTCAACGCACGATCCCCTGGGATATGTCGCGTCGCCCGTTGCTTGTGTATCGCAGCCAACAGCAAAGCAGCTTTCCGCGCAAACCCTTCAACCTGAACAGCAGGCCCAAGGATTGCTTGGATGTAATGCCGGTCTGCGAAGACGTATTGCAATCCCATCACATGGCGCAGATAGTATGTCAGGGGATCATGGCCAAAGTCGGACAGTGGCGGAGCGGGGGACGCATTGAAGGGATACTGAGACCATCGCCCGTTGTAGTGGAACGAGTCTGATGGGGTGGGAGGAATCGGAAATGGGCAAGGTAGACTATGCCTCTGGAGCTCGCCAGAGGACAATGTCAAGGATTCTGAGAAAAATTCAATACGATATCATTGCCAGCCCAAGTACAAACTCTTACGATTTTCTATGCTAAAAGAATTACAATATATTTCGTTTTGCGAGGAATCTTGAGATGGGCGCCCGGGGAAAAAGACTAGGGGCGAGGTTTCTAATGGATTCAGTGATCTCATAGGACGAACAAACAATGGTGCACACCGTAGGGATCGGTCCACTGCTGGCCATAATCCTCGTCGCGCTCATCGAGAGCGGTATCGTGATGAGGAGGCGAGAAGTGGAGCATGGGAGGGAGAGACGACTCTAAGGTAGATGGACTCTCGCTAGATGATGGGGTGGTGTCGTCGTCGAGACGAAGAAAGAGAGCATCATCGACAGCGACCCGACGACCGCAGGCAGAGTGACCTTTGATCAGGCCTTGTGTTGCTAGGAAAGCTTTGATTTTGTCGCATGTCCGCTTCACATTTCGTCGATCCTGCGCCGCCGACAGTCAGCCGACATGACGTCCATCTCTTGAACACAGCGAGCGGTGACGCACCTGGAGCCAGGGAGGACGTCTGCCTCCGAACCCGAGACACTGGATGTGAAGGCGAATGCATGTTGTACAAGATCCCTCCGAGTCTCGTTGCTCATCGCATTTCTAGGGTCGAGAGTCAAGCGCAGCACGTGCCGTAGGTAGAGAGCGACCACGCGCCTTTCGACGGATACGGCATGTGTGGCAGCCGCTCTTTACACGGACAGGGCCTTTGGATTTTAGGGTCTTGGGCATGCTGGAGGATATGCACAGATAAGAGAAGTCGAGTGTGTCGTAGGAAGATGAAGTGGATCAGAAGGAGGGCGGAGGGGAGTTATGAATGGGTTGTGCCGCATCCATGCATTCCGTGGCTGTTATATGTAGTCGCAGCTCGCCGTAGTTCGCAAGGCCGGTTCGTGAAGTCAAGATCCATTTGCGGAATGGAGACCCTAAGCACCCATGCCTGTTTGGGTCTGTTTACGAACAGATCCTGTCGATCTACCCGCGATGTTCTTGTTCTAGATCTGACCTGCCGCGTCCGGCAAATTCCCTGGTATGTAATGAGTTCTCCGCAGGCAAATGCATCTTCTGCAACAAACGTCCGACCGTGTACGACACAATTGGTCTCGGAAGATCGGTATCCTCTCTCTCCGTCGCAGAAATAGGCTTCGGACGCACCGTTCCATCTATCGATCCATTAACCCCGCCATGACTACTGCCTCCAGCAGAGCCCGGGACCATGGCTTCGTGCATGCGATTCACCGCCTCCTGGATGGTCTGCCCCTCATACCTCATGTCGGGCGAGTCGGACGTGCTCGTGGTATCCCGGTGCATTCTCGTCAACGAGCTGTATGCGCGTGTGTCAGATTGCTGCACCTCCGGACCTGCACACCTACGCCTCGGTTCCCAAGATAAGCATGCATATGGGCGTCAGTCGATGATGTGCGTGTCGGAGCTTATTCGGCGGGCATATCCAATCCATCCTCCTGACAAGTCATCTTCTCGACGGTCGAACGGGACCTGAGCCAATTTGGCAGGCTACGGCCGCCGGTTGGTCGTACTAGCAAAAGAAAAGAACAAGCGCGCAGAATTGATGCATACAGTCACAGTCACGTCACATGGCGCTCATGCAATCAGTCGCAGGGCCACTTAGGCGCCCGCAGAGACTGAGCAACGCGGCAGCGCGACCAGAGCCGACGCCAAGAAAGACAGAACAATCCAGCCTACGTGTTATTATGGAAAATGACAGGCAGCCCTATTCGAGTGAGGTCAAGTTGGGCGATCAGGTATTGTAGTACTGGTTACACTTCGCGTTTTCAAGATATTCGGGTTGATATGCCATCCAGATTGAGTCAAGCAATGATTGGATGATGAGTAGAGATCCGGGGTAGAAAGGATGGGTGTGTGAGAGGAGCAGTCGACCTGCAAGGTAGTCGGCAAGAGCAGTAGGAAAGCAGTCGGGGGATCAAAGGGAGAAGGGTGTAAAGCAAGCAGTGCGGCGCTTTTATCCGTCTCCTGGAACGCCCGTGCTCACATTGGCACTGGCGCTTAAGCGACGGACCCGCGTGATCAACCCACTCGTACTGCCTTCCTTTTCCTTCGTTGACACACCGGACCCCGTCGATGCAGTCACTTCGTGTCCAGTTGACTGTTTGACACTCTGGCCCTCTCCAGGGACGCCTCCACCTCCCGCACGACGAGCAATCAGCGCGCGCACGGCACCGAGCCACTTGATCTCATCTTCTTCACTCGGAGCACAGATTAGAAGGGTCCGCTTCGTCGTGACGATCTTGAAAGTGTGTTCCTGATGATCTCCATCGAGCAACGGTGGAGGTGACGAGACCGAAGAGCTTCCGCCGCGAGTCGCCACATCGAACTCCAGTGCGTCCAATATCTCGGAGAAGGGAAATCGTCGATGAGGTTTGGTGTCCTGCGCCGGCACTCAGTGCTCTGCATAACTTCCGGAAGATCGGGAACGCACCATGTGACTCCCAAAATACATCAGTTGCTCTGAGCTAAGCACAAAATAACGTTTCTTCCAGTTTTTGCGCTTCGAGCTACACTTCATGACGTAACCAGCCATGAGAGCCTTGCTGGGGTCGGCGGGTGCAGACATCTTGGACCCAGCATTGGGCGAGCTGCCCGGTGCACCATAGCTCATGCTAGTTCTGGTCTGGGAGGACAGCGAATATGCCCGCTGGCCGATGGGCGAAGCGTCGTCAGAGTCCGATGAGGTCATATACGATCCGGGGCCATAATTCGACGGCGGTGATGGAGTCAACGCTGGCGCAGATGTTCCACCAAATTGAACGCTGTTCCTCATGCGGCCCCGCGATGGGCTGGCAGGAATGGGAATAGGTTGTGTTTGTCCGCCGCTTTCCGTAGCTTTGAGTGCCTCACACGCCTCTTCGATAGCACGCACCCATCCCTCGACCTCCTGCGGATTCTTCGCCTGCAGATAGAACGTCCGCGACGGCGAGATCAGGCCGAATGTGTTATCGTGTCGCTTCAACACAACCTTGGTACATGAGTGCACATCGGAGAGGTCGAGCAGTCGGAGGAGCTCATATTCGGCAGCGGTTTTGTAATAGGCAATATGCGCCCTGCGAAGAACGAACCATCGCTTTTTCCAGGTCTGGATCTTGGTAAGCCGATGCGATGAAGTCGAGAGACGCAGCGAACCTTTCTCCGCTCGCCCTTCTTCCATAAATATCCCGCTTTGATTTGGGTCTCTTCCTTTTGCGCCTTCAAATGTGCGGGGGTCCGCCATCCGGTTCCGGTACCGTCATCGTCCTCGTCCTCATCCGAATCTTCACCCGCACTGGAGCGTCGCTCGGCGATGGAGGAAAGATGAGGTTGCGCGATGATGCTACCCGAGAATGCAGTTGCCATGGGTGTGACAGTATCGGCGGAAAGGTCAGACTCGGACTCGGTACCAGAGACAAGCCCCGGAGTTGAATGCGACGGCTATGGAACGTATTAGTTGCCTCAATAGCGATAGGTCACATGGGATTTAGCCATGCTAACAAACAACACATACCCTTGGAGACCTGCGGGATATCGAGTGTGTCGAGAGCTTGCGAGAGATCTCCTGTGGTGAAGGAGGAGCTGCTATCGACATTGTGCTTCAAATAGTTGAAGATATGAGGGGAATATGACGCGCGTGATTTGAGAGAGGCGATCTTGAAACAGAGAATTAGAAACTTTCTGGGACGTGGTTGGTCTTGCGCCCAATGAGACCTGCGCGACGGCAAGGTCGCAGGCAAAGTAGCACTTATTAGCTCGAGGATGATGCCAAACATTGCAACACAGACGTTGATCATCCTGCCGGCAGCTGCCGAGTAACTGACTGGACGGTTCTGCCCATCCATTTCTGGGCTCAAATAACCTGCTAGGAGGTTAAGAGAGCTTAATATTTGGGTTCAATCCGTATGTTTTTTTTTGTTATAGCGACTATACCGTGTGCCTTTCACTTGAGGGAACTGCAGTCTCAACTGGCAAACAACCGACGGGACAGTATGACGAAAACAATATGAACTGTATGTTCGTTAAAAATCTGCGCATCCAAATGTGTCACGCCTGAAGATTATTTATTCGAGAATATCATCTTGAGCTATGTAGCACGAGGCCTAATCCGCTCACTTTTTCCAGGAAGTGCAGCCAGCACAATGACGTCATCCTTGAAATAGGGGCTAGCCTCACATCAGTCAATCGATAATGGGGACGATCATCTCAGATAAGAACTCCATCCCCAACCACCATGTCCAAGAGCAAGTTCGACAAGGCTGTTGAAATCGTGAAGAACCTCCCTAAGGATGGAGCTGTGAAGCCGAGTACTGACGATCAGCTCTATGTGCGTATCGTTCTCAATCTCATCTGTTCTCATGCCACCTTTGGGCTCTAAATATACGTCCGGCGCGTCGCGTCTCTCGCTTCCCCTGCTTCACCTCTCGCATAACGTGAAACTGATTGGATTCTCCAGTTCTACGCCAACTTTAAGCAAGGTCTGTGAGACTGACGGATGTACGAGGGTTTGGGGCTACAACTTCGTCAGGTACGATTGGTGATGTGGACATCCCGCGTCCTGGAATGCTCGACTTCACCGGCAAGGCGAAATGGTGCCTCGGCTGCTAGCTTCTCCCTCTCATACCAGTGTTGAACCTGCGTTCAGGGATGCATGGAATGCTATCAAGGGCACTTCCACCGAGCAAGCCCACACGAACTACGTTGCGAAACTGATCGAGGTCTGTGGCGGCCTTTCTCCTTGACGAACTGTTTGTTGATTGACGCAGCTTCTGAAAGCGGCCGGCGACGAGGAGTCGCAGAAGTACATCGCAGAGATCGAGGCTGCCTGAATATCGGCATATAATTCAACACCTTCAAATGTGTACATACATGTATCTGCAATCGCCAATGATAAATCACCAAGTACAAAGTGTCTGCCTGCTGGGTGTGTGTGTATGTCAATATCCATGCTCTATGTGGTGTTCTCAGTCGACTGGTCGATTCGTCATCGATCTTGGTAATTCCGTCCCCAATCTGCGGGCTCATCTTTCAGGTCGGCACAGAGATGCCGATGCGTGTCTATTAACGCCACAGGAAACGGCACATGCTTCCAAGCTGTTGGACGGTGGGAACCCGTATCGGAGATCGTAAGGGAGAAGTGTGTTCACAGAAATAGCGCAGAGCGGAATGAAATATTCCTCTGGCATGAGAACAGAGCTGCAGCAAACGTGTTATTGTTTCAATCATACTCTGGACTGGGTCGATGTCAAGACCTGAACGCCGCCGTCATAGAAAGGACACGCAGCCGGCGATCTTACATACGGCTTCATGTGCCAGGCCAGTGGATGTCGATGAGCTCACGAACACTTTTGACTTGAGGCAGCCTTCGATCAGCTGGCCGTCGTTCTCCCGTCGATGCAGACCCCGAAGACCCTAAATCGATGTGGGGATGTTTGGTCCACTTGTGGCTTGGGAGTGCGGGTCTCGCCGGTCTCATAACTAAAAGCGCTGCTCGGATCGGAAAAATACTGATGCCAATATTTGAAAATCTCTCCGTTCCGGATCGACGTTCTGGTCGATTCTGCTTCCTTTAGTGCACTCTTGAGAGATTAAAACATCGAGGCTTTTCTGCAACTAGACTGAGACTCTGCACGCTGAGAGAGCTCCACACTTCTCCATTCCTCGCCGCAGACAACGTGCGAAGAACGGCAGAATGCAGATGGCGGCGATTTCGCACATGCTTCGGTGTCGTTGATGAGAACGCGGAGCATCATAAAATTACTCAAATAGGAAGCTATCCCGCCCCATCGTGCCCGATGGGCGACTGCCATCCAACAGCGGGCCCCGTTCATCGGGCCAGGCATTCCGCGGGAGGAATCTCATCCAGGGCCGTTTCATTTCGGTTGCTTCCGGCCGGACTGGACTCCCGATGAGGAACTGAGCTGGACCACTCGGCGCGGAAATGGAAAGCGCTTGCTGCCGTCAACTGAGGTACATAAACATCCCGTACTCTAGAATTAGCGTCAGACATAGCTCCTTGACACGTCCCCGAGCCGCCACTGTACGGGGTTGCCTTGGAAGTGAACCGCTTCGTTGCCTGCTTGCTGTAAGTACTTGCTGGGCTTGAGTCAGTATAGGCTTGACATATGTCAAAAATTTGATCGGAGTGAGTAAGCGAACGGAATGAATCTCTCAAATATAGGGCTGGGTATTAAGTTGGGGTCTGTAATTTACACACCCATAAATTACGGTAAATTACAGTGTAAATTACATATTTTACCAGGAAGGTTCCAGGTTGGGTGTAAATTATTGTAAAATTTGCTCAAGGCCCATCTAGAGTGCATTGCTGGTCGGTTCATCCGGTGCTCAGCAAGGAAGTAGCAGCGGTAAAGCCACAACAGCCGCTGTTCCATAGGCACCGTGGAAGCCAGAAGATGTGTCATGGGCACGCAAGGGCCTTGCGTGGTAAATATACCAAAATTACATACTTTACAGGCTTAAATTACAGTAAATTACAGTATATATTCGGGCCGGCGGCGCCAGTAAATTACATAAAATACAGGCCCTCTGTATTTTACCACAGACCCCCTGCAAAAAAGACGTAAATTACAAGCCAGAATCCTAATTTTACCCAGCCCTACAAATATTTGAGCGAACGACCGTGGGTGCTGAATACAAAATTTGGGCTCTGGAAGAGCGGGAGGGTCGCGTAATTAAAGCCGTACATATCTGCCTGGTGAAACTCAATGTCGAATCGTCGCTTGGAATTCATGGGTCCGAGATTCTCTCGGCCGCCAGTCGCTGCACTGGATCCATGCGGCTTCAATGACTGACCGGCCAGCAAGTCTCCGCACAGTAGCCACTCAGCTCAATGCTTAGAATAGTCGGCAACACTCCGGCTGTGTCTCAAGGCACACGCGTCAATCTCACGACGCGGCCTGTCCTCCGCGTCGGTAAAATTTGGGCGAGATGCACTCCCTCAAGAGACGAGCAAGCTGCGCCAATCGCCAGATACCGGATACCATCAAGGGACGGTATTGGATTCATTCAGTTCTACACATGCTCACTCGAAGAAGGATGTCCTCACCAGGGGCACATACAATGGAGCTCAGATCCAATATCCCGTCTGTCGTCTCAACAATCAATACGCGTCTCCGAGTCAGAAGCAAATTCGCACAGAATAGCACTCGAGGCCCTGCGAGATGTGTTCCCTTTTCCAGACAAAGGCATGACAAGAATGGAAGGCCATCAGGAAGTGCAAGACAAAACATCCCCGCAGAGTATCTAGCGAGGTCATTTCACGATCGTCGGACCCAAGAAGTGATGTATGGGAGCCGCAAGAATGTGCAAGTCGACCTTGCATCTCGAGATCTGATGGTCGTGCCCAGTAGGAAGCTGGACACCACCCACTGGCTCCTACTGGGGTCGAAAGTCAGACACGGATCAGACGGCAGGGCTTCTTTCGATGTTCTCCCTGGGCGTTGACAGATCACAGGCCTCGACATGTGGTCATCAAACGGGAGGGCGATTGGATTGTAGTCGGGAAGACGATACGAGATGAGGCGACATTCTCAAACGCGGGCGTCCCCGATTCTGGACAGATTCTCCGCGGGGATCGTTTCGATTCCAACGAGAACAAAGTTCGAGGAAGTATGTATGTCCCCCATCGCTCAGATTTGACCAGATGTGCTGCGAGCATGGAGATTTCGTCCGTCCGTGTCGGAGAGAAGGGGCGGCTCGATCATGCACACAAGAGATGCTGTTATTGCGGACCACAGAGAGACAAGCGAGCAGCGATACATTCGAGAGCCCATCAGCACGGCTTTGGAGCGCTGTGGTCGGACTCTTGATTGCTTGTTTCATCAGCGTCCCTGGAATCCGGAAAATCATCCCAGACGACACCAGAGTTCATTGATGCAGAATGAATCAGACGGTGGCGCACTTGATCTTCTTCGAACGGGTCTTGACACTTGTCGAGCACAGAGAGAAAGCCCGGCATGGTCAAGTCTGGCTCTTCGCGTCAGAGTTCGTCTACTCTCAAAGATCGCGGGACTCACAGAGCGGCACTCAGGTCCCACCGAGTGGCCCATGGAGACACCTCGTATATCAGCTGTTATGTCTCTGGCAGACGGATTTTGTTCTTCAGCGCGATCGAACATACATAGTTGTTCGCGGGTAATGCCGGCCCATGATGGCGTCGGCCACCATTAGTGTAACGAGGTGTAACGTCAAGAGCGGCCTGTGACCATGAGCGGCGCGTGACAGAGCGTGACGAGGGCGCTTGCGAAGTTTGACAGTTCGCGCCTCGTTGTTCTCTGCCCGGTCCCACTCTTGCGCCCAACTGTTCTGCACAAATTCACTGTCGAAACATCGTCGTGTATACCTGACCTCCGGCCATACTGACTTATGCAGTCAGTAGTAGCTCTGACTTCGTGCACGTTACACGAGTGTGCCATGCGCTCTCCAAATCGCAAGGCCGAGCTCTCGCTTCTCCCGTTGGTGACCAACAGCCCACCGAATTGGTGGCGTCTATATGAGCGCTTCGATCTCCGAACTCAATCGGTCAGGTATTCTTGCTCGCCGAGCGCCCCCTGTTATGATCTATCCACCTCTGCACTTTCATTGTCCGTCGCTTCTTGGGTTACGTTCGCGCGGTCTGAAGTTTTATTGCAACGGCGCTAACGTTCATTTGCTTGTATTTATGCGTTGGCGCCACCTGAAACATCCCGGCACCATGAGGCAGGTGCAATAACAGGGAGGGAAACATGGGCGTCTCTCCACCACCTCCCCACAATGCACCGGCCTCCTGCACCTAACGACACACCCGTTTCCGCCGTTGCGCACACGTATCGTCCGTTCTACCTGCCCTCAAAGGACTCCTCAATCCCAGCGGATAACTATGTCGCCACCACCAAGGAGTACTTGAAGTGCGTTTAAGTTACCTTTCCAATGCAATATTTAACACGAACGACAGAAACGAAAACACGTACAGCCCTTTTTACGTCAACTTGAGCTCTGCAAGTGGTTCACCCTGTTCGTTCAGCGACCGGACAGCCCAGTCTCAAATCCCACGGGAGAAAGCGGTGAGTGTATCCGCTGCTCTTCCGACAGAGCCGCAGGTAGAGGAGCTTGCGATCGCGTGAGTCGGATCTGTGGTGCAGAGCTTACGGCTGACTGGAGGCTCCCGCAGAGTTATGGGACCCACAGGAAGCGGAAAGTCCACGGCAAGTCATTCATTGAATCATTCCTGCGCTTTTGACTGACCCGCGCCGTGCACAGTTCATCAATCTCGTCAGCGGATCCAGCCTGGGGGTCGGCCGGGGTCTCAAGTCCTGCACGAGTGCTGTACAAGTCTCGCCCGAATTCGAGCTCGACGGCCGGATGGTGACGCTGATCGACACCCCCGGATTCGACGACACGTCAAAGAGTGATGTGGACATTCTCAATATGATTGCGCTCTTCCTGGCCGAATCGTAGGTATCTCGCCTGGATACACGAGCTGGGCATTGACCGGTTCTTGCATCTAGATTCAAGGACGGCCGCAAGCTCGCCGGGGTCATCTACATGCACCGCATCTCGGACTTCCGGATGGGTGGCATCTCGCGCCGCAACTTCAAGATGTTCCGCGAGCTGTGCGGCGACAGCACCCTCAAGAACGTCGTCATCGCCACCAACATGTGGGGTGAAGTCAATCACGAGGTTGGGGAGGCACGAGAGATGGAGCTTGCGACGGACGACGCGTTCTTCAGGCCGGTCCTGGACAAGGGCGCAAGGATGCTCCGACACGACGACGGACTGTCGTCTGCCCATGCGATTATCCGACATCTCCTGCAGAATAAGCCCCGCCCGCTTCGGATCCAGCGTGAATTGGTTGAAGAGAAGAAGGACCTCGCGCGGACAGCCGCTGGGCAGGAGCTGGATAGGGAACTGGCTGAGCAAATGGTAAAGCACAAGAATGAGATGCAAGCGCTCGAGGCAACACTGAACGGTGCGTGTTCTGTTCTTGGGCTGTCATCGCTCTATGGTGGGTACTCAAACTCGTTTACAGAGGCGATCAAGGAGAAGGACGAGGAGTATCGCAGAGATCTTCAGCTAGAAATGCACAAGTTCGAGCAAGAACTGGGTCGTATGCAGAAGGACTCAGAGAAATTAGCTTCGGAGTCCGCCCAGAAATCCACCGAACTCGAGCATCGACTGCATGAAATGGACGAACAACGGGCTCAGGATGAATTGGCGGCTGCAAGATACAGGGAGCAGATCGCCACTCTCGACCAATCTCTTGAGCAGACTGCCAACAGGAACGTGGAAGTGCAGGCTGACCTGCAGCGGCAGCTGCGAGAAGCGAGGGACCGTCTTGAACAAGTCCCTCGGCACGGAGGTTTCTTTGTTAATCTTGGCACAGCTCTGGACAAACTCTTTGGTATACATTAACATCACATCGAACATTATGAATGAAGATTTCCGTGCATAGAATGCAATATTGTTTTGATTCATTCTTGTGTCAGAGCGGTGCCAGGATGGCGAGGTCGATTACATGGCAGTCGAGATAGTCCCACAGCCCAAACACCAGTCTCCGTCCCACAAGGCTACGACCTGTCCAGCCGCGACGCCTTTCAGCTCTTCGTCGAAATCGACTTGAACCGCATCGTCGTGCATCGACGTGACCGTGCATTGAACTGGAGGCATCTTATGCCGGACTTGAGCAAACAAGCGCGCACCTCCAGGTGCTGATATCCCTTCCGGTGGGTCGTCCGGCCATATCCACGTGAAATCATGCGATTGCACGGCCGAGCACAATAATGCTGACTCCCTGAGCTTCATCAGTCGGGATTAAGAACAAGAAAAGAGCGGAAAGAACCTGGCGGGTCCGACGAAGATGGTGTTGCTTGGGATGTCTTTTCGCACGGCAAACAAGCGCTCAGGCATCCCGTTGATACGAACGTTCTCCCCGATGGTGAAAGACCAGAGACCGTTATGTCTGCCCACTTCCTTGCCCGAAGTGAGCAGCTTCAAGGGACCGGGAGAAGGAGGAATATAGGAAGCTAGCGGAACGTCAAAAGGTTCCCATGCCATGCAACTTGTACCACGCACACAAGAACTGCTTGAAGTCTGTGCGGTTCTTCTGTCCGATGAAACACAGACCCATGCTTTCGTCTCGTTCCAGTACTTCTGAAGGCATGACTCCGTCATTGGCTATCACCTTGACCTCTGACTTGGTCAAGTGTCCGATGGGGAAAAGGGCGCTCGCAAGTCCGCCCTCGGTTATGGATGATAGATAGTAGGTTTGATCCTTGCGTGGGTCGGCAGATCTGAGCAGTCGGGGCCGCGGAGATGACCAGTCTCTTCGAGCGTAGTGACCTGGGACATGTCTGGTAGTTAGTGCCGTAATAGTGCTGGAGGGGGGTATAGTACCTGTAGCCAGCCACGGAGGCTTCTTCGGATCTCGAACAGGAAGGTGTTCGAGCAGAGCACCAAACTTGATCTCTCTAATTGCACTGTCAACACCATCGCATTCAGCTATTCGAGGGAAGGCGCACCGATTACACCAAACATCTGGATTCGGGGTGATTCCGTCTTCCCATTTCCTTAACGAAGGCTCGAAGACGCGTGTCCAGTACTCTTTTGACAAATCAACCTGCACAATCAGGAGTTTTCCAAGTGGATTCGCACATAACACACCATTTGGCACGGGATATCGTACGCGCGGCACACTTTCTGCACGTCCGCCCAGTCCTTCTCCCACTCACACCCTTTCTCGGAGGTGCCGTATTCATCTCGCGTATCCCAGTTGCGCATGAATACGGCAGAGAGGTCGTAGTCTTGTTGGGCGAGTAGTTTGGCGCTGACCGACGAGTCTATGCCTCCCGACATACCCACGATCACTATTCAGTTTCAGCGCGTACTTTGTCATTGGCCAGTAGCTGCACCTCGATCGCCTTTCTGTGGAGGAGAAAACGCATTCGTAGAGTACCTTGATGCATATATGCGGCCGAGGCTACGTTTGAGCAGGCTCCGTGCGCAGAACATGGAATTTTTGACAAAGGCGGTCTTTGATCCGATCAGCTTCGGTACCGTTCGCTTCGCGGTTCAACTTCCTTCCAGCAAGCAGCAGTTTGTACGCCAAGTGCTCGAGTCAAATCGCAGATGGTAGATGTAGATAAGTACAAGATGGCAGATCCTCCCTTCTGTCTCATCCCATGGCCTCCCTGAACATCGCCAGCTCGATCCGCGTCTTCCCTACAAAGCCCCATGAGCCACGCACAGTGCCGCTCTCGATTCTGGATGCGCACGTAGGCGATTTCGCACCCGCTGCAGCAGCCTGGGTGTACGAGGCCTCTCCCCAGACCGACCGTGCCTTCGCTGCCGATCGTCTGCGAGAGTCCCTGGCGCGGACGCTGGACGTTTATCCCCAACTCTCTGGACAGTTGGATTTCACGACATACGTACGCGGTGGAGATCACACCACTCGATCGCGCCGAATGCAGGTCTCATATGGTGGTGGACCAGACCCCGGAGTCGAATTCGTAGTCGCGGACTCCGAGTCAGACTTGCAGTCCATCCTCCCGGCCAATGGGCCAACCTCTGCCGAAATGCTAGACAGCTCGACATTCAGCCAGCTTCCCCTCCTGCCCAAAAGCCCTGCCCTTGCATCGCATACTACGGCTGAATTCCAGGGCTTGCCGTGTCTGATCATTCAACTCACACGGTTCCGTTGCGGTGGTGTTATCCTCACTCTCAAAGCGTCTCATCCGTTGGCCGACGCTCAAACACTATGCACTTTCGCCAGGGACTGGGCTGCGATCAACAGAGCAGTCCTGGAAGAGAAACCCGTCCCCGCCTTCTCTCGACCATTTTGTCCCGGCGAATTGGACTCGAGAGCAGTCGCGGATATCGATGCCTTGCATCCGAACCCCAGTGTACTCGAAATCTCGCACCAGCTTCCGGTCCACTGGTACGACTGGTGGGCCCCGTCGTCTGGGGGTCCGGGTTGGGCAGCGTCCTCGGCACGAATTCCAGATCATCTCACCTCCCTGCCACCGGATATGACATTTGAGAATCCAATGCCCTGGAAAGACTGGGATATGACCCTTTCCATCCAAAATGTCATCCTCCAGTTCAGTCGAGAAGAGGTGGACAAGATCTGGGCGGCCGCAGCATCCGACCTCGACGCGGCATCGCCTCGCATCAGCCGCTTGGATGCGTTGCAGGCTCATTTGTGGAGAATACTGATACGCGCTTACGAGCCTACCTCAGACGAAGTTTTCCATATGCATCTGACATTGGGACTGCGAGACCGGCTCCAACCGGCTCTCGGTTCTGATTTCCTCGGCTCGCCAATCGTGCTGGCGAGGGCCAGCGCGTCATCCTCTGATAGCCTCCCATCCCTGGCTCGTAGCATCCGGCGCACTGTTGCGCAGTTCACCCCAGCACGTGCAGCTGCTCTGCTGCACGACATGGCCTGTTCGATTGACTCGCGGCGGTTTTGGGGCGGATTTATCGGTCGCCGGAACTTGATCATCACGTCCTGGGTTCGACTGGGCGTTTACGAGATCGACTTTGGGTCGGGACGGCCTCGGTTTGTGCATGCACTCATGCCTTTCATGGAAGGCGTCGTTCAGATCATGGAATCCCCGCAGACCACGGGCGTAGAGGGTCCCTGGTATGCAGATGGTGTGAACATCTCTCTTATGCTCCCTACGGATATCGTTGCAAAGCTCGTGGCACTACGTACATTCGAGGAGTAATCTACATCCCAGCTTCACGCGAGCGGGCGCATACAACATACACCCATCAGACTTTGACGATAGCGGCTACGACCTCGAACTTGATCACCTCTGGCGGACTGGACAGCAGCGTGTCGGCATTGGCGAAGAGTGCGGCAGCGACCTTGCCGTTGAGGTGGGCCTCGCGACCAGCATCGTCGGCGAAGAAATCGATGATCGCGAAAGTGTTCCTGCCCGGAAACTCGACTGCGTACCACACCGGTGTGAATTCTTCAGCCTCCACAAGCGGGACCGCACTCTGCCGACCTGTAAGCATGGGGCGTATTGACCGGCCTGAGCTCACCTTGAGGAACGCTCTGACGTCATCGACCTTCTCGGGCTTCGCGTGGATGAAGACGCGCAGGCCGACGCCCAACCCTGCAGTCCGCTCCTTGCTGTTCCCTACGACCACCTTATTTGCGAGCACAGCCAGGTGCACGATCTGCGGCTCCGACACGAGAAGCGTCGGCGCATTGGCCGCCAGCGCCTGCGCGGCCACGCCCTTCAGATGCGCGCCACGCCCAGCTTCCGTGTGGAAGGTGTTGAAGATCGCGTAGGTCGGCGTCGTGTGGCCGGTGTACTTGACGCCGAACCATTGGATGGTCTCGTGTTCGGCTTGGATGAGATCGTAGCCGGCGCCCAGGAGGCTAGCAACGTCGAGCGCCTTGTCGTCTTTGGCGACCAGTGGTGCAAACAGCGCGAGCGAGACTGGTCACAAGACGCGTCAGCCTAGACGGCCGGCTTGGACGACGGCGTACCTTGGCTGGCGGGCATGGTAGCTGGTGAATTGGGGTTCGACAGTTGAATCTGACTGGGGCGTTTATGTATCTATACCCCGGCCTGCAAATCTAGGGATCCAGATTCCGCAATGCGCTCTCACATCTCTGTGACGACTCTGACTTCTCGGTCACACCGCGCGTCATTACTGCGCAGCATTATGCTGTGGTCTGCCTTCTGCCGCGCCCTGCGGGTGTTCGCCTGATCCTGCGAGTCATGAGCGCGGTGCGGGCGCACAACAGGCGCAATATCAAACGGTCGTCCAATGACGTCACGCCATGTGATCGTGCGCCTCCCTCAGTGCAGCCCATCAAAGTACAGTCCAATAAGCAGGATACATAATCTACATTCAGTAGTAACCGTCTGTTGTGCAAGAAGATAGAAGGGGGAGTCAATAAAGGTTAACCCTGCAGATGCAAGCCGTGGTCAATATATCGATACAATTAGCAGTTTGTCTGACTGGTCCATCATCCACTCAATCATTCCTCGTCCTTGTCTTTCCCCCTCGGTTGCGAGGAGGACGACCGCTTCTGCTTTCGCAAGACTTTCGGGCGTTGGAATAACGAGACATCGCCTTCGGCATCGTTGATCCGTCCTGCCCGCCCAGGAGGCAACGTCCGCCTCCTCGTGACGGTCGCATTCGCACTTTCGTCTCCCACAGCCTCGTCCACAGGCGAGAGACTGGCCTCGACCGTCCGTCCAGAATCTGTCGAATCTTGCGATAGGTTTCAGCCCACACATGCGATGACTCTGACGACACACCGATCGTGGTCTTCCTCCTTGCCATCGGCGGGGACGCTTTTCCGACGACCTTCCACGATCCCCCGACTGCGATGGGATCGTCGTCGTCGTCCCAAGTCAACGGCGAGCTCGGGTCGTGGTTGGGAGGAGGAGGGGGAACATCCACCATGAACCAGTCCTGTTGTGCAATGAGGAATTCGAGGACTCGTTGGCTCAGCGCATGCTCAGGCGGTGACATTTCATGCTCGGGATGGGATATTAGTCCCGGCCGGAAAATCACTGCAAGGTCTGCGGCACTTCAGCTATTTTTGTCCGTCCATAAATGATGCACACTTGCTGGATGCAGTCATCAAATTCTTGTCCGACTTGCGCGCAAAGACCGATAATAAGTCCAGCACATAGAGCAAGAGATACTGGTTGGCGCGGGGCATGGATCGAATGAGTCGCTTGTACGTAGCGATGACTTCGTCCTGGTTGACTGGCTCCTGCGCTGAACGACGCATGTGTGAGCTCCAAGAACAAAAGCTTCCGAGCTTCTGTTACTCACACAAAACATCTCGAACCTACTCACCACTCGTCAGTAGCGCCCGAATCGTGTATCGAACAACGTACAGCGTGATACATATCGTGAGGGATGACAGGTTCCTAGTGCCGATGTCAGCTAGCTCGCCAGTCAAGCGCACATGGTAAACGCGCGCACAGGCATCTGGGTCAGATATCTCCGGAAGACACTCGCAACATCGTGTGTCGTATACGATTCGTTCTTCCAGTCCAGTGACTTGCCGTACTAGGGGGGCTCAGGTCTTGCGCTGGAGCGCGGGCGGCTGCATTGCGTCGACGCACCTTGGGAGGCGTTTCGAATAGGGCTTGCAGCTCCCTCATGCGCTTATTAGATCCGTTCACGCGAAACGTTCCTGGTACTTCGGTCGCTGTGGAGCTCAGAATCACTCCTCGGTCCCTGCATCTCTCAATTGATCCCACGAACCGTTCTCCTTGAGCCACAGCCCGCTGCGAAAGACTTTGAGGATTGCCCGCACCCGAAAAAGCAGGAGAGCGCCGACGCACCATTTGGCAACCACGACGGGGATGTACCCCCAGACATACAAGTTCCCCTGCGCATTCGCCGTCGAGATCTGCACGGACGCATATTTTAGGCTCTCCCTCAACGGCTTTCCAAAGACCGTGTGCACTGTGTCGTCTGACCAGGCTCAAACCGTCAGCCCGCATCCCACCAGCGCCAACACCACCACCAACGCACCCTGGTTGTACTCCTTGATCTTCTGCGGGGATGTGAAGGCCGCCCACCACGCCTTGAGATTGGCCTTCGTCGGTGCTTGGTCCGCTGCCATTCCCGGGTTGCTGCCCAGACCGGCTCCGAGACCCGACAGTCCAAGGTTCGAATGGCGAGGACCAGAATCACGGTGTGGGGTAGCAGGTGCGTCAGGCTGGGGCGGTAGAGACAGGCGATGGTCGTGCAAGTCGAGAGTCTGGGATTTCTTCTTCGAAAAGGGCAAAAAACGGCGGAGGCGAGGCGCCAGTTGAGAAATGGGTGCTGTGGTTTAGTTCCGTTGCGAGCGCGTAGGGACAAGTGAAGCAGTTTCAGGGGCACGTGTTTTGACATTTAGGCGATGACCTCACCACGTATGATCTCCGTTCGGTCAGTACTCCTTTTGGCCTGAACGTGCCGTGATTACTGGAAACTGGGACAAATTCGACATACATGACAATTACAATTACATAGACGATACATTAGAGATAGAGAGAAATCCGCAGTCACATTCAGCCAGAGCACATCAAACAAGCTTCCTTGTTTTCCATAGCACATAGCATCTTCGCCTCTTCTAGCTCACGCTCCCTCAGCTTTTTGAGAGAAGCAGCAAACTCGGGATCCTCGGAAGCCATTTTCGCGAGCATGGCATCAGCATCGGCCTGCTCCGGGCTGGATTCAGAAAGAGGCGCTGTCGCCGGTAATTCTGGCTTGACAACAGCGACAATCGGCGCCCGCTCCCGCATTGGAGTTGCCGGCGACTGGTCTCTTGACGAAGACGAGGACGAGGACGAAGAGGACGGGGTGAGCGATGGGAAGGAAGTCGCAGCAGGGATAGAAACTGGAGCCGTCCCTGTATGCTTAGCAGCAGCTGCCGCGGCATTCTGCTCCTTGACCTTGTTGAGAACAGTCTGGTCAACAGTAAACTGAATCGCAGCCGAGGCAGGCTGGGTGCGCAGGTAGTACATCCCCGTTTTCAGGCCACGCTTCCAGCCGTAAAAGTGCATGCTCGTCAGCTGGCCCATAGTCGGCGCGGACAGATGCACATTCAGGCTCTGGCTCTGGCAGATGAAAGCCCCGCGGTCAGCAGCGAGCTCGAGGACCTTCTTCTGGCTGATTTCCCAGACGGTCTTGTAGATGGCCTTCACGTCGTCCGGAATGCCGGGAATGTTCTGCACCGATCCCCGGTGCGCGATGAGGATGTTCTTCATATCGTCATCCCACAAGCCTCGGTCAACGAGCTCCCGGAGCAGATGGGGGTTCACCACCTGGAACTCGCCAGACAGAACACGGCGCGTGTAGATGTTGCTCGTGTATGGCTCGAAGCACTCGTTGTTGCCCAGAATCTGGCTGGTCGACGCAGTCGGCATCGGCGCAGTCAGCAGCGAATTCCGCAGCCCGTGCTTGGCGATCTTCACCTTGAGCCCCGCCCAGTCCCACAGCGATGAAGGCGTCACACCCCACATGTCATACTGCAGCTCGCCCTTGGACGCAGGACTGCCCTCATACGTCTCGTACGGCCCTTCTCGCTCCGCCAACTCGCAGCTGGCTTCCAAAGCACCGTGGTAGATGGTTTCAAAGATCTGCAGGTTGAGCGCCTTGGCCTCGGGCGAGTCGAACGGCATCCGGAGTAAAAGGAACACATCCGCCAGGCCTTGCACACCGACACCGATCGGCCGGTGGCGCATGTTCGACTTGCGAGTTTCGGGGATAGGGTAGTAGTTGATATCGATAATCCGGTTCAGGTTAGATGCAACCACCTTCGATATATCGTGCAGCCGCTGGAAGTCGTATTTGCCATTCGAGATGAAGCTGGGCAGCGCGATGGATGCAAGGTTGCAGACAGCCGTCTCATCCGCAGCAGAGTACTCAATAATCTCTGTGCACAGATTCGATGACTTGATGGTACCCAGGTTCTTCTGGTTCGACTTGGCTGGAGGGCGATCAGCAGTTGAGCAACTTGTGAGACGAAAGAAACGCACAGTTGGCATGATCCTTGTACACCATGAACGGGCCACCCGTCTCAACTTGGGCCTCCAGGATCGCGTACCACAGTTTCTGCGCAGGGATGGTCTTCCTAGCCCGTCCTTCCCGCTCATATTTCTCGTACAACACCTCGAACTCCTCACTATGCACCTCATGCAAGCCAGGGGCCTCGTTCGGGCAAAACAGCGACCACTCCCCGTTCTCCTCCACG